GATTTGGGATGTTCAGTGGCAACCACAGTGTTGGCGTTACCTACCACGCATATCAGTCTTTGCATCCAACCACGTATAGTATCTCAATCCAACTCTAGGTTATTTTTGACCGCTTCAAATATCTTGGCTGCTGTATCCTGGCGGGCAATGGCGTTCTTAGCGTCATGATGTCAGCGCTCATTAGCAACGTCATAAAAGGAGGTGGGTTTATCGTGGCTGGCGTGAGAATCGCTAGGGACAAGCTGAAAGTTAGTAGGAGTGTCCCCAGTACCCTGCAATGAGATACCAGCCTGTCACAAGCGCTTGACTGATACACAAGGTAACCTGACAGTACCTCCACCTCGGGGACCGATCACCGGGCGGGAAGAGCAAGGGTGGTTAGGAAACTGAAAGTGGAATGCACGGACCAATCGGGGAGCATGAATGTCAGAACCAGCCACCCAGGACCTGTCCTCATTGCCGTATCCCTTCCAGTCCAACAAATATTGGAGAGAACCGCTAGGTATCCGTGAGTCCAGGATAGCACTGACCTCGAATTCCTCCTGGTTCTCCACCTGAACCGGAGAAGGGCGTACCACAGGACTAGTGAACCTGTTACACGTCAAGGGTTTCAATAAGGATACATGGAAAACATTGGGGATGTGAAAGGAGTGAGGCAATTCAATACAATACGCCACAGGGTTTACCCGTCTTACCACCTTATATGGACCAATGAATCTCGGTGCAAATTTCATACTATATACAGTAATATACAGAAGCATCAAGTCTACGCCTGTCTGCGTGCTTTGTATCATAAGATGATTTATGGGGTAGAGTCTTTTTATCATGAGATGATTTAACCCTACTAGGGTTAGTGGTAGAGTTAAGGGTAGGGTTAAGGTTAGGTGTAGGGTTAGATTCCTGTCATCATTCCCCTGATTTTCCCTCCCTCTCCTGTTTTTCCACTTTTCAGAAATCCGAAGCACTTCGGCACTTCGGCAATTTGGTTCGGCACTTCCGAAATTTCGCACTTCAGCAATTTGGACATTCGGAAGCATCCGAATGTCTGAATTGCCGAAATTCGTCTGAATTTACATTCGGAACTAAACGAATTGCACATGTCTATTACCTGCTCAAGGAGCTCTTAAAGTGATCTGCACCTAATATAACACTTTCCCACCAGACCACAGGCCAGAGTGCCCTCCACTGGACCACCAAAAATAACACCCCCTCTTGCCATAAGGTATGCAGAATGAGGCAAACAAACTCTCCCCTACACACAAAACAGTTAGACTTCACCATTAACAAAACTGAGCCACCACATACATACAACACTCAATCAGCACACACAGAACCACTCCACACATACAGTTCACACAAACACACAACACTCACAGAACCCAAGGCTCCCAAAATCCCAAAAAAGATGTAGCTTTGTTACAAATGTGTATATGTACTTTGTGTATATGTACCTGTGCATAATGTGATAAACTAAGAAGTTAAGGGGACACTATAGTCACCTGAACAACTTCAGCCTAATGAGGTTGTTCAGGTGAGAACTATAACTCCCTGCAGCCTTTCTCATGTAAACGCTGTATTTTCTGAGAAAATACAGTGTTTACATTGAAAGCTAGGAACACCTCCAGTTGCAGTCACTCAGAGTGAACCAGAGTTAATGGAGTTAATGGAGGCATAATATGCCACCATCCACTCAGATCTGCTGTCAGCAGAGCACAGGGCAGCACTGTGCACAGCATCCTGTGATTCAGTATCTCCTCATGCAGACACTGAACTTTCCTCATAGTGATTCATTGATTCAATTCATCTCTATGAGGAGATGCTGATTGGCCAGGGCTGTGTTTGAATCATGCTGGCTCTGCCCCTGATCTGCCTCTTTGTCAGTCTCAGCCAATCCTATGGGGAAGCACTGTGATTGGATCAGGCTACCACATGTCAGCAGACTGCTTGTTTTTCTGAGTCTAACAGCATGCAGATTTACAGCTTCAGGCTTGAATACAGTAAGATTTTTACTATATTTATGGAGGCATGAGGGGTCCAGGGGGGCTAGATGGTGGTGTTAATACTATAGGGTCAGGAATACATGTTTGTGTTCCTGACCCTATAGTGATCCTTTAACAATATAACCAATAAATAAACAAAAGAGATCATATGACTAAATAGATACAAGCATCAAAAGGCTACTCCTAAGCCACCTTAGTAAGAATATGGGGAGGAACGTTGGTCTGTGAAAAGATATCGGATAATAATTATCCTGAAACTTAAAAAGCTTTATTATAAACTATCAGTGGAACACAGTACCAGCGAAGGTGCAAGTAATTTCGTACCAAAATGTACGTCGGGTTGTTTTTGGCTATGGGGGCTTGATTCACATTATTTTGTTGCACTATTGGTTATTTTTCTTTTTTTTGTTATTTATGACTTAATTTAGTCATTTTATATCTATCTCTATTCTCCTTATGCCTATCTAGTAAGATTGCAAGGGTAGAAGGCTGTCTATATTCAATCTATTACTGTTCTTTTTTGTTATTTATGACTTAATTTAGTCATTTTATATCTATTTCTATTCTCCTTATGCCTATCTAGTAAGATTGCAAGGGTAGAAGGCTGTCTATATTCAATCTATTACTGTTCCTGTGTATCTATCTTAGATTTATTTATTCTGAATTTATCACAGCCTGAGGCTGACTACCTCCCCTCTCTTCTCTGTTAGTAATCATTTGAAGGCAGATCTTCGGTACTGTGTTCCATTGACAGTTTATAATAAAGCTTTTCTATTTTTAGGATAATTATTATCTGATATCTTTTCACAGACCAACATTCCTCCCCATATTCTTACTAAGGTAATTCAGGAGTAATCTTATAAGGCTTGTATCTATTGATTCATATAATCTCTTGTTTTTTGTTTATATTTTGGTTACATTGTTAACTTCTTAGTTTATCTATGGTCATTAAGTATTAATACTGTTTTGTATCCAGGTGACTATTCTCTACATTTTATGTGAGATATGCTATTTCTCTTTTTTCTTCTTACACATCCTGTTGGGTGCTGGCCAATCCACCTACATCTAGAAGATATATTAAATATAAATGAATAATGTCCCTTAAAGCACACCCAGCAATTCCCTGAGGGCAGCCCTGATTGTATACATACATGTTGGTATGAGACTCTATATTGGTAGCTCGAGAGACACTGTGTAATTTGCCCATTCATTGACTGGTGCTGCCTCCCTGAATCTCATGATTGCAGACCTGGTAAACTTGGCACAACTGCAATAGAAAAAACACAACTTGCATTCTGGAGCCTTCAGAGCCCCTGTCAGGTTCATTTCCACCTAGCAAATATAGGCTCCACTTACAGTCAACAATGGCAAAATGGATAGTGGATATTTTGAAGGAACACTTCAAGCAATATAATCACTACAGTCCATTTTATTGTTTTTGGTGCTTCTAGTGTCCTGGCGCTGTCCCAAAATAAGTAGTTAAATCATTTGAGCACAGCTTGACAACTTACCTGGGTCCAATGGCATCCGGCATCACATCCAGTCTTCTTTTGCCGGAGAAACGGGATGTCTCTATAGAATAAAGCTCGGCCAATGCACAACCGCGTTTATTGGCAGACATCGCTCATCTGGTGCTCTCAACCAATGAGTGCGGTCCTACATGGCATTACTTTGCGTTATTGAACAATCCAGATTATCTTGCTGGCGATGACCATATACAGTGGAAACAGTTGCAGGTGCTCAGCATAACACACATAAGTTGTCAAACATACACTTGAATGGCAGCTACGCACACCTGGCAGGCTGTAAAGGTGATAATGCTTAGAGTGTTCCTTTAAGGCCCTTGGTAGGGAATGGGTGGGTGTCAGGGGTAAGTAACTGCAAAGACAGGGTTGATGTCATATTAATCAGGGGAAGAAAGAGGGGTCAATCTGTTTATAGTTTTATTATTGCTTTTCTTGCAGCATTTATATATAACATAGAATGTATATGTGCAGGATATTATCAATTTGCACTGTATTGAGAAAGATCAATGATAAACAGTGGCTGCAATTTAACCCCTTAAGGACACGACTTCTGGAATAAAAGGGAATCATGACAGAATATTTCCATCATGTGTCCTTAAGGGGTTAAACCGTCTGACCCTGCCATATGGAATGAAATACTGGAAAACAGGCGAAACCGAGAACAAAGATCACAAAACAAAGTCACAACTACAACTTCCATGGTGGTTTGCCATCCTTTTTTTTTTAAATAAACATAACAGTTTCAGAGAAACTGCTATGTTTATAAATGGGTTAAGCCAGCCTCTAGTGGATGTCTCATTGACAGCCGCTAGAGGCGTTTGCGTGCTTCTCACTGTGAACATCACAGTGAGAAGACGCAAGCGTCCATAGGAAAGCATTGTGAATGCTTTCCTATGAGACAGGCTGAATGCGCACGCAGCTCCTGCCGCGCATGCGCATTCAGTCGAAGAGGATTGCTCCCCGCCCAGCGCTGGAAAAAAGGTAAGATTTAACCCTTTCCTCGCCATCCAGCCCGGCGGGAGGGGGACCCTGAGGGTGGGGGCACCCTCAGGACACTATAGTGCCAGGAAAACGAGTATGTTTTCCTGGCACTATAGTGGTCCTTTAACGGTGAATTTAAAATGTAAGGCCACAGTAGCCGTACTGAAAGCATAGCTGGCTTGCAGATCTTTTCCAGTTCACATTCAGTCTGAATTCTCACTTTAGTGAATAACCCAGTAAAAGCTGGCATGGTGCTAGAGTTGGATATTTTGAGAACTACAACTTCAATGATGCTTTGCCATTCGAAATGCTGGAAGGGGCAGCATGGTAGCTGTAGTTTTACACAGCCCTGAGGGGAATCTGCCCTCAGCACAGTGCTGTGAATGATTTGCAGCGTCACGGTCAGCTCAGACACTGTGTGAGTGCGATAAGCCCTGTCACCGTGCGGCCAGATCACTTCCGGGCAGAGAATTCACTTCCGGCCTGTGAGCCAGCTGGCGTGACGTATTTCCGCTTCCGGTGTTGTCTGCTGTTTGGCAAAGATGTCGGAACCGGAGCAAGAGCCCGAGTTGTCCGAGATAGACAGCGCGCTGCTGGACTGCTCGCCCCGGGACGTGTCCTTGGTATGTTCCCGGCGGGAAGCAGGGGCTGTGTGGCCCCCAGCGGAGCGGTCACTCCCAGTGATCAGGGGCCGGTCCTGGACAGGCCCCTCAGCCCCAGGACAGGCACAGCTGTCTCCTTTACTTCCTCTAGGGAGGTGGGGGGGCGCTCTGTCTGGCTGAGCATCATACGGGTCGTAGTCCAGAACAGCTGGAATGACAGCAGTCAGTGCTTATAGTCACAGGTCTGTGCATGTGGGCCGTATTTACATATGTTTCCACTCACTGACTCACCCCATTACTATACCATATACCTGGGGCGGTTTATTTACCCAGCAATGAACACAAGCCAGGGTAACTGACTGCTTCGGTAGTCCTCAGTTTAGCCACAGCAGGTGGCTGGATTTATTGAGTCTTGGTTTAGCAATCTGTCCTTTCAACTGACTACAATGCCAGGGTTTAGTGATTAACTCCACCACAAGGTTTTAGAGATAATTTGAGGTATTTGCCTATGTCTGCCGTAATCAAGCATCCATTAGTGACACATGCAGAAAATTTTTACAAAAAACAGGCGTAATTGAAAAAAATAAATAATAATAATACATCTGTTTTGTTCATAGTTATGTTGTTACTGTACTTGCATTTTCTGTATTCCGTGCATTCTCCAGCTTGAAAAGTAGGCTTCTCAGATTAAAGACTAAAGTGTTTTTTTTTTTTTTTGTCCAAAACTGTTCACATCTTGCTAGGTATATATCCTAGTTGTATTTTAGTATATCAGCATATTTTATTTGGCAAGTTACAGTTTGTTTGTTTTTACAAATCGTTTCCAATGCAAGTTTTCTAAATTAGTGTAGAATAGAGATTTGTGCGTGTTTTTCAAACAGTAACCATCATTCATTGTCCGTTAATTAAAAGAATATAGATATTCTCTGCTTGATTGCTCACAATGCAACAAGAAAAGAAAGTAAAAGCAACACCGTTCGTGATAAACTTCTTTCAAAATATTTTAATAGAGAATTTATCTTAGAGATCACAAATATACAGTCTCTCTGTAAGCCCACCTCTTTAATGCATCCTCTCTGCATGTAAGACAGCAGAGAGCATTTAATTTCTTAATATTTTTTTTTTGTTTAAATCATGTACAAAAATTGAGTAAGGCTTAAAATTTTTAGTTGTACAAAGAATATGGATACCTAATTTTAGAGAGAATGAGTGACATTGTGACAATGCATATACAGGCTAAAGGTTACTTAAGTGTGCATATGAAAGTTGTTGAGACTAGGAGCAGATACTTTAAAAAAACAAAAATATGCTAAGCATAGTTATTTGCACATCAGCATAGGTAGTTAGGAGCTGGGCTTGCCATTAAAAGAAAGGAGCTAATGTACATATTGTATCTGACTACCTAACCGATACCCAGACTAGAGACCTGAGCTCTGGGCCCATGGGCAAGAAAAATGGCGAGTCCATTGCCAGATGATTATTCCTTTTAATTGGGGATAGCCACCGGTCTGCTTCTAGGCACTAAGATCAGGTCCACTTTTCTGGCCAGTCTGAGTAAAATCCGGGTCTGTTGCAATAAATAATGGAGGTTGGTACTATGGTAGGGAGCGGTAATCTCAGTGATGTCCTCTCCCCTTGCGGTATGTGTCTTGGGAATGAGTGTGTAGGGGGTGTTGCCTGGTGTAGGTAGTTTCCTAGGGAATAGTAAAGGCAGTGGCTACTTCCAAGGCAAGTGGGGCTGTAGACCTTTGCTTGTCTACAGCCAAATTCCGGTATTTAAGAAAAATGCAGATAAACTAGGTCAAATGCATCCAGAAGACCTCTCTTACAGGCGGTAGAAATCGCCATCTCCTGTTTAGACAGCATCTTAGGAAAGTTGTAATTGTGACTAAGAAAGGAGAGTAAAATGATGTGATCTCAATAGGGAAGACCAGGATAACGCCCACTGGTCCAAGACCAAAGAAAAACAGCGTTAAATAGCTGTACAAGTCATGTACTCCAAATTGGCAACTTCTCCCATCAGGACAGCCAACTAGGCTCTGAAGGTTGGCAGCAGAGATCTGGTGAGCTCATACAAAGCCCTGATTTGTCCTCCAACAGACAGTTACCAACCAAGTTAAAAAAAAGTGCAGGGTAAATCGGTGGAAAAACATAAAATATTGAGTTCTTGCAGAGCTCACAATATCTGCTTCAGCTGCTACCACATTCTGCACTTGCATTTTATTTTGTTTCCATAGTATAGCAGAGTTCCTGCAATGTCCATTTGAACTCCTATTTTATTAATATAATTATGAACAAAAACCATCAGATATCAGTCAAAGTCTGCTAATTTATAAGGAGAGAATGAAGAAAGGAGTATGGGTCTTTACGAGACACTAAAAATGTTATGTCTAGTGATCTGTGCATAAACATTATTTAAAAAAAAAAAAAAAAAACAGTAGTTGTACAGGCATGAAAGTGAAGGACTGAAACATCACGTGTTTCACACTTTTCATTGCTTGGCCATAGAATTGTTTGCTTTGAACAATAACCTTTTCATTTACAAATTAAAGGAAAACTGTAGGTATTATACCTGCTTTATCTTATTGGGGTGGTGGTTGTGTCTAGAGCCCCCTGGAGCCTTCCTTCCATTCAGCATTAAAACAGTTTTTAATGTTAAACAAGAATTAGCCTTAGCAGCAATGGGGATTTTTGATTGAGATTATCAGCTGACCACTTTCAGTTTATCAGAGCATCCATTGTTGGTAGGAATTAGTATGGCTAGAAGGAACTATACCCTTTAATCCAAAGTTATACTGTTGACTTTGAAGTCTTGTCGTGGATTGCTCCTTAACAGTCCAGCACTTACTGAGATAAGAACTCTGGGAGAATTTTGGTTGATGGTGTCAGCAAAAGACCCCCCATGTGTTATTTTTGGATGATGAATTTATCACTTCACAATGTCTCCTGTTAGGCACTGGCTTGTGTTTTCTAGACACTGTCTCAGAAGAAACTGTTCCCTGTCCTAGCAGAAGAGAGCAGTGGTCAAAATCAGCCTGTTTAGTATAGTATGAAGGTTTTCGAAACTCAAAGGTCTTCATATTCTGTGTCATACACACCATGCGGATGTTGACCGCTGTTAAAGGGATCCTATAGTGCCAGGAAAACAAACACGTTTTCCTGGCACTATAGGCTCCTGGGGTGCTCCTCTCCCTCGTGGCCCCACTCCTGTGAGGCTGCAGGGCTTTTAACCTGATGTCCCTCGGCGTTTGGTCAGGCTCCATCCACGCTCCTTATTTAAAGAAGCACTCTAGTGCCAGGAAAACAAACTTGTTTCCCTGGCACTATAGGGTTATTAGGCCCCCCCCTCCCGCTGGGCTGAAAGGGTTTAAACCCCTTCAACTACTTACCTTAATCCAGCGCCAGGCTTCCTCTGTGCTGGTGACCTCTCCTCCCCCTGCCGATGTCAGCGCCAAATGCGCATGCGTGGCAAGAGCTGTGCACGCATTCAAACCGCCTATAGGAAAGCATTACTCAGTGCTTTCCTACGGATGTCCAGCGTCATCGCAGTGTGATTTTCACACTGAGAATCGCGGAAGCGGCCTCTAGTGGCTGTCAGGGAAACAGCCATTAGAGGCTGGATTAACCCTCATTGTAAACATAGCAGTTTCTCTGAAACTGCTATATTTACAGCTGCAGGGTTAAAACTAGGGGGACCTGGCACGCAGACCACTTCATTGAGCTGAAGTGGTCTTGATGCCTATAGTAGTCCTTTAAGGCTTTCCTATGGGGAAAATCTGATGCTGGAGGTCCGTGAGGAAGATAACAGATCAAAAGTCCGTTTTGGATTCTAGAAGCCCTCTAGTGGCTATCTGCTAGACAGCCACAGAAGGCAGACTTAGAGCTGCAATTTAAACATTGCAGTTCTCTGGAACTGCAATGTTTTACATTGCAGCACTAAGTGCAAAAGAGTCACAGCACCCAGACTACTTCAATTAGCTGAAGTGGTCTGGATGCCTACAGTGTCCCTTTAATGTAAAGCATTGGATTCAATGCTTGTTGATCAAAACCATTGGAGTGAACAGAGAATGTCTGAACTGTGTCTGCTGAGAGGAGATTGTTCTGGCGCAGGATTAGAGAAGTTTTAAAAGATTTTTTTTTTTTAAATGACAATTTTAAAATGGGGAGGAGGGGGCAGTAATCTAAACAATAAAAGAACACACTGAGGTTGAAAATAGTTATTGTTAACTTTAGGGTGTTCTTTAAAAGGTGTAATCTAAGGACCAAAATGAATAATTTAAGTTATTTTGCAACATAAATTCTGCCTCTGCAACTTTCCAAAGAAAACCGTGCCATCCCTGAGAAACACTTCTGTTTACATTTTGCAATCAGACAGACAGCTGCTTGGGCTTGCAACATAATTAGATTCAATTATTTAATCTATTTTACACCTAGAGTACAAAGTGTACTCTTTTTTTTTTTTTTTTATGGATTCAATGCTTCTCTTAGAAAAGTATTAGATTAGTGGATCGCAGCAATTGCTGCTCATGTACTGTATGTCCCCAATGCTTCTCTTTTGCCTTACTTTTATTAGATGTCAAACAGGTCAACTGAGACTCGTGACTTGACCTACTTAAAGTGGTACATTTGCTTTTTCCTGTGTCACCGTGTGTGAGCGCTTACAATGGGTCTGTGAAGACTGCTGGGTCCTTTTTAGATTTTCATGTACTTGGCAATGAGATGCAATAGGCCTCATTCTTGCATTGCGCAAGAAAATAGATGCCTGTTTTTATCAACTGCCACGAGTGAAAAATATCGCAGTTTAAATGCTGCATTTTGCAGAATGTTGGCTGGTACACGCTAGGTTTTACTTTTATCTTTACTGTGTTTGGATTTTTAATAAAATTTCAAAGTTAAAAAAATATTTTTTTTTTCCTCCGACAGATTCTATATTTATGAATAAATTTCAGTAACCGTGATTATTTTGGTCAGCTTAAAACTGTTTATGTTTAATATTCTTTCATAACTGATTATGTGATATTTGTGTCCTATCCCTGGTAACCAAATTTACTCTAACATTTTCTCCTGAGAAAGATTGCCAAGTCCTTTCGTGATAGACTTTCATAAAATGTTCTTCCATGGGAATTTAGAGTCAGTTTTCTATTTGTTACCTAGGTGATTTTAAGAAAATATGCAAATTTTATGTAGCAGATATTGTTGTGCATATTGATACAAGAAAGTCTGAAACCAAATTGTCCTGAATTTAGAGGGGGGAAAAAATGCCTTCCTATGAGCCCAGCTTTTTATAGCAGGCAGGGGAGAGTATTTCAGTGGTCTATTTCTAGCAGACTACATATCTACCATCCTTTTCTGTATTTGTAAAACAATGTGTTGTGTCTTATACACAATTACCATGGCAGCTGCCATATGGGTACCCAAAATTGCTAACATCGACAAACTACCTCTTGGATTCCTGGGCTTTTGGTTCTTTTTTTTTTTTTCTTATTGGTAAAATGACTTGTCTAACCACAATGCTATTATATTTTTCCAGTTTTCTTATACTTTTGTAAGTCTTTATGAAATTCAACATGAAATTTACAGAATGTTGTTATAACATAGATACAATGGAAAAGAAAAAAGTAAAGTCAAGGCACTTCGCTGAATTTAACCACGTTTCTTGGATATTAATGTCTCTCCAGAACATGAGAGTGGTTACTAAGGGGGAGCATTAGTATTTATTGACATAGGAGGAAGCATGCAGTAAAAGCATATCATGCCACTCACAAGTCAAGAGGACCCACCACTACTTCTGAAGAAAATATTTTTTCCTATTTATGCTGTGCAAGCTATGTTCCTTGGTATTCTGCATAATTCAAATCCACTGTGCTTCTTTCCTCATGTCTGTTGTAAGTGGCTTTTTAATAACTCTCCGTATAATTGTCTTCTCTGTAATTTAACAGGCTTGGCTCCATGCAATAGATCTTAGAAAGGAAGTCTACCAGCACCTTGCTTACTATGTTCCCAAAATATACTGCCGGGGACGCAATCCATCTCCAGATAAAGAAGTGTTTGCAGAGAATGCCCTTCTTGGTCCCCTGGAGTGGTATATGTTTGGTGAAGACCCAGCAATTGGATTTCCAAAACTGAAACAAGCCAACAAACCATCACAACTCTGCGGCCGAGTTTTCAAAGTTGGAGAACCAACATATTCATGCAGGTACTGAATACTTGATTCACAATTTTCTTTTAAAATAAAGTACTGGATATGTGATCTAAAACTCACGATCTGCATTGAAAGAAAACAGGTGCACAGTACCACTCTTAACTTTTTTTTTTTTCTTTTTTTTTAAATGATCCTTTTACACGGGAACAGTAAAATAGGATACTCTGAGATCTATATAGAAACATTATTTTCTTTACCCTTATTGAAACCAAAGGAATATGTTTTCTTTTTGTTGAGTGGGCAGTTTGCATCCTTGTCGGTGCAATTGGAAGCATGTACATTAGTTTTGTGAGCACAGATGGTTATTCACTAAACATTAAATATTGGTGAACTGAAACTGTGGGAAGATGGTGAAAATCATACAATATGTGTAATTATTGCAAATTCAATTTTTAACTTGTCAGAACATGATTAGTGAATTAACCCCTATATTAACCCCTAATCAATTCTAGGTAGTCAGATTTCTTCTTTTATTGAACATGATTTATGGCAGAGGTTGGAAATGTGACTAAAATCTGGCACCCATCTCATCGAAAACCAGATTTAAATTCTGCAATTTGGTAAATTATATTTTTACCAAAATCCCGATAGCACCATGTGCAAATTAGCAAGCAGCATATCGCTTTTTAAATTCCAGCCAACGTTTTTCTCAGTTCCATCGGCAATAAGCTGTTGTTCACATGTTCAAGATTTAAAGCATTAATTTATCTACATACAGCTTTTAAAAGATTTGTTTAATCAGTGTGGAGCTGTTCAACTCAGGCTGTGTTTGCTAGGGTTGGTCCAGAGGTTTATGGATGTCTTCAAATGTCAGAAGCTTCTTTTAACACATTCTTCACTGTTATGAATCTTTGGCATGGCATGATATTAGAAACAAATGGGTATTAAAAAAATATATATATATTTTTTTATGTTCCAAAGCAGCTGAATTGCAAGTGATAGGCTTTTGTGTTACTCCAAACACCATGACCACTTCATTAATTTGCAAAGGTCATGGTGCCTGGAATCTGTATGTGCAGCATTTCAATCTGAAACGCTACACAGAGGGAGTTTAACCCCTTGGCTGCTGGAGGTGTTACTCCACCTCCAGTAGTATAATTGATTTGTCATTAGCCAACCTAGGTCTGGGCTGGCTAAAATTGATTCTGTGCATAGTTCTTTGCACAGATGTTCATTCATTGGCTGAGAGCAGTCAGTTGACAAGCTGATCCAATGAATGAGTGTCAGTATCGGCATCTGGCTTCTGCAGTTCTGTAGAAGCAGGTTGTCCTAAACCTGCCATCAAAGCAGACCAGAAGCCTGGCGGGACCCGGGTAAAAGGTTATCCTCCGTTACCGAGAAATGGGGCCAGGGTACTTTTCTCATCATGATCACTACAGCAGGCTGTGGGGGTTATAATGGCTGTAATAACCTTTTAAAGAAAAAAAAAAACCAATGCATAAAATATTACTTACCTCTAATCCAGCAGCTGGGTCATATTTTTACTTGTAGTGATCACCTTGCCATCCCAATGCATTTTATAGAGGAACATTGCCATACAGGGCACATGCTCAGCAATTAGGACTATCCGCTCTTAGAGAAACATTAGAACCATGTCAGAGATAACATTTGACAGCCTAGCCTGCTAGGTAAGTGTTCATATTAGATGGCATTGTGACTTCTGTCACAGACAGCCAGGACATGGTTTCCCCCACTTCTGCATTGTCATATGACACTGTGCAATATGTGACTGAAACATGATCTGCCTGGTAAAATAACTGGTCAGGTCATATAATGTGAAAAGGCTGTAAGATAGAATAATAATTGAGGGTTTGCTCTGCAACAGCTGTAGTGTCAGAGATGCTGTTCTCTTCTAGCTGCAGTTATGATTTTCCCAGCATGCTCTGAAAATTCCGACACACGTGCGTTAAATTTATTGGGACTCTTCTCTCAGATTGCAATTCCCCAGCAAGTGCTACCAGTCTTAACCCCTTAAGGTCCAAACTTCTGGAATAAAAGGGAATCATCACATGTCATGTGTCCTCAAGGGGTTAAGGACCACCAGCATTTTAACCATTTAACCACTCTCTATACCTCAACAACAAGTAGATAACACGTTTGTATTTTTGAAGTGGTTTGGTCCTCTTTGCCTCTGAGAGCTCCTGTGGCTCCAACTGATCAGCAACGCGTTACAAGACGTGTAGTTTACCAGTAAAATCATAGATTTAAATGCAGTCTGGCAGGAGCTACAATCTCCCAAACAATTCTGCATTCCTGGAGAGGTGTTAAACCATATAATTTTAGGCAGTGTACATCAGTACCTCTGTAATTTACCAAAAATCATCCTCACTGTGATTTACAAGTGCGTGAAATATCAGCCTATTAAAATAAATAAAACAAACGGGTAGATCATTGAATAATCGGATACATGAACAATAAAATGTTTGAGATTCTTCTGTATTCTAGCTACATTGCTTCAATTTGTGTATATCTAAGGATTTTAAACGTTCTTGATTATATTGTGTGAGCTCCTTTTGTGGAGACAAAACTGTTTTAGTGACTCTGTATTTGTATGTAAATTACAAGGACTATAAGTGGAATAGCATCGTTGTTTTTTTTTGTGTTTTTTTTGGAAAACTCCTCAAAAATAACTGTTCCTTTAAATGTAAAGCGTTACTTTAAATAAACAGACGTGCTGTGTGCAAACAGGAAATAGATGAAACCCAGCCGTAAGCTTGAAAACTTGACCTCATTTACAGTTGTGCTGTGAAGCTATATGTAACTGGTGTGCCACTTCCTGTCACATTGAGTCACTCCTGTCCCACCTTTCTGTCCCTGATCAAGTTCACAGCAGCAGCCTAAAAATAACTTGTTAAAGGTCCTTTTACTAAGCTTACTTGACTTTACCGAAACTAACTGTGACTTTCCCTAAATTGTTTTAATGTGTCAGTGTCTTGTTTCAATGGAATTACAATATCAAACAGTAATTCACTTTGTGCATATATTTATATCATTTTAGTATTTACCTACGTAAGAATTCAAAGTGGATTTAAAATTTAAGGTCAAAATAGTCAAACTGGGAACATTTTCTATACCATCTATGCTTCCAGTTTCGCTACTTTGGTCAAAAATAGAAATTTATTTAGAATTCTTACTTTACTGAATAACCCTGAGGGTGAACTGAAGTGGTGACCATTCTGTCTCCCAGGTCCTGAGTCAATTACAAGAAATTTTTTTTTTAAATTAGTCAATTCAAGTTGCAAACTAATCGTAGACTAAGCATTAAAATGACATAAAGCAATAATCTAAATGTAATAATTACCAAAAGAACCTCGCCATTGTTGAGCTGATTTCGTGCCTAGTATCCTAGTGGAGGTATCCCTACAGTGGTACCATTCAATACATTGGACAGAGAGCATTCTGTTAAAGCTAAAATTAATCCTAAATGAGCCCAAGACCTATAGACATAAAAAGGTTACCCGCACTCTACAATCTTTTTCTTCTTTACATCCTTATTGTAACACTGAACACACTGCATCCTCACTCGATAATTCTTATTACAAGCTAGTGTGCTGCAATGAAACCGATCTGCATAGCTGGAACTGGCACTGGACCTCTCTTAGCCCATCGCAGCCGCTGTTGCTGGAAGAATTACTATGGCTAAAGGAAGTATATAATATTTCTTAGTAATAGCTCCTGTAGGGACTGGACTGTGGGCAGCTAGAGACTCTTATTTACTTATTGAAAATAGTTTAACAGTGAATAGAGGGACAGTGTTGGGGTACTGCAAGCACTATTTCCAAATGGTTTTAGTACCTACTGTGTCCCTTTAAGCTTTGTCCATTGCCATATATGATGAATTTCAATAAAGTATAAACAAGCACAAATAGATTTACAAGATTGGAACCTTGCCACTCAAAAGGTTTAAAGAAGCACTACCGCGTTAGGAATGCAAATGTCTGTTTCTAATGCTATAGTGCCATGTTGGCAGCTTAGCTGACCATCCCCTACCATCCGAGTATAAAAAGGGTTTTATCCTCGACAATTGGTCCAGACCAGAACAACAATTGCTAAACAAAATAGCATTGGCAGCTAGAAAAGCCCTAGCCCAAACATGGTTGCGACCCCCTAACCCCCCCAATGTCTACAGTGCTCAACAAAATTAGAGAGTGTCACCTCATGGATAAATTGATGGCCCAAATAAGAGGCTCAATGAAAACATTCACTAAGACGTGGGAACCATGGGAAAATTACATTGATAAACATTAAATCACAAAAGACGACCAAGACCTCCCCCCTTCCCCACTCCCTATCATCAGCCCGAGTCAACCGGTACCCCTGCCTATAAGTTCAACACACCAAAGCCACCAAAATAATATGGCAACTTAAACATACTGTTATGAAATATTATTCATGTTTTACGTTACTTGTTCTTTTCACTCACATTACTTCTAAAACCAATGACAGACAGATCTTAAGTACAGATGATGCACACGAAATGCCATGAAAACCTCACGAACCACCTAACGGCAATATATACTTCTTGAATTCACAATGAGGCTTTTGCGCAAGCCCTATGACTGCATTATGTAATTTTCTCTGTCATTGCAAAAATAAAGAATTATAAAAAAAAAAAGGGGGGGGGGGTTTATACCCATTTTATTCTCTGCCTTTTCTCCATTGCAGCATTGGTGCCCCTTTAAGCCTTTGCCCATTCTCAGCTCCAAGTTTATTTATAGTCTGCTCTATGGAAAATCTCCACTAAAGAGGAGCTTTTTATCTAGATTGATCCTACCTATATGGGCAATCCAGAACCAAAATTACACATGGCTAACCTAGACATTAATATTCTTCCATAGGCCTCATAAATGACCTATTGCTGATTTACATTTAGGCACAATGAGAAGACTATTCCTCTTATTGCTGCTGTTGCTATTATTACACCAAAAAAGTCAAATGTATAATTGTCTTCATCATGACTAGTATGTTCATGCATCTTCTAATGTTTTCATTTTCAGAGACTGTGCTGTGGATCCCACGTGTGTATTGTGCATGGAATGTTTTTTGGGAAGTATTCATAGAGATCATCGCTACCGGGTCAGTAATTTTTTGCTTTTTTTCAGTAATATCCTTAAAAAAAAAAAAAAAGATTATGCTAAGATGGTTATTTGCGCAATAGTTTTTAATCTTCTAATCGCAATTCAAGTTACAAGATTTGTGTGTGCATTAATTACATAAGTGGGTGAATCTCCATGTAAGTGATCCCTTAAGATACCATCTTACGGTTATCCAGCACCTTATTTTTAAAATGACTTTCCTGTCTGGCTATCTCTCATATTTCTTTTTTGACCCAATTTCATTTGTGCCACTGCCTGTTTGGCAATATATATGATGCTACAGTTTACCAATGTTATTGCTGACCTAAGCCCTTGTGTGGAGAGAATTATAATGCCATTTAATACTTGGTGATATTTCTCTAATAAGTTCTGTTATTTGAAAGCATATTTTTAAGAAATTTATTTTTTTCTCGTTTCACAGGTTTGTGCTCTTTTCGAAGTATGTTGTTTTTCTGAGTCCTATCTATATATATATATATTCTAAGTAGAGATTGTAGCCGTATTAGTCCAGTATAAAGTGTACCATCCTGTGCACTGTCTGCTTGTTTGTTTTTCTTTTCCCTCTCTCCCCCCTCATTCTGCTCTTCAACAAGATATTTATGACCCTCTGCTAAGATGGTGTCTATTTTCTAACAAACCTGTGTCTTATCTACACTCATGAACCCCTGTATCACAACTCAACTTTGAATTCTATGTGTTGTCTTGCTCAGAAATGCTTCAGACTTGAGAAAGGGAGGTTCTCCCGAAAGCTTGTCATTAAAAAATTCTGTTAGTCCAATAAAAAAGGTATTACAAGATACGAATTTTATCTTTTACATATATATACATATTTTTTGTTTCTTTTAAACTATTCACTCGAATATTGAGAGATAAGTACATTTTTGTTTTCTATTACTTTCTATTCTATTGAAATTTGTGTATTGAGTTTCTGACTTAATTTATTATACAAAATCCCCATTATTTATATAGCCCTCTTCTTTTCTGCAATTCAAATTTTTTATTTTATTTTTTATTTATTTTTTATAAGCAAAACATGCTTTACCTTTCTTCAGTTACAGGATCTTTCATGTGATGTTCCTGAATTGCTATTAATGCAGCCAAAATCTTCCTACAATTTCCTTCTTGCACATGAGCTGCCATCGGCACCATGCTAGGAAACTTCTTTTATTTGAAGTTAGCATTTTGTGTCAGAACAGAAAACAAAACGATGGTGTAACACCAATTAATAAACACACAGAGCAAAGTATGGAGTAACGTATAAAGCCTCCATCTCTAGGCTCAATAAAAGCATTACCCCATGTGGGACCTGATTACAAATTTTCTTTTCTTAATTTATAAGACTCTGCACTTTACTGGTAATCATGGTTTGATACATGGTCCTGTGGGACTAAGTATAATGCCATTCACTTGATATTGAGTAATATTTTCATCTTTTATTTCTTCTGAAGCAAGCTGCTTTCTCTTGTACTGGAGTATTTTTTTTTTTTTTTTTATGTAAGAAAGTCAAGAAACGTGTAGTTTCACACAGCAATTATTAGTTTTTTCCTTTGGAATGTTTTACCTTTTTGAAGTACTCATAAGTCGCTTTTATTCTATGTATAACTAAGCATTGATGGCTCAGGTCAAGACATTGCTGTGTTTCCTCCTCAGATGACCACGTCAGGTGGTGGGGGATTCTGTGACTGTGGAGACACAGAAGCATGGAAAGAAGGACCATACTGCCAGATACATGGAGTTAACATCTCTGAAAGTGAAGTAGAGGTAATGCAAGCCTAAACCAACACCTGCTGTCTAAGTACTTGTCCATGTTAATGTATAATATATATTATTTTGTGTGTGTAAGATTTAGACAAGGCATGATATCTCACAATATTCACTTTATATTGAAGGCAATTCCCTGTGATTAATACGCATGAAGGCGATCATGGGAGTAGACTGTTTGTGAGCATTATTTAGCCTTTTAGAAAGGGGGATTAAAGAGACACATCCTCAAACAAAAATAAAAAAATAAAACAAACAATTTGTCCCCATAAACATGTTTCATATATCATACATTTGGGAAAAATTTATATCTTTGTACAACCCCATGAGACACCACAACTCTACACTATGGAATTTGAAGCATTTTACTTTCTCGAATATTTATGATTTTTGTAATTTGGATATTCTTCTTCTGACAGGATCCACTTGTTCATCTATCAGACGATATAATCGCGCGGGCATACAACGTTTTTGCCATTATGTTCCAGTATGCTGTTGATATTCTGACATGGGAGAAGGAGAATGAACTGCCTTCTGGGCTTGAGTGTCTGTAAGTACATCAGAGTATCAAGTCAGATGCAAACGGCTAATAGCAGGAGTTGGAAACAGAATACAATTACAAACACATGCTAATTCTGTGCTATAAAACACGGTTTTTATTTAATACGTTTCTAATTAGAATCATTCACCATTATTCACAAGCCTGAATTGTTTTGTATTTTTTTATTTTATTTAAAAATCTTATTTAAAACTTTGCACCAAAATAGCAGAAACAAAAATGAGCTCATTTGGAGATTGGTTACAGTTGTGTTGTTTTGGCTTAAACTTTTGAATTCTCATTGTGTCCCAAACAATTCAATTTTTTTTAATTTATTTTTTATTCTTTATTTTATTTAACAATATAACAATAACAATATAACAATAACAATATAACAATCATATCAGGCTTACAATGCCACAACAGCTACGGTAAGCAGTTTTGTTAACATGTTATTACATGAGTGAGGCATTAGCGGTTACTGCACATTTCTTATATATTAATGTTGTTTGTCAATGAATTTTTTCTATTCTGCTTAACAGGAAAGGTAAGGTACGAGATTAGACAGAGCATAATAGCATACATTTAGCACTAGAGATTGAAGCATTGCTATTGCAGAGTATGCACAGGTAATAGGTAAATACTGTGAGGTATATTGTAAGAGTAGTATACAAGCGAGGTATGCCACCCTGAGTGAAATTTAGTAGCATGTGCTAGTGTGAAGATATTTGGGACAGCAGATAAGTTACACGTTCATCAGAAATGTCAATCTTAGCATACAATTAGGTGAAGAAGGGATGATTTCTCCTGGCTGTGTGTGATGTGAGTGTGATTTAGATGACCCTCTGTGCACTCAGCCTATGCCCGTGATGGGCAGGGTACAATACCAGGTAATGGGATGCATTAGGAGGTGTAGTGACCCAGACAAAATCGATGCACAGTCCATGTTATATGGTTTCTTCTTCGATATCCCCTGCTCTCCTCTCCCTGCTTTATCCTGCTTGATTTTCCAGCTGCCGGTTCTATAGGCACCCCTTGCTGATGCAGGCCTGCGCTTCCCACCTTCCGTGCTCCACTGACCCGGTCTTCTCTGTCATTTTCGCACTGTCTTTGTGCCACGCCAAGTTTGAGGCTGCCGGAGACCGGGTTTAGGTGGGTGATCCTGCGAGGTTTGTAGGTCGGGTACCGGTTGTCGGAGGGACAGCGTCCCCCAAAAGTCAGAAAGAAGTTTGTCCAGGAAGGACAGCGTTCTGGACACCATACCTTCATATCCAGGTGTGGGGTCCGCGGCATCCGCCATATTAGGTTTACCGTATTGGGGTATCATTGCCATCTGAGTCAGGTTCGCACAGCCCCGGTAAAGTGAGTGAGCCTCCAGGGTGGGGACCGGGATCTCCCCTGCCGGTCCATAGTGTGGGGTAGCAGGGCACCATCAAGATTTGGATGAAGGTCCGCCTGAGCTTGGCTGGGAGAACGGCCGCCTCTCCCCTCCACTATGCTTGCTAGGCCTCACTCCAGCCCATCGAGGGCTTAGTCTGGACGGCTGCTGTTGACCGTTCAAAGCCAGTCACCTTTCACCTGACGTTCAAGCTTCGCAGGCTGTCTGAGAAAGCACCGGGACTACGGGTAAGCGGCTTAATTTCACTAATTTGCCCGGAGGTCTCTGAAAAGGCATCCAGCCACCATCACAGTCCGGCCCCGCCCCCAACAATTCACTCTTTTATGAGTAATACTAAATATGTCCTTATTTATTTTTAACTTCTTTTTTTTGTTATTTGTTTTATGTATTGCAATTCCTTTAGGAGTTCCTCTGCCTAGCTGTAATATCAGAATGTTAAGTACTTTTTCAATGATCCTTATTCTTGGATATATTTGAGTGATGGTGGAGGTTAATTAGTAACATCTGGGGTAAAGGAGGATTTCTAAGAACAAGAAAGTAATTTAAAGTTGTCATATGGCCACTGGATACCACCTAGAATCCCATAAAGTAAAAGGATGTCTAGCTTGGAGGCAGGAGACACCACAAAACCTGGCAGTATTATAAGATGAATTTCAGTTGAGGATAAAAACAATAATTAACTTGCTGAGTGGTCTGTTTATATAGCTGGGGTAGTTCCTATTAAAGCTGTAATTAGTGTGTGCAGTGAAACAACCTTAAAGGGGCACTATAGTCACCACAACAACTACAGCTTATTGAATTTGTTCTGGTGAGTAGAATCATTCCCTTCAGGCTTTTTGCTGTAAACACTGTCCTTTTCAGAGAAAATGCAGTGTTTACATTACAGCCTAGTGATAACTTCACTGGCCACTTCTCAGATGGCTGCTAGAGGTGCTTCCTATATCAGTCTTGCCTAGTATGCATTACAACATTCAGTATCTCCTCCCTCTGCATGCAGACACTGAGATTTCCTAATAAAGATTCATTCATTCAATTCATCTCTATGAGGAGATGCTGATTGGCCAGGGCTGTGTTTGACTTGTGTTGGCTCTGCCCCTGATCTGCCTCCTTGACAGTCTTAGCCAATCCTATGGGAAGCATGGCAATTGGCTCAGAACAACACTTCTGATGATGTCAGCAGACAGCTTGCAGGTCTGAGGCAGACCGGGGGAGAGCCAGCAGCTTCAGGCTTGAATACAAGTAAGAATATACTATATTTTGGGATGCAAGAGAGGGCCAGGAGGACTAGATGGTGGCTTTAACACTATACGGTCAGAAATATGTTTGCGTTCCTGAACCTTTAGTTCTCCTTTAATGAAACACCACAGGGTCAGGAGAAAAATAAGTATTCATGGCCCTATAGTTAGTGACCCTAAATATAGTGAAATCTTACCTTTACACTAGTCTACTGGTGCTGGCTCCGCCCTGATCTGCCTCCTTGGCTTACAACATCAGAAGTGATTATCTCAGTGCTTTGCCATAGGAAAGCATTGGATTGGCTGAGTTTGTCAATTCTGATTATCTGAGCCAAGGAGGCGGACCAGGAGGTGGAGCCAAATGCTGCCTTGGCCGTCAGCATCTCCTCATAGAGATGCATTGAATCAATACATCTCAATGAGGAAAGTTCAGTATCTCCATGCAGAGGATCTGCTTGTGATGAGAATGCGGAGAAAAAAAGGTGTGAAAATGGTGTTTCTATCTGAAAAGTGGGTCACTGATACTTTGTATTTGCTGACTTTAAGTGAGCTGTGGTTTGACACCTTTGGGGAACTGGTTTTAGTGTCCTTAGAAGACCTACAAACTCTTTGTCATAAAAGGGGAAACATGTAAAGCTTTTTAAACACACAAAGTACCATAATCACTTCAAGTGATTGATGTAAATGTGGAGCCTGGAGTCCCATAGGCTTTGGATCTAGCTTGACTGTTTAAATGGTTTACTCACCACGTAATAGAGATAGTCAGTCCTCTGCAGCCTAGGCATCCAAATACAATAATGAGGAGGTAGAGTTGTGCCACTGCCTTGGGCCAAACCAGGGATTGCTGGCAGTGAGAGAGAGCGCTCACTGCCCCCATTCCCTGGTATGGTGTGAGGCAGTGAGCAACCCCTCTTTCACCTTATAATAATTGGGGGGTGGGGGGGACAGACTGCTAGGAACAAAGCATTCCTGTTAAATTATGAGTAATCGATTTGTCATCCAGCACCCGTGGACTTGAGGCTCCGTACACTGCAATCATTTGAAATGGTTATCGTGCCCACAGTGTCATTTAAAAAGTAATTTTTTTTTTATTTTTATTTTTTCTCACTTCTCTGCCATTACAAAATTGTAATTCAAATCTGGCAGAGATTTAATAGGTTGACCTATGGGCATTTGGAGGTCACAAATACATTTTTAGGTCTAATCTGCAATTACAAAAGAAAATGTTGGAATTATTATATTAGACTTATTGAGATTCCATGGAGGTCCAATTGCGTATGTCATGCAACAAACTCACAATAGTTTCACCTTACCATGGACATTACCAGTGATGTACAGACCAGCACAGTGAACAAAGGGTCCACGTCTGAATAGTTATTCACTAAAGTGAATTTCAAAATTTAGGGCATAAGCCAAAAAAAAAAAAAAGGCCACTATGTTTCCAGTTTATCTATTTTGCCCTAAAATGTGATATTTACTTTGAAGTGGTCATGGTGCCTGGAGTCTGTATATGCAGTGTTTGGAAACATTGCACATAACAAGTGTAAGCCCTTTGCTGCTCTAGCTGTAACTCCAACTCTAGCAGTGTCATTGGGGCATCATCAAGCGTTCTATTCCTTGGCTGAGAATGTCATCTCACCCTCTCAGCCAATAAATGAGTAACACGATTGGCATATGGCTTCTGCAGATTTGCAGAGGTCGGTTGTCGTTAGCCTGCTACAGAGGTAACATTTTACAACTGTAAAATGATTCTCCCCATTTGGGGGAAAATGGCACCAGGGTTCCATTACCATCAGAGTAGTAAATCCAGGACAAAACCTGATTGTCTATTGAGTTCACTTTCTATAAAATGACTCTCCAAATTGTAAAACCGCTTTAATGCTTTTGATTGGTTTTGTCCTCATTTATATAACATATTTTTGCATGATCAACTAAGGATAGTTTTTTGCAAAAATGAACTAAAGGTTTTACAGCTTTCTGCATTAGAAGCTTGCCTGCTTAGTTCCCCCCCCCTCTCCTTTCTTTTTTGACAATCTTTATTTAAGGGTGCACACAGTACAAGGAACCATGCAAAAAAATGAGTTACAGTAAATGTAAACAAACCTAAGACATCACAAACATTTACAACAAAAATGTTGGGACAAAGCTAATATGTTTGCTAATATGTAACACCCGACAGGAGCTCCGTTAATGACCGAAGGAATTGGATCTCAAAACAGTGGGGCATAACGGTCAAGGTATAATTCTAAGTTGTGCACTAATAAACATTTAAATCAGGGGGACAACAGTGTCTACCTTGTGAGAGCAGGTGGAACAGAAGAACGGTCATAGAGGCATGGCACAACGTCCAAGAAAGGAATATAGCGAGAGATAGTAATATGTAGAAAAGTTGAAGGAGATCGGTAAAAGGAGAAAAGAGGAAGAGCACTGTGTGTGTGTTGGAAGGGGTGCAGAGGGAACATTTCATGTAAAAAATAGGAGATTCTCGCTCGTTCTTACATTAGATTTGTATATATGTAGCTCAGCCACTGACGGCCCTTGACTGGTACGGGAGCTGCAGGGAAGCCAGCACAATAGGGAGAGGACACCAGGCAGTGAAGAGAAATATTTTATTTGCACATTTTATTAAAATTACATCGCCATTTTTTTTTTTCTTCAATATCTGATTTTTATTAAATTTTTTTCAGAAGATAATAAACGACAATTGGGGATACAGAAAAGAAGAGGGGGAAGGGTTAAATAATATGAAGTTTGTACAGCTTTGTAAGGTACATACAAAACATTAAGGGTATAGCAACCAATATATTCAATACATGGGATATACAGGTTTACTTATCTGTCTCTGTCGTTGTACTTCCCCAGGGTACAGTCGTGTGTTCAGACAGACTACTTAGCATGCAGACATTTTTTAAATTAGACAGGGGCTAATCAGTCCGGCATACAATAGAGCTCTTGTTATAACCCTTACTTTCAAATGCGCTGCCGTACTCTCCTCAGTACAGCAGGCGAGCATGTGCTACCAGCATTGTTGTCACGTAGGGTAGGTGATGATTTTGAAAGTATGCCGTGTCGGCTCGGTACTCTGCCTGTATCTCCCTGACCTATTTTCCTCGCCATCCTAGATGGGATGCAGCCCCGTTTTGTTTGAGAGACTGATCTCGTTTTAGTTGGTTCCTTGGTGTCTGTGGCCCCGTTCCAGGGGTCGGTTTGGTTCATTTGTTTGTGTATCTTTGTGGTGTTGGCATTTTAATACCATCTTCAGGTGGAATAGTTATTTGTGTAACAGACTTAATACAGAGGAAATCATATTAAAAAGAAAAGTGAAAACGGGTGGTTAACTTAAACCCAACTGGTTATGTATGTAGTCCCTGCTTGAGCATATTTTAGTTAAGTGTCTATTGAGAATATATATGGGAACGAGTGTGGCCAAGGACGAAGATGTAGAGGTATGGAGTGATCGCGTCCTTCTTGGCTCTATGGGGGTTTTAGCGCTTGGCGGTTTTCTATCCAGCTGGCCCAGTTTTTAGAGTGGATCTCCACTTTGCCTTTGAGCCTATGCCATGCGTTCGTATTCGCATGTGGATTCCACCCTATTCCACACCTCTGCGAAGGATGGCACATTAATACTTTTAAACGGCCTGCCGTTTTTTTGCCGCCAGCAGCAGGTGTATGACCACCACCTTTTGGTTTGCAGAGAACAGGACGGGGGACAGGTGTAGGAGGTAACATTCTGGTGTGAATGGTAGTGGTTTTGACAGGATCAATGTTATTACCTCCCCCCATTCTCCGCCAATATGGCTCCAGTGTGGGGCAGTCCAAAAATGTGCTTAAAGGACCACTATAGTGCCCTGAGGGTACACTCTCCCTCATGGACCCCCACTCTGGGGAGAGGAAGGGGTTAAACTTACCTCTTTCTCCAGCGCCGGGCGGGGAGCTCTCCGCCTCCTCTCCTCCTCTTCGGCTGAATGTGCATGCGCGGCACGAGCTGCGCGTGCATTCAGCCAGTCTCATAGGAAAGCATTAATAATGCTTTCCTATGGACGCTGGCGTCTTCTCACTGTGATTTTCACAGTGAGAAGCACACAAGCGCCTCTAGCGGCTGTCAAGAGACAGCCACTAGAGGCTGGATTAACCTATTTATAGACATAGCAGTTTCTCTGAAACTATGTTTATAAAAAAAAAAAGGGGGGGGTTAACCCATTAAGCTGAAGTGGTCTGGGTGCCTTTAGTGGTCCTTTAAGGGAACCAGTGTGTAAGGCGCAGCACCAGCACATGGGGGATACCGTGTGTTAAATGCGTGCTAGACGATCCGGGACCAGATACCACCTCATTATGAGATTAAAATACGCCTCCCAGTGCGACAGGATATGGGTGGGTGCTTTGGTGGTTTGTATGGCTTGAAGCCATAGTGGGATAGGGAAAGCGGTGTCGAGGTCTTTCTCCCACTGCTCTATGTAAGTGTGTTTGGTCAGTGGGTCAGCGTCGTTGATGGCATTGTAACATAAGGAGAGGGGTTTAGCCTTTGTGTTTTTTCCTATACAGTGCAGGCCAAACTTAGTGAGGTGGGGTACTTCACAGTGGTGGGCATTATGTGCCGTTATATGTTGTAGCCTAAGGTAGGTGAATATAGCATTGGCTGGTAGGGCGAACTTCTTCTTTTTTGCGTCTGAAAACACAAAATTAACATATTTACATTCTTTGTCAGTTACCAGCCATTATGTATCCCATAATGTGAAATGGTTGAGTGCTGAGAAATACTTTTTCACTATAAAATGCTGAAAATAACCTTTTCCCAATTTAGTTGAAATCCCTTCACAACTAAAATACACCCCCCTTCCCCCCCAAAGAGGTGTGGTTGAAAACCTCTTCCACCTGAAGTAGTGTATTAACTATCCACTTACGTCAGATGGAAGGGGTTTTCATCCACACTTTTTTCCCCACCACAACTATTTTGGTATGTACTTCTCAAGTAACACCAAGCCTCCAGAGCCAGCCAGTAACCAACCTCATGCTGATGAGTTGCATTAATAACAAAACAGCTGTCTATGAGTGGTTCACTGGCTTTGCCCCTCTTCCTGAGTTGTTTCAAAGCTGTTGTATACAGCAGACACATACTCCAAGGAATCCATGTATAAAGTTGAATTTTGAGGCCAAAATGTGATTCTTTGTTTAGCTCATTTGCACAAGTCTACCCAGAGCACTGTTAAAGTGTGACTTATGTGGGAAAAGCAAGTCTTATGGCTTGACTGGTGTGTGTATTTGTGTTTAGCATTGTATTAACTATACATAGTTAATACACAAGTACATACACACACTATATAATATATTATTTGGACAATCTTATAGAGCAATTTATTAAGCCCTATTATGTTTATCATTCGCAATAGCTATTGTTTTGTGTAAAGTGCCATCTACAGCTCTCTGGAACTTGAAAGAAAAAAATCTTTGAAATGCTTTTGCTCACGTTTTTTGTTTTTTTTTTGTTTTTTTTTGTCAACAGGGAAAAAAAAGACACATATTACTGCATGCTGTTTAATGATGAGGTCCACACATACGAGCAGGTTATATACACGCTGCAAAAGGCAGTGAGCTGCACACAGAAAGAAGCCATTAGTTTTGCTACAACAGTGGATCGAGATGTAAGTTTCTGTATTTTATGTTTTTTTTCCTAATCCTCCAACCAACCCTCACTGTTAGAACAGTTTTAATGTTTTGTAGATAAACAATTCGTAACCATGCATGATAATGTACCTTTTTTCATTTTCAAGGGCCGCAGATCTGTCCGGTATGGAGACTTTCAGTACTGTGAAAGTGCAAAGTCTGTCATTGTGGTGAGTAACATCTTCACTTAAAGGGACAGTATAGTCATCAAAACATCTTTAGCCCTGCAGTCTTATTGCTCAATTATCTGCCATTCAAGAGGTAAATCATTTTAATATACATATCCCTAATTACACTTCCCTGCATGTAATGTGCAAAGTTTCCTAAACACCTTCTGTAAAGAGAGCTAATGTTTAAACTTCGTTTATTGCACATTCTGTTTAATTTAGAACTTCTTATCTCCTGCACTGTTAATAGACGTCTAGACCATGCAGAAGCCTCCTGTGTGTGAACAAAGTTCAATTTACAGAGCAGGTAAAAATGTTTAAAGCAAGTCACAAGCAGGGGAGGTGTGGCTAGGGCTGCATGGACACAAACAAAAGTGATTTAACTCCTAAATGGCAGAGAACTGAGCAGTGAAACTGCAGGGGCGTGGTTTATACCAATAAAGATGATGACCACATGTTTTAAAACTACAGCTTCCATGATGCTTTGTCATTCTAAAGGAATGCAAAGCATCATGGGAACTGTAGTTCTACCACATCTGGGGATATACCTTTTGGGAACAACTTGTTTATACAACATAAACTGCTTCATTAAGCTAAGTTGTTTTAGTGCCTATAGTGTGCCTTTAGGTTTTTTTTTCTTAAATGATATGTGATCCTTAGAGTATCCCTCTCCTGAGCAATGAAAAAGCATTTAAAGCGGAACTGTTATTTAAAGAGGAACTGTCATTTAAAGAGAAGTCACTATTACTTGTTCCTTCACCCTCAGTACATGCTGTTACAGTATTTACCACTCACATAAGTTCCTCTTTAAGATAACTTTAAAACAGCATAATAGCTTTTGCTCTTTGCATTGGTTATGGTACATGGAGACCCCTATCACTTTCTCCCTGCATTTTGTTGCCCTTTTTAAAGAATTGCTTCGTCCTGCCCTTTGACATAACAGAAGGAACCTGCCTTAAGTAATGGTACCCATGGGATGCATCATTTGGGTGCTGGTGTGATGCATTTTCCTTCATGTCAGCATTTTGTGTTGACCGAGGAAGAAATCTTTGCAATGGTTTGTCTTTTAACCTTTACATTTGCGCCAATCTGAATAATCGCCCTCATGAATTGTGATGACAGGCCCACTTTAATAGTAGACTGAATTTATTGCAGAATTGGGCAGCATGCAATATTAAAAACTATTCATGCGAGATTTCCTTAAAAAGGTAAGATAATGTTTAGCGGCTTTTTCAAAATTTATTTGTTTAGTCATATTCTCTTCAGAGAAACACCAGTCGGCAGACGAAGCCTCTGAAAGTGCAAGTCATGCATTCTTCTGTTGTTGCGCACCAGACGTTTGGGTTAAGGTTCCTTAACTGGCTGGGCCAAGTCATTGGCTATTCTGGTATGTATTTACTTTGTAGCATGTTCATTGTTTATAGAGTCCTAATCCTTTTTTTTTTTTTTATTTCCATTTAAATTTAACTCCTGAACAGCAGAATTGAGCAGTAAGTGACACCAAAGCTAAAGTAGTTTTGGTACTTGGGGTATCTATTTAAATGTTTTCTTTTTAATCTGTTTTTTTTTTTTTCCTATCTATAATCAAATTTTTTTTTATCTATAATATCACTTTATCACAGCATTTATGTCATTTCCTTTCCCGTGCACAGCCATTTCCATGAGGTAGTACTTACTTGACTGAAGACCCCTCTCCTTGCTTGTTCCAGACTCATTTGTTTCATTTGTTTGTTGTATCCTCCAGGTAAAGGACCACTATAGTGCCCTGAGGGTGCCCCCACCCTCAGGGACCCCCTCCCGCCCGGCTCTGGAAAGGGGAAAAGGGGTAAAACTTACCTTTTTCCAGCGCTGGGCGGGGAGCTCTCTGCCTCCGATCCTCCCCATCGGCTGAATGCGCACGCGCGGTAAGAGCTGCGCGCACATTCAGCCGGTCGCATAGGAAAGCATTATCAATTTTCACAGTGAGAATCACGCAAGCGCTTCTAGCGGCTGTCAATGAGACAGCCACTAGAGGATTTGGGGGAAGGATTAACCCATTTATAAACATAGCAGTTTCTCTGAAACTATGTTTATAAAAAAATGGGTTAACCCTAGCTGGACCTGGCACCCAGACCACTTCATTAAGCTGAAGTGGTCTGGGTGCCTAGAGTGGTGCTTTAAGCTTACGTCCAGATTTGGTGGTATGAGCAGCCCAAAGAAATTAGAGAGAAGCTCTCTCTAACAACAAAAAAGGACAAGTGATTTTATAAATACAAGCATTTAACTAAGGGGAAAAAAAAGATGTTAAACTTGAATGACTATTTTCTTTTAAAATTGTTCAACAATTTCTGATTCTATTTCTTGACACTTGAAAATCAAAATGCCTGCAAAGTGAGATTCAGTTGACAAAATCCACATTATTAGGTTTTAATTGGTGTAATGCTTGAATTGTGGCATATATTGCATTATTTTTTATACTTGCATTGAAAAGGGAGTGTACGGCTTTAAGTTGAGATATAATATAATCAAATGACCTGGCTGCAGGGAGAATTGTATGTAGATGAAGGAAAACAAGTAATGGAAAAAATCAATTTTTTTATTTTATTTTTTTTTTAAATGTACAATTTTTTTATTGAATTTCAACTACTACAAGAAGTTAATATCATAGATTACAAACATGACCAGGAACAAAAAAGAGTATGCATATATGAACGAACATGGTAACCATATTTATGGTCAAAAGAGACAAACCGCAACAAACAAATTCCTGCGAGGGGATGAGTGGGAGGGGTAGAAAATGCCCTTTTATGATTAAGCTGAAAAAAATGAAAAAATTAGAGGTAATAAAACTAAATTATTACCAGTCAGATCAGATATGCTTTATGTTGTAATTGTCATAATTGTAATATATTCCGTATTTGCAAAATCGAGCAGTTACAAATTTTAGAATTAAATAACTGTTTTGGAGAAACAATCAGTATTTTAAGAACTTTTCAGCTCTGCCTTTTTGGGCTACATTTTTCAGTTCCCTCATCGGTTCTCAAAAAAAAAAAATGTTGGTTTCGAGAATAAATCCATATTGGCTGCTGTGGCAGAAGAAAACTTTTCTAGGTACCAGACTGTTGAGATTTTCCTTCCACATTTTTACAGATGGACTAAGGCGCCTCTTGTGCCAGGTGGGTTTGCAAGAAGGCCCGGACGGGGAAAACTCTTCCCTTGTAGACAAACTGATGCTGTGCGATTCAATGCTGTGGAAAGGTGAGACGAAAAATAATTATCCAAATATGTGAAAAATTTGAACCTCTAAAATTCACTGTTTTTTTTTTTTTTGTTGTTTTGTTTTTTTACTAGCCAGAAAGTGGGGGGAAAAAAACAAACTTACTTGTCTCTTTTCTATTTGATAAATGTTTTTTTTTTCCCCCTAAATGTATGCCTTTGCAAACAAACTGGTCAGAATACTTTTGTTCTAAAATTATGCATAGCTGGCATACTAATAAAAAGTAAAAGGTCTGTACATATATGATGCCTTTTAGATTTAATAAGTAGTAAAGTCCTTTTTAAAGAGACACCTAGCATACTTTTTACTGGCATACTAACATTTTTAGAATAAGCATTTCAAGATTTCTTTGCGAATAGATGTATTAAAAAGAATAAGGGGTATTTGGTGGGCACATTTGTGCACTGCAAAGGCAATGGTATTCATTAAGATCAAATGACAGTTGTACTATTAGGCCTCAGATTTTGTCCTGTAGAGGGAACCACTGTGCAAGCAAGCCTGTATTATCCTATGCATTTCAATGCTTCCCCTTTATGACTGACTGGAAGACCATGAATTGGCTAAAATGTGTCAGCAGCTTTTTCAAAATTGTTTATGGTGCGTTTTCCTGTGGAGGATCAGAGCCCATGAAAAAGCACCTACTTTGCAATGTATGCTCATGACATACAGACACTTGTAATGATAACGAAAAAGTGAAAATTCAGTATTAGGACATTGCCTGACGAGATCTGTTTTTATTTTTTTTTATTTTTTATTTTTTTTTTTTATTTTTTTTTTACACACACCGTTTTCTAGCCCCCATGTATGCTATTATAAGCTGTAGTGTTTATGGTGTTTGGAGTATCCCTTTAACTACTTGTTTCCTATGTTTTATTTTACAGGGGACATTAATTGTTGAACAGTTTTTTTTTTTTTTTTGTGGTGTTTTTTTTGTGGTATGTGGTATTGTTTGATTGTTCTTTATAAAATTAACAATAAAACAAAAGATTTTCTCATTTTCAGGAGCAAGGAACTGCTACCACCAACTGTTCATGAGTAGCTTGCTAATGGATTTAAAGTATAAGAAACTATTTGCTATCCGTTTTGCAAAAGTAAGTTGCAGTTTAATTTTGAAGTTCACATTACAATCCCAGCATGCAGTACAATAATCCAGACACCGTCACCGAACACCTTCAAAAGAGCATTTGATAAAGTAGAGCACCTTGCCTTAGAGTAGTAAGTTATTTTAAAAAGCTGCAGTTCTATTTATGTATAATGCTTTTATAAATATGTTAAGAGTTTGAGGATTTTGCACTTTATCAGTTGAGTAATATAGAACTTATGGAATTTTATTTTTGAAGTATTTTAGGGTATTTCAGAATGCTATTTATGATGGCATTCAAACCGTATTGTTTACTTAAAAGTGGTGTAAATCAGCTTCACTTTTATAAGTGTGAGGATATTCTAATTATTCAGAAGTTACCAAGGAAAAGATTAATTTCAATGTTGTCTTTTTTGGCATAATGAATAATTTTCCATTAAATCTCTATACATTTACAAAATGACAAACTCAAAACAAAACACTCTTTTCAAGTCCTTTAAAAGTGCAAACTTTTTCACCTTTGCTGCTTAGTGGTGGCAATTGGTAGCAGTAGTGTAGTAGCTTACCCTACTTTAGCTTTTACTCAACCCCTCACTGTGTCAGTTGATTGGATAGAGGCATTGAGAAATTAACCAATTTTCTCCTTTTGTATTATGAAATATTTTTTATAGGGCCTTTTAGCATCTGTCACGAGCGTGGGCTATAGGCCCAGCTGAGACAGTGGGGAGAGTGTGGAAGGGACAGGGTTAATGACACCAGACCCCTGGTTACCTGTTGCTAGTCCCAGCAACCACTCAATTAACCCCTGCAATCCCTTCTACACTAACCCCCTAGTACACACTTTACTGCCACCACCAAGACTTTAAACCCGGGCGTCTTAGGTTACCCCACACACAGGAGAATTATAGAATCACAGTTCTACTTTTACTGATCAAACACATATAATTAACCCTTTTTGGTAACGTGTTTACCTGAGCTTTCCTCTGGAGAGTGAAGCTCATAGAGAACAGAGACACAAGCTGATTAAGTAAACATTTAATCTGACAAAAAGGATTCACAGTGCTGAGTACAAAATACAGAAATAAATGAAATACAGATAACAAATTGCAAAACAGTACATAAAATAAAATAGGAGAAAACACAAGAAATTCCTTACATGTGTTTACCCCATATAGAATTCTTGTGGGAGTCTTAGATGGTATAGGTCTCCTAGAAGTTGCTGACCAAAGAAAAAAATGAACAACTCCCTGGATAGTCAAGCACCCTCATTACATATCTAAACTAGTTGTTTCTCAGTGGGCAGACCCCTGGGGGGGATCAGAGGGGGTTAGTCTGGCAGTTTATTGCCCACTCTATGCAATTCCTTGTGTCCATCTCTGGTGATGGCTATCTAGATGTTTTATGGTCTAGGCCTGGTGCAAGATCAAAGACCACAATAAATGTCATCCTAAGGTTTACAAAAAAAACCCAACAACTCTTAACATATATCAACACCCATCAAACACCAACTCATGCTTTTGGCATGACAGCATCTAATTTAGATGAGGGAGGCGAACACCAAAGATACAGTTTATCAAGTAACTCACAGTTAACTGGTTATTGAAAATATAAAAAAGGAAAGAGAAACATAGGCCTAAATTGAATACGCTTTTCAAATGGTTCAATACTATTAGAACATTTTCCAAATGTTTTATCTATAATATTTATCATTGACATTAATGGAAACTTCTGTAGATAAATAATTAGCAAATGTTTTTCTAAGAGTATTGAATCATTTCAAAAACGTTTTTAATCAAAGCCATCGTTAGAATGTATATATATATTTTTTATTTTGCAAAGCACAAACGTTCTGCATTCACCTTACAATAAAGCTGCCCTTATTTAAAATAAAATGTGTATTATAGCTTTTGTGTAATTTTGTCATGCATACATAGAACTAAATACATATTTTCAGTGCACCTGCTAGTTACCCTTATAATGTGAGGGCAGCCATCTTTAAGTCTTCTCTAGTTGAAAGTGCAGCTTATTTAGACTTTCAGATCTGCATGGTCTTAACAGATAAAGGGGTTCTTCTGAAAAAAATAAAGAATTAAAAGGATATCCCGGTCATCTACACAACTTTAAACCATTTGATAAATTTTGGCCTCATTGATATGCTTTATTTTTTTAATGTTCAAATCTTTATAATTTTTGCACAAAATAAATGTTTTACAGAATGTTACACCATGCCTTAGCTCCCCCCCTCCCCTTCATGTCAGTGCTGTCTTTTTCTGGAGTGTGGGGTGTGGCTAAAGAGGTCAGTTTATTGTACACCTAAACATTTCTTAAAGTAGCATTAGTGCTCGGAGTGCCCCTGTAAAAATGGCCACCCCCATAGACCAAGAGTAAGCCAGGAAGTACACTGAAGAGTCTACTCTATGCATCTATGGGTCTATTTATACATATGTAATTCTACATGTAATCTTTTATCTTTAAATGTAAAACTTAAGATGAAATAGTTTCATTATTTGCATATTCATGTGGATGATCAATCTCATTACATTTTCCAAAGCTCTATAGGTAAACTGGCTTACTGTGCCATTTACCAGTGTTAGAGCAAGTACTGCAGGTGGAGTAGCTGACATAACCCCTTTATTATTAGTGATCTTAAGAATCGCATGCAAGGCCAGAGTGGATTAGAGGTGAATTTCCCCTTGTTGTCTAGAGTTACCAGCAGTTGCAGAGAGATTTTATGGACGATGATCACGAGCGAGCAGTATCCGTGACTGCTCTGTCTGTCCAACTCTTCACTGTTCCCACTCTGGTGAGTAAATACCTATTTGTTTGGACTGATAGATGCCACCGCTTTGTCTTTCTTACCTTCCTTTTATTAGAACTATGAGCGATTGCAGAGTGATTATGTGAAAGACGATCACGACAGAGAATTCTCAATCACTGATCTCTCGGTGCAGATATTCACAATGCCTTCGCTTGTAAGTATTGGTGAGACAGTAAGCAGGGCTGTCGGTACCCTCTTTTCTTATTTTCGTATCACTGTGACATGTGACAGGTAAATCTTTTATTGATGAATTGGGATGCCATATTTGTCACTTGTGTATTTATATATAGAGTGTGCCTGTTTATGGAAATGTAGAAGCAGACAGGGTTATTTACTAAAAAGTAAGTCCTTTTGGACATTTCAAAGACCATTTCAAGTTGTAGATCAAAATAGCTAAAACCAAATCCCAGATTACTTGGAGATTTTTTTTTTCCAGTTATACACTTCTGGCCTAAAATTGGAAATTCACTTTGAATTCAAGTGCGTGCTCTGAATTGGTGTGGGGGGTGAATTTAAAAAACCACTAATGATGGTATAGGAAGGCAGGCAGCACTTCATTAAAGGAGGGACGTGAGAAAATCCTTACATTTGTTGCCAGCTCATTGTGCACGTTGACAACATGTCAATATTGCAAAGAATTGCATGTGCTGCAAATAGCTCAAAACGAAAGGCCCTTTACTCAGGGTTTTAATAATACAAATCTTTATAGTAGTGGAACACACAATGGACAAGGATGTGTTACCACTGTGAAATAGGTTTTACCTTGTCTACAAAAGCTAAGCATTTAACACCCTGCAGAATAAACCTGGATTGTTTTCACTTGATGACCCACTACACAATTTCTTATGTTTTTTTTTGTTCTATGCACAGCTTAACTAAAGGAATTCATAGTCTCTAAATCAGCCAATTGACAGGTCTGCATTAGTTGTTAATTAAAGGGAAATTATAGTGCTGGGAAAACAAAGTTGTTTGTTAAAAACTCCTTCTGTCACCTGATTCCAGTGCCGATGTCTTTTGCCGCTGGTTCAATCGCTGCCTCTGCTGGCAGGAGGACTAACGTGCATGTATGGCATTCTATAATGCTTTCCTATGAGATTTAGGGTGACCCTGGAAGTGCTTAAGGAAAGCGTGAGGACGTCTAGCATCCGGTGACCAAAAGTCGCCTAACGACCTGGAAGTCACTCTAGTGGATGTCTGGTAGACAGCCACTGGATGTGAAGTTAACCGTGCAGTGTAATTATTGCTGTTTATCAAAAACGGCAATAAATACAATTGCAGGGTTAAGGGGCCTGAGACAGTGCACCCAGACCACTTCAATGAGCTGAAGTGGTCTGGGTGCCTATTGTGTACCTTTAAGTAAATTTTAAGTTCTCAAGCTTTGGTTAAGTAATGTACCACGAAAGGCTTAAAATAAATTAATTGCGGTTTGTAATGTGGGAGTATCAAGTTTCAGTATGAGAGACCAGTCTAGGAAGAGTCCTGGCTTATGTTGAACTGCTTCTAAATGGTTTGACATTAAACTGAAGGACTTCACTAGGGCACATTAGGCAAATTGTAGTGGTTAAGTGGCATAGTGTCCCTTTAAGTTGCTAATTTTTTTAAGAAAAGATGTATCCAAGGTTACACTTGGTTTAGCTTTTATAGGAAAAACATTTTTCTTGAGTGTTCAGTTTCTGTAAAATTTTAAGGGCAATGATGAATGTAAAGTTGTATCAACATATCCATATGTGTACCTTGTATGATGCTTAAACTAATATTTAGCATATTAGGATTTCTAAAGGGGAGCAATTGTCATGGAATCCAATGGGATATCTCTGCTCAGCTCTTTCCACCAGAACCCCTTTATAAATCTTACTGCAACTGTTCAGTACTATTGAAGTAACTGATTATGTTCTTCCTTAGGCTCGAATGCTGATCACCGAAGAGAATCTGATGGCCACCATTATAAAAACCTTTATGGCTCACTTGAAACTCAGTGACGTCCAGCAGGGAAAGTTTCACTTTGACCGATATACGGCACTGCAGTCTTTCAAATTTAGAAGAGTCCAGAGCCTTATCTTGGACCTTAAGTGAGTTCCACAATGCTAGTTCGGTTGGTTGGACTGTACTCCTGACTGCCTTGAGATAATAGAGATAACACCACCCGTCGCTGCATCTCACACTTATACATTAAGATATTTCAGACACATAGTGCATGATTTGTCCATTGAAACAGCCTTTCCCTTGCACCAAATGTTTTATTTAGGCTTGAAATGTTCCTGTACCATTAAGGGTGTGAATTTACTGAAAATATTGATGGTTTATGTATTCATCTAGCTTTATATATTATAAAGCTTACTGAGGACATATTTTCTTTTATATTTACTATTTTCCTTTGTAGCGTTTCCTTCCCCCCCACCCCCACCCTATAAAAAATAGATCCATCTGAGTACATATTTATTACACAGCTGATAGCTAAGCCTTGGCCCATCTTGCATTTACTGCAATGCTCACACATTAATATACTGTAGCTTACACATGTGAAGTTTTGCTGTATTTGTAAATGAGATGTGTGAAAACCCACAATATACTAATCACCCATCTTACAGTGATCTGGTCACGCAGTACATTATATATTGTAATTTTCGCTTTTCCTAGTATTTCTTGTTTTATTGTGTTATTGTGGAAGCAGTGTATATGTGTGTGTGTATATGTATGTGTATATGTATGTGTATGTATGTGTATATATGTATATATATGTATATATATATATATAGTGTTCAAGTAGAGATTGTAGCCGTATTAGTCCAGTGATGTAGATGTAAAAATCGGATAAAATTCGTATCTTGTAATACCTTTTTTATTGGACTAACAGAATTTTTTAATGACAAGCTTTTGGGAGAACCTCCCTTTCTCAAGTCTGAAGCATTTCTGAGCAACACGACACATAGAATTCAAATTTGAGTTGTGATACAGGGGTTAAAGCGACATGAGTGTAGATAAGACACAGGTTTGTTTGAAAATAGACACCATTTTTGCAGAGAGTCATAAATATCTTTCTGAAGAGCAGAGTGAGGGGGGAGAAAGGGAGAAGAAAAACACTTTATACATGCACACACACATAAATATGTATATGTGAACGCATAAACACATGTACATATACATAAACACATATACATACATGCACATGAACTCATATACACAAATATAAATGCACAGTCACATATATAAGCATACATGCACATGGGAAAGCATAGGTCTACACATAGTACTTTGTATATAGATATAATAAACATATAGGAATGCATTTCAAAAAAGGTTGATACATATGACAGAACAGTAAGATAATGCTGGGAGAGTGTTCATGTAAAGTGTTGGTAGTGGGACAGGAAACCCAAATATTTAGTCCTCTATTCTTGCTGTTAAACCATTTAATCATTCTGGCTTCAAACGCTTTTCTTTCCTGGATATTTTTAAAACCCCCTTTCAGTACTTTGATTTTTAGGTCCTTCAGTGAGTGGCCAGGCTGGGTAAAGGGGTGTCCCACAGGAGTGCAGTACAATCCTTCTGTGTGGTGTTTAATAGAGTGTCCAATAAAAAAGGTATTACAAGATATATATATATATATATATATATATATATATATATATATATACACACACACACAATTAAAACATTTTTAAAATAATTTATTTTTATTGCAGGTATGTGCTGATCAGCAAACCAAATGAGTGGTCTGATGCTTTACGTTGCAAATTTCTTGAAGGATTTGATGTGTTTCTGGAATTACTAAAATGCATGCAGGTACTTTTCAAAAACAGTCATAGATTTACAGGGTATCTGCAATTTTGTTAAAATTATAAATAACCCGTGGCTGTCAGTAGCATTTTGACTGATTTTATAATCTGGCTGCAAAATAGCAGAAAGCCAATCAGAATGTCAATTGAATATGTCCGTTCTATTCTTGTGTCTTTGCAACTCCCAATATCTGCTTTCTAGGTAGCAATTTATAAAGCAGTGTTAAAAAAAAAAAAAATCAATAAGTTCTCTTGAGTGCGATGGCCTACCTTTCATCTGTCTCTTACAGGTGATAATGTTATTAAGCTTTTCTTTTTTACCCGGCGCTCTTCTAACACCGTACCCTTATCTCCGACATTAAACTGACATTAAACTGAATTCATGTATTCCATTAATTTTACTAGTTGTTGAATTCAATGCACCTCAAATAATACTACAAATTTTACAAATTACATATAATCCCACCACCACAATTTTCCAAACCCGCTTTTCTGTGTGCATATATGTGAAAATGTTTGCAAATGTATTTGTAATGCACATGTGACTGCATGTAGGGACATTATCTATTCATCACAATTGCATCATTAAGCTAGTTTTTTTGGTGTCTACAGTGCACATGCATTAAAGGGACATGCCAGGCACTCAGACCACTTCTGCCCCTTGGAGTGGTCTGGGTGCCACTACCCTTAACCCTGCAACTGTAATTATTGCAGTTTTCATAAACTGCAATAATTACCTTGCAGGTTTAAGTCCTCCCCTAGTGGCTGTCTACTAGAGGGCACTTCCGGCATCATAGCACAGATTATCTGTGCTATCGCGTCGCTGGATGTCCTCACGCTGTGTGAGGACCTCCAGCGTCGCTAAAATCCCCTTAGGAAAGCATTGAAAAGCATTTTCAATGCTTTCCTATGATGAGGTCTTATGCGCATGCACGGCATTGCCGCACATGCGCATTAGGTCTCCCCAGCTGACGGGCGGGATCAGTCTCCCCCGCCGGCTGACGTAATGAAGGGGAGGAGTGGCGACGTGGGACATGTCACTGCCTCTGGTAAGTGACTGAAGGAGTTTTCACCCCTTCAGCAACTAGTGTGGGATGTGGGAGGGAGAGGGGGGACCTGCAGTGCCAGAAAAACTGATTGTTTTCCTGGCACTGGAGAGTCCCTTTAACTCATCCTCTATGCCATTTCATAATATTGAGTTGTCCTTTTCTACTTATTACCAAACTAGAAAGTCTTGCTTATTACAAAAATCTCTGTAGAACAGGAAACTTCAATGAATTGATGCAATATATTTTTGCAAAGTGGTGTTTAAATGCATATAGATCCATTCTTTAAATTTTCCTTGTTTTTATTTTATTAGGGAATGGACCCGATAACACGTCAGGTTGGACAGCACATTGAGATGGAGCCTGAATGGGAGGCCGCCTTCACATTACAGATGAAATTAACACACATCATTTCAATGATCCAAGATTGGTGTTGTAGTGATGTAGGTGCTATACATGAAATGGACTTTATTGGTCTCCATAATTTATCGGATTACGATTCCTGCTGTCATTGTACTTGGTTTGACAAGTATGATGGTTACTACTATTGTTGTCCAGCTCTGCGCTGTATTTGAAATACTGGTTTCATTTAGTTTGTTTCATTAAAACAAAACTTTATATTAAATAAGAGGTCCAACCTCTCTGCCCATTGACTTGCTGAAAGGGCAGACTTTACTTTGTATCACCTCAAACTGGCTGGTGATATGACATGAGTGCCAAACTCCACGAAAGGCCACGATCACAAGACAACAGTCCAAAGACAATACTGTTTTACTGGATCTTGGACTGATGGGTTTTATATAATGTTGTTTGCTGCTCAGGACAGCAGTGTGTATGTATCAATATTTATGGAACTATTCCATTGTATTAGTAACACTTTCATTTATATAATGGATTCCAGACCTTGTGTCTAGCAAAATGTACTATAAACTGAGATTTGAAGACACTTTTTAAATGTTTGTTTCTAGGAGCAAGTCCTTGTTGAAGCATACAAGAAGTGCCTTATAGCTTTGATGAATTGTCACAGTGGTTTCACTGATGGAGAACAGCCCATAACCTTGAGTATTTCTGGCCATTCGGTAGAGACCATACGTTACTGTGTTTCCCAAGAAAAAGTCAGCATTCACCTCCCTATTTCACGGCTCCTTGCAGGTAAGTAGAGAAAGCTACGTTTTATTAATGTTAGTAATTTCTACTGTCAAATTGCATTGTGTTTTGATATTGTGTTCTTTGGGGAAGGAATAAACTCAAAGAATACAAGAATGTTCTGAAGTCAAAATGCATTGCAGGGCATCCTCTAAAGGAAGTATTACTGATACCCATATGAGTGCACTTACAGCCTTTAATTGCGGTCCAAGGTTGGGCAAATCCGGACAAATGATGCAGAAAAGAATTTCAAAATGACATGTGCAGCTTCAGATGGGCTGTGCTTTGGGTGATAAAAATCCTTGTTTTTGTTAAACTGCTTGAAAGTGGTTTGGTTTGAAAATATAAGATCATCAGTTTTAGATAGATTGAGTTTCAGGAAGTGGAAAGTGGGCATTCTAGAACAGCAGGGGAGGTGAAATATATTTGAGTGGCATCCAAAGGAATTAATACGTTTTCCAAGATTCTGAGTATAAAGAGAATACAAAAAGGGACTGAGAACAGAGCCTTTGGGGACTCCAACTGAGACAAGATGAAGGAAGGAGGTGTCATTAGAAATGGAGACTCTGAATGAACGTTGAGAGAGATAGGACAAGAGCCATAGGAGGACAGTGTCATAGAGGGATTGGAGAATATGATCCACTGGGCCTAAGGCAGTAGTGAGGTCTATAAGAATTAGTGTAGACTAGTGTGCTCCAGTTAATTAAATGTGCCTAGGGATTTGGAATAGTGCACAGGTAACTTTTTAGTTGTTGTTTTTATCTTTTTTTTGTGTGGGTTTTTTGTTTGTTTTTTTTGGTTTTTTTGGAATGTATGAAATGACTTTCTATAGCTGCAGATCTAATATCGGCTGGTACTGCAAAGCCTGGTTTTCTTCCCCAGCACAGACTTTCTGTGACTGTCCAATCACATACTTCAGCAAGCTGAAATACTTTGTGTTTGGAGTGTTTCTTTAATTAGGTGCTCTGTGATGTACACCTTGAAACTGAGATACATGCTGGAGCCATGTGTGATCTGAACTAGAATAGACAGAAATATACTACAGAAAGGTGGGATAAAAAGGCATTCCCACCTGATATTGAGAACGGAAGTGTATGTAGTATAACATCTCTAACACAGGTCTCTTGGTTAATTATGTGCATATACCATGTTGTGTAGTTTTGCATTTTATTTTATCTGTTCACATTCGTTATTGAAAATGTTTGCCTAAACTTATCAACTATATAATTTAAACCCTTTTATATATTAAATTGATTGCTGATATTCAGTTATAATATACTATTAATTTGAGTAGATATAAGAACTGATTAAAGGAACAACTATATACATGAGACGCTTGCAGCCAATTAAGAGAGCAGGATATAGGAAATTCTGTGCAATAAGGGAAGCTAAAATCTTTAGACTTCTTTTTCAGGATGTGTTTAACCCCTTAAGGACACATGACATGTCATGATTCCCTTTTATTCCAGAAGTTTGGTCCTTAAGGGGTTAAAGAGATTGTGCGAGTTTAGGCCAGGGGAGACGTGGCTACATAAAAAAAGTGATTTAACTCAGAACACTTAGCAGTGGCACTTCAGGGGCATGATCTATATACACAAACTACTTCATTATACTTGTTTTTTTAGTGTTTACAGTGTCACTTTAAGACTGGCGGAGTGCCCTTAAAAAATGCCATTCATAATCATCTGAAGTTTAAGCATCTCTGGCCTAAAGCAGTGGTAACCAACAGGTTTATTGATGGCATGAGTGTAAATATGTAACCATCTCAACAATTCTACCGTAAAGCTGAAAATACCCATAGTCTACGTGTAAAAAATCCTTTCATTGGACGTGAGTGACAAACTGAGCCCATTATGTTCAAACACGGTTATGCCAAAAATCTGGCAAAAAGCTTTGTATCAATCGTTTCGGGAAAAGACAATTAATTTAAGTAATCACCAAGTGATCATCGGTCACATCTGTGCCTAAAGTGCATAGGACATCTAAATTAATGTTGGTCTTATTGTGAATTCCCATTAACCTCGAATTAGAGAATGCATTTTTGATAGATGCAAAAATACATTGTGCCCAGAGGGTAAAAACTTACCTAGTTAAGTTATAGTGCAAGGAAAACATACTTGTGAGGAAGGGGTTAAACACATACCTTTTCTCCAGTGCCGGGCTCCCTCGGCGCTGGGGACTCTCCTTCTCCTTTCCCGTCATCGGCTGAATGCGCATGAGCTGCGCGCGCGCATTCAGCCAGTCTATAGGAAAGCATTTTTTAATGCTTTCCTATGGATGCTGGCATCTTCTCACTGTGAGAAGCGCGGAAGACAGCCACTAAAGGCTGGATTAACCCTAATGTAAACATAGCAGTTTCTGTGTTTACAGCAGAAAGGGTTAATCCTAGATGGACCTGGCATCCAGACCACTTCATTAACCCCTTAAGGACCAAACTTCTGGAATAAAAGGGAATCATGACATGTCACACATGTCATGTGTCCTTAAGGGGTAAAGCTGAAGTGATCTGGGTGCCTATAGTGGTCCTTTAAGAAATTAGTTTATGCATTTAGTCCTGCATTTTTAACTATTTCTGTTTTCATGTATAGGATTACATACTTTGCTGAGTAAAAGTGAAGTGGCTTATAGGTTTCCAGAGCAACTACCTTTTGTAAGTATTCTTTATATAGAGTGTAGATATCATTGTGTTCATTTGTCTTTGAAATGTGTCCTTTCTTCTTTATGCCCTATAAAATGTGTGGCTAAAATGCAACATTAAAATATAGATTACTACAACAGACCATGGAGTACCTGCAAATCTGTGCCTATCTCCCTGAAAATATTACAGATTATGCCTTTACATGATACACTTGCATGTGGATTGAGTAGCTCAGTGTACGAGTTCTGTTTAAATACTCACATGCAGCTAATCTGATATTCCATACGTTTCTGGGTGACGTTCACTTTAGCTACTGCAGATTGCGTTTTTGGGAAAGTGAATCAAAGGTTTAAATACCCACAGCAGTAATTTTAATGTGTACAGTGCATGTTTTAATACATTTTTAAAAATCAATAAAATACTAGACATTGTACTTCAACTTTTAGATATCAATATAAAATATTTGAGGTAAAACAGAGATTATCACACTGGCATGGTTGCTGCATGCACTCCCTATTGCAGGGGCTGTATATTGTCTTATATTTGTTTTTCTCTAATGTTCATATGTAATCTGTTTACTCTACTTTCCCACAGAGTGAATTAAGCCCACCAATGCTGATTGAACATCCACTGCGTTGTTTGGTGTTATGTGCCCAAGTACATTCAGGAATGTGGAGAAGGAATGGCTTTTCTTTAGTCAATCAGGTAATTAATACCATTGTCAACCCTTCTGAATTATCAGTAGCTCATGCAGTAGTCAAATCAAGCCTTACGTTACAAAAGATGTTATTTATTGTAGTTGAAAAAGTTGTCATTCTATCAACCATCGTCATTATTATTTAGAAAGCTCCGACAAATTCTGCAGGGCTGTACGATAGGATGTACCTGTGTTGATTTATTGTAAAACTGCATTATGTTGCTGATTAATGTTATTTGCAACATGTTCTACAACGCTATACAATTTTCAATTTCAAAACCGTTTTATTCTCAACAGATTTATTACTATCACAACGTAAAGTGCCGAAGAGAAATGTTTGACAAAGATATTGTAATGTTACAGGTAAGCGTCATTCTTATATTGCAGATTTCATGTATGGATTGAATTGTAATGACTTCATTCCTGTGTTTGTGAATGACGGGTTCAATTTAAAGGGAAACTATACCAAAACAGTTTTAACTAAATGAAGCAGTTTTGGTGTTATAGATCATGCCCCTGCAGTCTCATAACTCAAATCTCTGTCATGTAAGAGTTAAATCACTTTGTTTATACTGCCCTAGGCACACCTCACTGTATGTGACTTGCACAGCCTTCCTAAACACTTAATGTAAAAAGATATCTAATGTTTAATGTTTATACTACCTTTATTGCAAATAATGTTTAATTTAGAATTGATCTCCTGCACTGGTAATAGCTTGCATGAGCCTCCTGTAAGTGATTTTCAGTTTGCAGAACATGAGATACTTTTAAAGTAAGTTAACATTTGATTGAAAATTAAATCATTGGTTTTTTTTTTGGTAAATAGCCTTTTATTGAAGGTTTTCACATATCAAGGAAACAATAAAATGAGTGTAGAGAAACAGTGTAACAACAACAACAACAAAAAAAACCTTCGAGATTCGCAGATCTCTCAAAGTAAGTGATACTGATGAGACACGCAGGTCTCCAAGCATTTAGATATTAAACATATGTCTCAAATTTTACTCTACCTGTCATTGTGTTTTTATGCAGGCTGTGTCAGTCACAACCAGGGGCTAGGGTTGCATAAACTTGAAACAAAAGTGATTTAGCTCATCAATGTCAGAGAATCGAGCAGTAAGACTGCAGGGGCATGTTTTATACACCCAAACTGCTTCGTTAAGCTAAATATGTTTTAGTGACCAAAGTGTCCCTTTAAGAGAAGAAAAAAATATATATGTGAAACTGTGGGTGCTACACTTATAAGGAGACATACAGCACATCTTTAGCAAATCGTATTCCTTTGATTATTACTGAGCAAGTGACCTCATACCATTTGTATACCTGATAAATATCTTGCAGATATAGGAGAAATAGGACTGTCTGAAAGATTTTTACCTCTTTCTGGATGGTGTCATGGGCATATTTGGTTGCTCACAGCCCACACGGACACTGCACTGGACATGTTTCCAGATGCACTTCTCCACAGTACATGCTTCTATTTATGTACTTATATTAATTTGGTCTGTGAGTAGAAAAGTAAACAGGTACTTAAATTCTAACTATCCAGTGTTAGACATGTCTTGAATAATTCTTTAAGACCCAGGTTTCTTGTATAACCTATACTCTTCGATATAAAAATTCAGTGAGTATTTTCTTTGCTTTTATTCTCTTACCATGAATATTTGTTGTATCTAGTTAAGGTCCTCTATATTGTAGATTTCTATTTCGAACTATACATGTTTAATAAACTCCGCACACTTGATGATATTGGATGGCAACTACCACAATTCTCTGGAGTGTGTGGACTCTTTTAAGAATCTGAGAGCTACAATCTGACCTCATCTGATAATGCCTGAATAAAAAATATTCATGATTTAGTTTTCCTTCCATCACTGCTTCTATTCTAGGCAGGAGCATCTATGATGGATCCCAACCACTTTCTGATGATCGTGCTCAGCCGTTTTGAACTCTTTCAGCTGTTTAGCAATCCAGATTATGGAAAAAGATTTCGGAAAGAAAGTACAAACAAGGTACTACTGGCACAATCTCGCACGCTGCTCGATTAGATATATAATTACTAAATAAATGCCACAGAACTGAGGAAGTGGTTAATATATGTACCTGTAGTATAATTACTTAAAATAATATTTATGGTTAAAATGACCACTTGCAAATCTTCCTCCTATGATGATACCCGATACGGTAATTATCTTCTTTGTTTAAAAAAATGAACACCATTTATTGATGGTGCAGGAATATGGTTGAACGCTCTCCTTAGACTAGTTGATGTGACCGTCCTTTTTCCCTTTTATATGTGCAGGATATTATACAGCAGAACAATACACTAACAGAAGAAATGCTGCACTTGATCATAATGGTTGCTGGTAAGATTTTTCTTTCTTTCTTTTTCAATAGAGCTGTGCAGGTAAAGCAGCACATGTAAAATAAAGTATAAAATGCATACTTAGACAGTCAACTAAGCAAAATATGGTAAATTATTACAGATTAAAAAAAACAAGTGTGGGCAGACCTCTACATCTCGTGGTTCGGTCGTATAAACGCAATAAAAATGAATATGCTCCCGCGCATTCTGTATCTTTTCCAGACAATCCTGATCACCATCCCTCAGGCTTTTTTCCCACACCATTTCCACTGCGATTCGACCCTTCGTATGGAAAAGAGGAGCACCAAGAATCAGCAGGCACCAATTGGAGCTACCCAAATTGCAGGGGGGAGCGGGACTCCCCTCGATCATTGGTTACTACCGAGCAACCCATTTGCTGAGGGTCACTGACTGGCACTCACATCCGACTGAGAAACTATGGGTGCGGGCAGAATTAGCACAGGCCGAGGGGAAAATACCCTCGGAACTATGGAGGACGGGAATTACACCGAACGCCCTCAGCACTGGCAATCCTTTGATAGACGCAACCCTAAAGGCGTGGTGTGCACTCCGATACCCTCAACAGCTGACGACACATAGCAGCCCGCTCACACCCCTCACCCATAATCCAGACATCGGAGGAGGACTGACACCTGCAGACCTAAAAAACTTCGGCTGGTCAGATTAGTCCTATATACGCCAATGGTGCAACAATGGCGCCCTAAAAACCCTACCCGAACTAATCCCAGATACTGGCCCAACGATGCTCGACCGGTTTCGATACCACCAGGTCAAATCCTTCTACAACTCCGCAACAGCCAAACAACAATTCCATCGAGACCCCACATATTTTGAAAAAATATGCATCCGTAGGCGACACATCGAGAGAGGGATCTCGACGCTATACGCACTGCTTCTGGAGGGTGAGAATAGACCACCACCGAAATACATCGCCAGATGGGAGAGAGAGACAGGGGAGGTACTTGAAGCCCGTGAATGGGATAAAATATTCCTACTCACACACACAAGTTCTATTAGCTCAAAATTTCAGGAGATGAGCTATAAGCTACTAACTACCTGGTACCGAACCCCTGACACACTACATTGCATGAACCCAGACAATGACGAGAAATGCTGGCGATGCAGAGCAGAGAGAGGCACCATGATCCACATATGGTGGACCTGCCCGGCCATCGCCCCCTTCTGGGAGATGGTAAACACCAAAATACGGGAAATATCGGACCCGGAGTTCCCGCTCCAACCCCTCTCCATGCTACTACATCACACCAGCATATCACTGAAAACCTACAAAAAATCCCTCGCTAGACACCTATTGACAGCAGCTAAATCACTGATACCCACCCTGTGGAAAAGATAGTCCGCCCCCACCTTCCAACAATGGGTGGATAGAGTGGGAGAAATACATACCATGGAGTCCATGACAGCAGCCCTCCAGGGCCGCTCGGAGAAATGTCATCTAACCTGGATCCTCTACATCGCGGCAGCAGGCTCAGCCTCATGAAAAACTACACTTCGATCAGGAACTGAACCCCTCTTCCTCCTTGCTCCTAATCTTGCTTCCTCTTTTTCCCAGCTAGACTGCTCCCACCATCCTACCCCATATACCCCCTCCACCTTCTTGACTACTCCCTGACTAGACCACCCCACACCATGTACTAGACTAAGACATTCAATCCAAGAGAACATGTAAAGAAATACTATACCAAACATGGAACCATAGAGGGACAGTAGATAGAACCCACAAAAACGATACTAAGGGACAGATACACACAAGATACCCTAAAAGCCTAAAAATTGAATGGCCCATAAGCAAGGTTTACCGCACAATAGACCCCACCACTTTCAGCTCCAGAAGCAACCCAACAACTCACAGGCAATACCCCCACAGGGCACGCGCACCCACGGGACATATCTCATCCTCATGCTCCCCCAACTACAGAAAAGGACATACCTTACAGGGTACGTGCACCTGGACACAGGTGGGGCGGGTCAGGTTACCCCATCCACAGCATCTGAAAAACCCTAAACAAACATCTGCTAGGAAGTTCCGCCACGAGCGGACTCACCCACACATACAGCCTCTGTTTACCCGCCTCAGGCAGGGTTCCACACCCTTCTCGTGAATATCACGCTCTGGGCTGCAAGAAGGCCCAAATGGTTAGGGGTATGAGACTATGAAAGCCATATGACACTCACATATACCGAATGGGTTGAATTGCAATAGATAACAGGCATACCCTCCAGCTCTCAACTAACGTGTGATCTGTAAACATGAAAATAAGTAATGCTATGCAATTATGGTTGTTTATTACTGCATTTCTATACTCCAAATCACTGTTCGACATCCCACCCTCTCTTCCTTCTGTAAACCCCACCTTTTACTTGTTAAAATTGAAAAACTGAATAAATAAATAAAGATTGTCGAAAAATAAAATAAAAAAAACAAGTGTGGGAAACGGAATTGGGGTTAGGGAGCGATCAATATTTTGGGATAGGCAAGCAAAAAAATAGAGGTGCTATAGAATACAGCTGAAGTATTAGCACAAGTAAACATACAACATATTTATAAAATAAATGGACAAGTGGTATGAGTAAAGAAATACTATTTGAGTGTAGCATTCTAGGCACCATACCGACAGCCTCTTTCAGTGGTTATGGTGCCAGGAATCCCGTAAAGCTGTCCTTTTATTATGAGCCAAACCATTTTTGACCAGGCTCAGTTTGTCATAACGCTAAAGTGGAAGTTGTAGCCTATGAATTCCATCCGAAAACGGACGGAATCGATTTTGCTAACATTGGAAGTATTAATGTTACAGTTTCAGACATCTGTGAATAGTTGGTGTGTCCATCTTTTCAAAAACAGTTTGACTGTCAAGGGGGAGGTGCCAGGGGAAATTGGGTTGTTGTGCTTATGGTGCTTAGATTGCCCCTTAAAGAATGCAAGTTTGACACCACATCCAAGCAACTATTGGTAGATATGTTTTAACCTTTAATGTGCAAATAGGATAAAAAGCCAAAAGCTGTAATTCCCGATTGTAACTAAGAAATTAATTGATCGGAGAATACTTTTTGTTTTTACATTAGCAGCAACCATAAACACCTACGCTTTCTGTATATGTCATAATGTGAAAACAATTACTCTAGATCTAATTGAATGCCCCCATTGTGTTATTAAATACACAGGAGAAAGATATTGCCCAGGAGTTGGACAAGTAACTGCTACAGATGAGATAAAGCGTGAAATTATACACCAACTGTGCATCAGGCCCATGGCCCACAGTGAACTAGTTAAGGCCTTGCCTGAAGATGTAAGTGAAATCAAAGCTGGATTAATTATCACTGATGTGTTTAGCTGCCTAGGTTGGAAACATACCTATATTGTGCCAATCAGTGGTTATTCTGCTAAAATTATATGCATTGAACTAGAAGCTGGGAACCCCTCCCTCTGACCCTCCTACTCTTAAAGTCCAGTTCTTGTCTAATTTTTTGAATCATGACTCTCTTAATTAACTAGTTCTGGAATTGGATAACGGTTTTGTTGCCAGTTATTCTTTCTATAAATGCATACATGATTACTTTTAATTTAAAATGTTTAAATAAGAAAACTTTAATTGCAAACCAGTTGCTAGGTCACTATAACCCTGTAGGCCTCATGGTGCCTGCAGTGGCACTGTTCAGACCTCCATTACAATTTTAATATGTGAAATTTCTTTTGTCATTAAATGGAAACATCATTGCAGTTTTTTGGCCATAAATAGTTTATGGTTAAATGTTTCTGGAAAAGAAACCTGTCATGGAAGGCCATACTACGAATTTGAAGTTAGAGGCCCATACTGCCCCTTTTGTAAATTACTCTGTTTTTGTTGTGAATAACTTTGTTTCTGTTAACTTGCAGGAAAACAAAGAAACCGGAATGGAAACAGTGATTGAATCTATAGCCTCATTTAAGTAAGTCCCAGTTATGGTCTCAAAAATATTACACATGACAATTGTTTCATTGGAATAATCTTCTAATTTGTTTTTTTTATTATATTTAGAAAACCAGGTCTAACAGGCAGAGGACTTTATGAGCTCAAGCCTGAATCTGCCAAGGAGTTCAATCTATATTTTCATCACTACTCGAGGGCAGAACAATCTAAGGTAACCTTCCAGACATATTTTTTTGCTTTTAATTAGAATAAACCATGAGATGAGAAACTGGCTTCTCTGACTTTCTTAGCAGCAAAATCTAGGTGACAAATAAAATGGGGCAGAGGAAGGGGGAGTTGTCCAGTGGAGAGAGGCATACCATGTGGAAGAATATGGGAATTTCAACATTACTGAAAATCTACTAAAAAAATATTTTAAACTATTTCCATCGTACCTACACCTTGTGATATGAATACACAATCGAATGGATTTTAGCTGTGATTTTTGTCCAAGAGAGGCTTAACTGTTTTCCCAGTAAAGTAGCCATGGTGTCTACCAGGTCCTGCAACCATGCAGCTGCCCAAGTAATTTTATTCTATTGATCTAGACCGAAAGAAAGCCCAAAGGATGTAAAATAATTTTGTGCTGTTTAAAAAATAAAAAAAAAGCATGGGTTTTCCCAGCTCATAAAGCTTGGCCGAGCTGCTCACAGTTCAATGAAGACACTGTTTATGCAGAAAATTAATCTAATCAAAATGATGTATTAACTGTGCAATGGGTGTTTTTTTTCTTTCAGGCAGAGGAAGCTCAGCGCAGATTAAAGAAGCAGAATGGTGAAGATACTGGTATGTAATCTATCCTTGTTTTTTCAATAAATGTAGCTAAAATGCAACACATAGTTTGAAATTTTGAGAGAGATTTGTGCCATACCAACAAGATTTGTACTCTTAAGTAGGTACGCTGAAAAAGCCAGCGTCCACCCGAGAGAGCAGTATGACAAATAACATTTATGCAATCTTCATATTAAAAAAAATATATATATATATTGTTTTACATAAATGTAAAACTTTTTTTTTTATTATTCTTTTTTTCGCAGTCAACTTGTGATAGACATTGTGTATGACATATTCAATAAAGCATAACATTGCGGTTAACCATTTACATGCAGTTGGTAGGATATCAATGTAGCCTGCGTTTTTTTTTGTTTTTTTTTATTGTAATGTAGCGTGTTACTGCCATATACCTGCCTCCAGTGCTCGTGGTAGTGGAGATATATATCTAGGGCATGCATGGCCGTACGTTTAGCAAAAATGAGTGAGAAGTAGTGTGTCTCTAGAGCGGACCAGACGCTGTAGGAGTGCAGCTCCACATGGTTGAGTGGGTGTTAGTGGATACTAGCGTGGAGCTGGGGGGGGGAGAGGGGGGTTGGTGGACTTTAGGGAGCCTGTGTTCCCGGGTTAATCCCGGTCGCGGCTCATTTAGGATTGTCTGGTGGGAAAGAAGGTTACGGTCGTTCCCTGCTTGCGTTGTATATGTAGATGCGTAGCATTTAAGTGTTGGCTGAGTAAAGGAAAATACAATAATAACTAATAACTTATGCTGTGCTAACTGTGCATCTGTAAGATGCTGGCCCCATGAGGCACGTATGTCGTAATAGGTGAGAAAACAAGATTTAAACTAAAATAAACAGAGAAAACAGTCTCCAGAGTCAAGTGTTTGCTCGGCTGGGTAAACTCCTACTCGCCGGGATGGACGGGATAGCGTTAGCCGGGTCCCAAGCTGTCGGTGCAGACGTTGCGGTGTGATTCAGGCCCAGTGTGGTCAGAGTTGCCTCGATCTCTGATGCCTCAGTCACCCTGATCTGTGTTCTGATGCTGGATGAGTAGCGCTCGCGTTGGGCCCCAGCGGTATTTGAGTCCCTTTGACGATAATATGGATGTGAGGGGACATAGTGTTTGAAATTTGACCAGTATGTCGCTGGTGTTGGAGGCAGTGGCTGAGGGAGGCCTGGGGAGCCGAAACATCCCATCCAGTGTAATGCCCCTGGCTTGTTTGGGAGAGAGAAGGGCTGTGAAGAGCCTGCGCAAGCAGTGTGGTAATTCTGCCTGGGTGATATTGTCTGTGAGACCCCTGATTTTCAGGTGTTTCCACCTTCTTCTATCCTCCATGGCTGAAAGGTGGTGGCTTAGAGTGTTGTGAGCTGTGGTGAGGGTACCAATCTGGGTCTGTAGCTCCAGGATTTGGGCTGTATGTGTTGTGGTGGTCTGTTCGACTGCATTTAGGCGCCCATTGAATCCCTTAAGGTCCTCTCTAACCTGTGAGATTTCAGATGACAGACTTTGACGGAGGTCCACCAGGAGGCCGGTGAGTATTTCTGTGGTGAGCGGTGCTGACCCTTTGGCTGCTGACTGGGCAGATTTTGGAGGCTGTATTCCCTGCTCCCCCAGATTGTGAAGGGAGTAGTCTTCCGATTCATCAGAGAAATCCTCCAGGTCCGCCGCCATGTCAGTTTGACCTGCTCCATGCGGCCCTCTCAGGAGGTCGCCGATATCGGCGCAGAATCTGGGTCTGTCTGGTCGGGGTATTTTGGTCTTCCTCCCCATCGTTTGTGGTATCGTCTGGTGCTTTTTGAAGGGGGTATACACCCCGTATTTCAGCTGGTTTTAGGCGTTTTTTGCCGGTTAGTTGGAGCTCTGGGAGATTGCGACCGTTGCTGTTGAGCGCTAGCTCCGCCCCCAGAAACTTTTTTTTTTTTTCATTGGCAATTGAAAAAGTTATTTTTTACGATATGGAATGGGATGAAAGCAGATTTTTTTTAATTTATTTTTTTTGTCCCAAGTTAGATTAATTTGTTAGTATGGTAGCTATGAAGGAGGGCTCCTCGCTGTGTGCCTCTCCAAACTTGTGAACTGTTACTGCTGTCATTGGGTAGGAAACTTTAATAGTTCCACTGTGACTGCAGTTTCTCTAGTTTTTTTAAAATTGTATTTATTAAAGGAACATTCTCACAACCTCATCTCTATGACATTTTTATAATGGCAGGTGTGCCTGGTTGAGATCATAACCCATTTTCCTACAGTTTAAAGTGTTCTGGACCAGTTCACTGGTAATGAGGAAAACTATTTAGTGCCCACTAAACTTGGGTCTCCATTGGGCACCAAGGCTCATTCCATGTCTGGTGACACTTCTGCAGAGCTGAAAAGGCCAGAAACCCTCCTTTCTAGCACATATCGACCCCCTCTGCCTGATCAGTTTCCCTAGGGAAGTATCGACACCCCGCCTGCTTCACTTCTCCCAGACAAGTATCGACCCCCCCTCTGTTTGCTTCACTTCTCCCAGAAAGGTATCGACCCCCCTCTGCCCGCTTCACTTCTCCCAGAAAGGTATCGACCCCCTCTGTCTGCTTCACTTCTACCAGGCAGGTATCGACCCCCTCTGTCTGCTTCACTTCTCCCAGGTAGGTATCGAACCACCTTTGCCTGTTCAGTTTTTCCCAGGCAGGTATCGAACCACCTTTGCCTGTTCAGTTTTTCCCAGGCAGGTATCAACCCCTTTGTCTGCTTACCTTCTCCGAGACCGATATCGACCCCTTTGTCTGCTTACCTTCCCCCGAGACCGATATCAACCCCCTCGGTCTGCTTCACTTCTCCCAGGCAGGTATCGAACCCCTTGGTCTGCTTCACTTCTCTCAGGCAGGTATTGACCCCCACTGCCTGCTTCACTTCTCCCAGGCAGGTATCGACCCCTCTGCCTGTTCAGTTTCTTATTTAAGTATGAACAAACATACATAACTTGAAAAAGAAACAACATAATATAATACAATCACAACTTTCTAACATATGGAAAAACCAATATAAACAAAACTGTTTAGTTGTTTTCAATTTCCTAATTTGCATATCACAATTATACAAATCAATACACTTTTCATTTTCAGCAACAGAGGGCATTGGAGAGTTGTAATACCGATCCAGTCACCATGTATTGGTTGAGAATATCACCTGACTGCTCTCAGCCAATGAATGGCTACTATAATTTACATTAGCCAGACTGGAACACTTGTCTGTGCTTGCTAGTGACGCCTCTCTGTCGCTGCTGGTGGTGAAGTTATTCCTCTGCAGTAAAGGGTCCTCCCCAATTCGACAGCTACAGTCCTTACATAGAAACATAGAATGTGACAGCAGATAAGAACCATTCGGCCCATCTCGTCTGCCCAATTTTCTAAATACTTTTATTAGTCCCTGGCCTTATCTAATAGCTATGATAGCCTTATGCCTATCCCATGCATGCTTAAACTCCTTTACTGTGTTAACCTCTACCACTTAGCTGGAAGGCTTATTCCATGCATCCACTACCCTGTCAGTAAAGTAATACTTCCTGAGTTATTTTTAAACCTTTGCCCCTCTAATTTAAGACTATGTCCTCTTGTTGTGGTAGTTTTTCTTTTTTTAAATATAGTCTCCTCCTTTACTTTGTTGATTCCCTTTATATATTCCATTGGCTCCTGTACACTCCAGGGAGGTTTACTTTGAAGACCTCTAAATGGCTAAGAGCTAGTGTTTTCAGTCTATGACTAGCAGCTTATTGAAAGTAATCGTATATACATAGGAAGAATAGAGGTGGCAGAATGAGGGATCCACTTTGGGGTTAAATCATTTGAAAATGTGGGCACCCAGTGATTCCATCTCTCAATGCCATAATTGAGTTGTTACTGCAACTGGAATAATGTTAATGCTCCTTTAATGAAACATATTGTGTCATAATCAGAATAGTCGAACAATCGCCATGTAAACAGGTACATTTAATTTATTTATAGTTATTTCTCCTTTAAAACAGTTTTGCTAGATGTAAAATAGTTCTTTGTCTTACTCCATAAAGTAATATGAGAAGCTATGAACTAAGGTACTAGAAAGGCTTGTTGTTATTTGTTTAGATTATGAGAGGTATTATGACATGAAATAGACCTTTAATACATGAAAATATTCTTTTTCAGCTCTCCCTCCACCAGTCCTGCCACCTTTCTGTCCACTTTTTGCTAGTTTGATAAACATTCTGCAGTCGGATGTTATGCTATGCATCATGGGAACAGTTCTACAGTGGGCTCTGGAGCCTAGTGGTCTTGGCTGGTCAGAGTCCATGCTGCAAAGGGTATGTCTATAATGTACATATGGTAATAATGACTAATAATACTGAGACTGAATACTAGAAATATTATATAACAAAGTGCAGTACATTTTGACTGGAATAATCCCATAATAACGTATAATAATATACTTGCATTATAAATTCCATAACAAAAACCTAAAGGAAACCATAAAAACTAATTTTTATAAGGCATGAACAAAAAAGTGTAGTTAGTTTGACCAGACTCGTACATTCCAACAAGCAAACCCAGATTATGACATTTTAATCTAAACATCTGGAATGTTTCATTTGTGTTTGTTTCTCCAGGTCCTGCATCTTATTGGCATGGCATTACAGGAAGAGAATCAACTCTTACAGAATGTCTGTGAGGACAATGTTGTCAATTTCAATTTCAGTGAAAAGATTTCAAGTAAGCTTCAATCACTGGATGTGTTTACAAGATCGAGATCAGGGTGTAGTTTGTCCCTTATTAATACAGTATATACAATTGTAATACTGTTATCCAAATGCTTAGAAGTTGTTTGCATGTCCGATTGATTTCAGCGTATAAATATCGGTGTGGATAAACGCTTGAAAATACATAATAGATAAATGAGTCAGCAAACCCTGTAAGACAGGGGAACTCTGTTTAACCTCTATATAACAAATATAAACAAAACTGGAAAAAGCAGAACAAGTTGCGCTAAATGAAAATTATGAAAAAAAGTCCAGCCAGATAATGTCACAAATTTTCAATGTCCCGTATTCTTTCTTCCATAATGGATTTGGCATCACTTGACAGGTACATTCTACTTTCTGTTTTTGTGTATGAAACTGTGTTGTGATACTTAGTCCATTGTGGAAGAACAAATGTGGACATTATACAACTGACATTGACATTTTCATTTGGCACCACCTGTGCTGCCTTTTTCAGTTTTGTTTAGATTTGTAATATTGAGAGTTGACATCACAGCAGCAAGGTGAATTATCATGCAATGGGAATTGGAGGTTAGTTTGTGGCGATCACCCACTCTCATTGTGTAGAAGTCGCCATCAACCAAAGGGAAAATGGAGAATTCCAAACCAGAAGTCCCATGATAATAAACCTGCCATGTAACCAAATCAAATGTGAGATTATTTTAAATTACTAGGTGATAAGTAATCTTTCACCAGTGGTAGCACAAAAATCCAAATGTTTGTGGAGTCAGAACACACCAAATGCTGCTCCTCCTTTCAGCCCATGAAGGGTTATAAACACATTTTTGTTTATAGCTGGCAATGACAAAATCATTTATGGGTCAGTCTATAAAAGTTATATGTTTTTACATGGATTGGCAGCTCCATTTCCTGCTTATGAGCAGATTTTTTCTAATGGTCCCACCATTGTGTGTCTGACTTTCCCAGATATTTTCCCCACGTTTTAATATTTTACAGTACGTTTGCACTTTAATGCCGTACAATGATTAATAAATCCTTACTGTCTGGTGCTATTGATACTCTTTTCTACAATGTGAATGATGTTTAATGTACTTTTGTTAGGACCTGGGGAACCTCCCAGCACATCTCCCAGTATACTGGCCACGTTAGAAACTCTGCAAAATGCTGCCCATTTGGAAGCGCACAAAGATATGATACGCTGGATACTAAAGGTAACATTACATTTCAGAATGCGTTTTGGTTTTTTTAAACACAATCAAATAAAATTGCTCTCTTCCTGTAGGCACTTGTTTTTGTTTTACAATGTTTGTGCATCATAACACGGGTACGTTTTATTTTCTATTTTGTAGACATTTGGTGCTATTAAGAAGATCAGAGAGAGTTCCTCAGCAAGCCCAGTCTTAGAGACAGAAGGCAGTATTTTGGAGGAGGTATGGTTTTCACTTCCTTTCATTTACGTGTTTATCCCAACCGCGTGTTCTGATCATAAAGAAACAATTAACGTATTCACAAATATCTGGTCCTGACCACTGCAGGAGTTTATTAAGTACATTGATCTGTAATATTTTATTTTGGATTTGGGACTGTCTAGTATGTTTTATTCATGCATATAGTGGTATTTATTTATTTAGTGGTTTGGTTAAGTGGTCCGTATTTTTCATATATTTCAGTTGGATCTGAGCTACATTTTTAGTGCTTCATGGGAAATATCGTTCAAACTCTGAATGCCATGTTCATCTGTTATTTTCATTGTTGCTCCAGGTTTGGCTATTATGTTAACCTTTGCAGCATCCTCATTTAATGAGTAAACACTAACCACAATTTAAATTTTTTTAAAGAGACTGCACACACCATCATTGTTCACATAAGCTGTGTTTTTATCTTTAGGCAAGTGTTCTTGTTTAGAATAAAGAAAAACTTTGTATCTCACAGAGTACTCGGGATAAAGACAAAGCTGAGAGGAAGAGGAAATCAGAGATTGCAAGGCTTCGAAGAGAAAAGATCATGGCCCAAATATCAGAGATGCAGCGTCATTTCATCGATGAGCATAAGGAGCTTTTCCAACAAACAGACGAAATTAGTGCAACGACATCCTCTGCCTGTGATCATGGGTAAAGTCTCATTTTCATTTTGTGCTAAACCAGGGCTTCCCATGTCATTTTTAAAGGCTGTACAGTGTCACCTTTGTTTTTATTTTATTATTTTTTTGTATGGTATTAAGGACTCTATTAAATTAGATTTTAGCTAAGTTCAACTTCACAAGGAGCCTTAAAAAAAATTAATTTAAAAAAAATCTGTAAAGCTTATTAGATCCTTTATAAGCACAGTTGGTGAAAACATTAAGGTAATATAACAGTTGAGTAAAATAAATAAAACCTCAATGATCAGTTTTATTATAATTGCACACAGCCCAAAGTTTCTGCAGGCATTGCTCCATATTACATAATTGACTCGCCTGCAAGTCACTAGTACACATGCACCGTGGAGAGGGTTTGGCTGTGCCAAAGCTCTACAGATCCATCTCTAAATCAATGTTGACCGAAAAACTTAATAGTTATTCAAGTGAATTTAAAAAGATTAAGCAATTTGGCACAACCAAATCCTGCATTATAACCTAGCACTCACACACAGATAGATGAAGGATAAAGAGCAAGTGAATACCTTTTATTTATAAAAAGATTAACCAATTTTGTCTGTGCTGACCATATAGGCTGAAAACATGACTAAGTGTTTCTATCTGTTCCATAGCCCTGCAATGTTGGATACCAAACCTGTTGCATTAGGTCCTCACCAAACAAAGTTCACAGAAGAAAGGCAGCTTGTTATTTGCATTTTGTGCCAAGAAGAGCAGGAATATAAAGTGGACAACAAAGCTATGGTGCTAGCTGCTTTCATCCAAAGATCAACTGTTTTCTCGAAGAACCGGAGTAAAATCATTGATAATCCTGGTAAATGAAGGCTGCATACTGATATGAGTATTTTTTTATATTATTCAACTTTAAACAGACTTTCCTAAAGAATTTATGTAGCATTACCTTAAGCCACAAATTGTCTAGTACAGAGCCAAAGCTGGGGGGATATAAGACACTCATAAACAAAAAAGTGCAGTGCATTAATTATTCTTCTTTGTTAAAACTTGTAACAGAAAATTAATTTACAAATGAAAACTATTTGCTTTTGCTGAAAGTATAGTTTCTCTATTACAAACACTGGCCCTGATCATCAATGCATGAATGTGTTTGTTTACACTTTATTGCACAGAGACATATGACCCGTTGTTCATGCACCCAGACTTGGCCTGTGGGACTCATACAGGAAGTTGCGGACATATAATGCATGCTGACTGCTGGCAGAGGTAATTATATTTTAAGAAAAACATATAGTGTATGCAGTTGTTTTGTAAACCATGTCACGTATGCAGTGCATCTTATAGCTATGTTTGGAAACTGATCAAATACTTTTCATTCCTGGTAATTTTTATGCTTATATTAGTGGAGTATTTCTCACAGACACGTATTTAAGAAGGTTCCTTCTTCTAGGGGATATATAACTGCTGTCTGATGTGAACTTTAGTGGGAGAATATTATTCATTTTTTCCATTTCCAACATGTGTCCACGAAATTCATTAAAGCTTACAGGCTAATTTAAATGAACAAACACACAAACCTTATTTTGCACGAGGTTGGGGGAATCCCCTGTAATTTGTATTGCTGCTTATTATGCATCACTTTTTTTTTTTTTAATAATGAGCACCTATGTACTCTTTTCTTTGTAATTTAAGTGATCGCTTATCTCTCATAGGTATTTTGATGCTGTACAGGCAAAGGAACAGCGCAGGCAGCAGCGTCTACGTGTCCACACAAGCTATGATGTGGAGAATGGGGAATTTCTTTGCCCCCTTTGTGAGTGTTTAAGCAACACCGTTATCCCTATGCTACCACCACCAAGATGCTTATACCACAGGTGAGAACATTTATGTACCTTCTGTCATTTATTCCGAGCTTTCTGATGTTTGGTGGATTAACTGCTTCATGAATAAGTTTGTAGAAAACACTCTATCATGAGGGTCGTAAATTGTCATCTTTTATGATGGAGTTAAAATGCATTCATTCATTATAGTCTCTTTCAGGTTTTATGTCTAATATTGTAAATGTCCTAAATCTGGTCCTATGCTCCACTTCTACTATTGAAAAAATAAAATCCACAATGCAGTTAGTTATTTTTAGTCTGTTTTTTAGAGGAGTAATTTTCTTAACTTGGAAAGGATTATTCTGTGAATAATTAACTCATGTTTCAAACTACATACAAAGCCGTTAACATAATAACATTTTTTAAATCTTGTTTATTTGTTTGGATTTTGTTTTTGTTTATTTACTAAGTTTTTCTTCTTCAATTTGTTTCTTTCTTTTATATTTGTTAGTGAACCTGAATACTCTTCCTTTAATAGGTTAGATTTCTCCGATCAACCTGATTTAGCCGAATGGGTTAGTATTACAGCTCAGCAGGTTAAAGGACTCAAACTCCTGTACTCAGACCAAAGTGATCCAGGTGAGTTTCAATCAATGGTTATGTGAGCAAATATTATTTATGTGCCTCAATTATTTATCCCTAATTATCTCCAATTTGATTTGCATAGCGGATTTAGAGACCCCCAAACTTTTGGACCTTCCTGAAGGATTCCGGACAGATTTCCAGCCAAAGTATGTATTAAACAGCATTATATCTGTTTTGTTTGATAAATTCAGTAATGGGCAGCAGTATTTACAGGAATTGTTTGCTTATTTACACACGTGACTTTTGTCCCCAAACAACCCTACCTTCTGGGAGTTATAAAGATTAAGGAACTTTTTTACTGTAATATTCTTCTTCATGGCTGAACCTGGAAGTTTACATCTGCGTAATACACTGATCAATCACAACATTAAAACCATTGACAGGCAAAGTGAATAACATTGATTATATTATTTATTTATTTATAAAATATTTTACCAGGAAAGATATCATTACAAGGGTGGGATATACTAGGCAGCAAGTGAACTGTCAGTTCTTGAACTTCATGTGCTGGAAGCAGGAGTATTGGGCAAGCGAAAAAAATCTGAGTGAGTTTGACAAGAGCTAAATAGTAATGACGTGACAACAGAGCATCTCCAAAATGGCACTTTCTGGAGTGGCTAGTACCTACCAAGGAAGTACAACCGGTGAATCAGTGTAATGGTCATCAGCGCCCAAGGCTGGCAAGCTGACTGGTCCGGTTACAAAGAAGAGCTACTCTAGCTCAAATTGCTGAAAAACCCAATTCTGGTCATCATAAAAAAAATGTCAGAGCACACAGTGTTTTGCAGTTTGCTTTGTATGGAGCAGCGTAGCTGCACACCTGTCAGAATGCCTATGATGATCCCTGCCCACCAATGAAAGCACCTTCAATGGAGACGTGGGCATCAGAACTGGACCATGGAGCAGTGGGAAAAGGTTGCTTTATCTGTTGAATCATGTTTTCTTTTAGATCAGGTGGATGGCCGGGTGCGTGTTCTTTGTTTACCTGGTGAAGATATGGTAGTAGGATGCACTATAAGAAAAGGGCAGGCCGGCGCAGGCATTGTTGTGCTCTGGGCAATTTTCTGCTGGGATCTTGGGTCCTGGCATTCATGTGAATGTTACTTTGAACTATACCACCTACATAGAGATTATGGCAGATCACATACACCACGTACAGCCCTTCATGGCAATAGTGTTCTCTGATGGCAGCATCCTCTTTCAGCACGATAATAGACCCTGCCACACTGCAAAAATAGTTCAGGAATTGTTTGAAAGACATGACAAAGAGTTCAAGGTGTTGCTCTGGCATCCAAATTCTCCAAATCTCAATCCGATTGAGCATCTGTGGGATGTGCATGAACAACAAATCCAATCCATGGAGGCCCCACCTCGCAACTCCTATGACTTATAGGATCTGCTGCTAATGTCTTGGTGCTAGATACCACGTCATGTTTAGTGTTTTTGTAAACCATGCCTTGATGCGTCAGAGCTGTTTTGACAGCACAAGGGGGACCTACACGATATTAGGCAGGTGGGTTTAATGTTGTGATTGATCAGTGTATATCTTATAGCTATGGAAAAGCCTCCATAACATGGAGTGTAATACTCATTATTATTCCATAAGCACTCATTCTCAGCGTTGCGTCCAAACATCTCCTTCAATTACTGACACTGAAGATTTTTTTTAAAACAAACTTTTAAAATGCCAACATGAAGGTTAAAGAACCACTCCACTGTCCAAGCACCAAAAAAAAAATGAAATCACTGTTTAGTAGATATACCCTCCGTGAACATACATGTATTTAACTATACTTTTAATGTGATCATTGTTTGAAAATCGGTCTTCTCCAACCACTCATGTTGTTCCGCTGTGTCTTTGTGTGTTTTCCCCCACAGGAATCCATACTCTGACAGCATTAAAGGGATGCTGACAATGTTTGGAACAGCAACATACAAGGTGGGCCTGAATGTTCATCCCAACGAGCAGGATCCACGTGTCCCAATCATGTGCTGGGGGAGCTGTGCTTACACTATACAAACCATTGGTAAGAAAAGCCGTTATATTCACAGTGTTGGGGAAACTGTGTTATATGTTCTTCATTACCTAGTTTTTATATTTGTGATGTTCTGCAGAACGCATACTTACTGATGAAGAAAGACCTTTGTTTGGAAATTTGCCATGCCGGCAGGTAAGCTTTCTTTTGTATAAATCGTTTTTATTGAAGAATTTTTGTTGTCGAAAACAAAAGCACAACTTGAATAGTTTGTAGAAATACAAAATGGGCGACATAATTAGATGGTCCAAGATAAATCAAAAACAGGGTGGCAGAAAATTTTAATGAGAGGGTGTACCACACCAGTTAAGATTTATAAAATGGGAAAGACTACCTCTGATCTCTGCTGTGCTGGAGGCACTGTGGTAATATGGCAACCTACAAGCATATGTGGTGGGTCCTGCCTCAAACCCCATATAGAAGTCCAGTCCATTATGTTAAATTTCAGAAAAGGGGTGCAAATTAGGAAGGATAAAGTGATGCTAGAACTGTCTGTCTGAGGTTAACTTGATGTCAGAACTAACCTGGCAAGTACTAATATGAGATTTTGCTCTGTCCAGAGGTCACTGCCATCTTTTATTGTGTGAATTATTCTATGCTTTCCTGGCTAACAGTAACTAGTAACTAGTAAGCGTAGGACTTGACACTTTAAGTAATTTGTATGTGTTTCTCTTGTAGCTTATTTTAACGAAATAATCCTCCATTTTCACATTTAATTTTATTTACACTTAAGTCATGATCTAGTGAGATATGTTTAATGGCAGCAATCCTCGGATTTAAGTGTTTGTTATATATTTTTACATTTTAGGATGACTGCCTCAAGTCTCTGACCAGGTTTTCTGCAGCTCATTGGACTGTGTGCTCTCTTCCTGTGGTGCAGAAACACTTGTGCCGCTTGTTTAGTGGTAAGGGTTTTCCTGTTTGACATTATTATACTGATAATTTTTGCTTTTCTAGTTAGGAAGACTAACAGTGCAGAGAACTGAACGAGTTTCATTAATTGCCAAAGTTGCCACTATGCGGAATTTCCCGAAGAGGCTCGCTCTTTGATGGAAGTATTAACTGTCTCCACTGTAGTGCAGTCACCGTTTCCACAAGGCAGTCTAGGAATTTGCCCATGTGTTTTAGTGGTAGCTTGGCCCATGCCCAGTGTTTTGTGGATTTCATGCATAGGCCATACTCACAAAAGTTTTAGGATGTAAATCCTCTTTTTACGTGGCTACTTTTTCTGTCACTTTGGCACAGAATATTTCTGAGCAATCTTACTCCTGTTTTGATTTCACAGGCAGGTCTTTTCTGTTGTAGAAAAGCTACTCTGAAGAAATTGGATGTTTAAATATCTAAATTTGCTTGGAATTTTGCCAGAGATGTTACCTAATGTGTGTTTGTGTTTTAATACAGCAATTGTGCCTGAGGAAGACAGCAATACTGCTCCATGTATACTTGATATCGACATGTTCCATTTAATGGTGGGTTGAAGCATGACTGTCTTTTATGAATATTTAACTCCCATTTATCTTCCATTTTTGGTGGTGGAAAATACACTTATACATGATTGCTAGCAGTTCTTGTAGCAAAACAAAAACAAGAAATGTCAGTTTTTCATTTACAGTCAAGTTGTGTATACCATGATAGGTACACTTTGTGTGAAATGTGATCTAATTGATCGGTCATGTACAATGTCCAAAAAATGTAAAGGGACACTCCAGGCACCCAGACTACTTCTTTCCATTGGAGTGGTCTGGGTGCCAACTCTCACTACCCTTAACCCTGCAGGTGTAATTATTGCAGTTTTTAGAAACTGCAATAATTACCTTGCAGGGTTAAGTCCTCCTCTAGTGGCTGTCTACTAGTCTACTAGACTTCCTGGTTTCTAGCACAGTTTTCTTTGCTCATTTTCAATGCTTTCCTACGGGGAGGTCTAATGCGCGTGCATGGCATTAGGTCTCATCCCGCCGGTGGCCGCACATGCGCAATCAGGAGCATGGGCGGACCCTAAACCACCGCAGAGGGACATCGGCGGTGGTCTCAGGTAAGTCACTGAAGGGATTTTCACCCCTTCAGCAACATGGGGTGGGAGGAAGAGGGGACCTGCAGTGCCAGGAAAACTATTTGTTTTCCTGGCACTGGAGTGTCCCTTTAATGTATTCATAACTGAAGTAATAAATACATGGACTGGCTACTGTGAAGTTCCAACTTATCTTTTGTTGACTGCTAAACTTCCTTCTGTCTACAGTCTTTGATCTGCTGACAGGATCAATAGGAAAAGAGCTTGTTTGCAAATCATATGCTTCATCTTATCAAATAATTCCATATTGGAGAAAGGAATATATGTACAGGTACTAATCCAGAAGCCCAAAATAGAATGCCCACTGTCGGTCTCCCAGAAAAAGGGGGGTAACCCTCAAATGTGTATATATAAAGAGAGATATGGACTTGGAAAAAGTCCTGGGTGGGAGAGTGACAAAAGTAATAGAGAGGGTACCCTAGTTTTATTAACTTGACGTAGATACAAAGTCAGGTATAGCAAGAGGTAAGGGAATAGAGATGTGCTAAATTGTGCTCAAGGATGTGCTAAATTGTGCTCAAGGATGTGCCAAATTGTGCTCAAGGATGTGCCAAATTGTGCTCAAGGATGTGCCAAATTGTGCTCAAGGAAAAATAAAAAATAAGCTCCTTTATACATACTAATAGTTTCTCATAGCTGGTGTATCAAGCTTTACTTAATGAACAATACTTTGGATATAACTGTAGATCTTCATTTTGTCACAGGTTCCAGCTGCAATGTAGTGGTAGTGTTTTGTTTTCTCTTTATTTAAGGTGTCTTTTCCTTACAGGTCAGTTTGGTGCTCGCTTTTCCAGCCTTACAGTGCCAGGATTTTTCTGGGAACAGCCTTGCGACTGGAGACCTTCACCTTTTCCACCTTGTAACCATGGCACATATAGTCCAGATAGTCCTTTCTTCATCGATAGGTAAGCTGGTTTGGGATTTTTCAATAAGGCAAAGCAAGAGATTAGGTCTTTATATAGACAATTCAGTGTAAAGTTCTAAAAGTGGCGCAAATACTAGAAATATACAATTGAGTGGTGATTAGTATGTGAGTCTATAATAAATGAAGGCTTATATTTTTATGCAAATGTTTTCATGTTTGAATGTAAGAATTTAAGAAGATAGTTGAAATATAGCCAGTTCTAGGAAGAACCATAGACCGTGATAGAGCAGTGATTTGTAATCTTTTTATTACAATGACACAGGGTCTACAATTTCAGTTCTGACCTAACCACTAAGAGCCACTGGGGGTGGGTGGGAGGATGAAGGGAGGCAACTTTGCAAGTGGTCCATGGCAGACTATCTAGTGTAGTCAATGTGGCTTTTGTAGTCCAGACTTAATGTTGTCCAACAGTTAAGAGCTGCTGTAGTTCTTTCCTTACCTGTTCATTGTGCAAAAAGAAAAGTGTTTATACAAACAATCAACTAGAGTGTGAAATAGTGATGTTTTGAGATCAAGTGTTGGCTCGGTAAAGGGATACCAGGATTTCTGACTTGATCGTGATGTTTCCTGAAGTTGCATCAAGTTGATAAATAAGTGCAAAAAATATATCACGAGCACACCAGTCTGGTTGACAATATATACAATGGTTTGGTTTTTAGATATACGGCAGTTATCCGTGTTGTGCCCTTACCTTTCAGAAGACAACTGCATGGACCAAGAATCTACAGATGGAGAAGAGGAGATGGCTGCCATTGCCTTGTATAGGAAAATTTGCCAGTGCACTGGACGGTGGGGATTATTTGTTTTTATATATTTTTTAACTCAAAATAAAATCTAGAAGATTATTTACTCATGCAAAACAAATATCCATATTGCAATTTTAATAACAGTGGTGATTCAAGGAGAAAGAGAGAGTGAGAGTGTTCCTTTATTGCTTGGTCCTCGGCCTTAATTTAGAAAAAGGTAAAAGACCAGAGATATTCCATCTGGATGTGTGAATCCAGAGATTAACAGCATACTCAAACTGTGAAGATTACATTTTAGCTTCTTTAGTTCTTGGTATTTTCTTTTTTTTTTGTGTGTGTGTGTGTCCTACCTGAAGAGGATTATTGTATGCGGTGAGAACCCTGCTCTGTAACCTGTATGGTGGGTGGCCTGCTCTGTGGCCTGTATGCTGCGATTAGCCTCCTCTGTGGCCTGTATGCAGCGATTAGCCTGCTCTGTGGCCTGTATGCGGTGACTAGCCTGCTCTGTGGCCTGTATGCGGTGGCTGGCCTGCTCTGTGGCCTGTATGCGGTGGCTGGCCTGCTCTGTGGCCTGTATGCGGTGGCTGGCCTGCTCTGTGGCCTGTATGCGGTGGCTGGCCTGCTCTGTGGCCTGTATGCGGTGGCTGGCCTGCTCTGTGGCCTGTATGCGGTGGCTGGCCTGTATGCGGTGGCTGGCCTGCTCTGTGGCCTGTATGCGGTGGCTGGCCTGCTCTGTGGCCTGTATGCGGTGGCTGGCCTGCTCTGTGGCCTGTATGCGGTGGCTGGCCTGCTCTGTGGCCTGTATGCGGTGGCTGGCCTGCTGTGTGGCCTGTATGCGGTGGCTGGCCTGCTGTGTGGCCTGTATGCGGTGGCTGGCCTGCTGTGTGGCCTGTGTGCGGTGACTAGCCTGCTGTGTGGCCTGTGTGCCGGAACTAGCCTGCTGTGTGATGTGTGGCATGTATGCGGTGGCTAGCCTGCTCTGTGGCCTGTATGCGGTGGCTAGCTTGCTCTGTGGCCTGTATGCGGTGGCTGGCCTGCTCTGTGGCCTGTATGCGGAGGCTAGCCTGCTCTGTGGCCTGTATGCGGAGGCTAGCCTGCTCTGTGGCCTGTATGCGGAGGCTAGCCTGCTCTGTGATGTGTTGTCTGTATGCGGTGGCTAATCCGCTCTGTGAAGTGTGGCCTGTATGCGGTGATTAGCCTGCTCTGTGATGTGTGGCCTGTATGCGGTGATTAGCCTGCTCTGTGATGTGTGGCCTGTATGCAGTGACTTGCCTGCAGTGTGATGTGTGGCCAGTATGCAGTGACTAGCCTGCAGTGTGATGCGTGGCCTGTATGCGGTGACTAGCCTGCAGTGTGATGCGTGGCCTGTATGCGGTGACTAGCCTGCTGTGTGGCCTGTATGCGGTGGCTAGCCTGCTGTGTGGCCTGTATGCGGCGGCTAGCCTGCTGTGTGGCCTGTATGCGGCGGCTAGCCTGCTGTGTGGCCTGTATGCGGCGGCTAGCCTGCTGTGTGGCCTGTATGCGGCGGCTAGCCTGCTCTGTGGCCTGTATGCGGCGGCTAGCCTGCTCTGTGATGTGTGGCCTGTATGCGGCGGCTAGCCTGCTCTGTGATGTGTGGCCTGTATGCGGCGGCTAGCCTGCTCTGTGATGTGTGGCCTGTATGCGGTGATTAGCCTGCTCTGTGATGTGTGGCCTGTATGCGGTGATTAGCCTGCTCTGTGATGTGTGACCTGTATGCGGTGATTAGCCTGCTGTGTGGCCTGTATGCGGTGGCTAGCCTGCTCTGTGGCCTGTATGCGGTGGCTAGCCTGCTCTGTGGCCTGTATGTGGTGACTAGCCTGCTGTGTGATGTGTGGCCTGTATGCGGTGACTAGCCTGCAGTGTGATGCGTGGCCTGTATGCAGCGGCTAGCCTGCTGTGTGGCCTGTATGCGGCGGCTAGCCTGCTGTGTGGCCTGTATGCGGCGGCTAGCCTGCAGTGTGATGCGTGGCCTGTATGCGGCGACTAGCCTGCAGTGTGATGCGTGGCCTGTATGCGGTGACTAGCCTGCAGTGTGATGCGTGGCCTGTATGCGGCGGCTAGCCTGCTGTGTGGCCTGTATGCGGTGGCTAGCCTGCTGTGTGGCCTGTATGCGGCGGCTAGCCTGCTGTGTGGCCTGTATGCGGCGGCTAGCCTGCTGTGATGTGTGGCCTGTATGCGGCGGCAAGCCTGCTCTGTGGCATGTGTGGCCTGTATGCGGTGATTAGCCTGCTCTGTGGCATGTATGCGGTGATTAGCCTGCAGTGTAATGTGTGGCCTGTATGCGGTGACTAGCCTGCTCTGTGGCATGTATGCGGTGATTAGCCTGCAGTGTAATGTGTGGCCTGTATGCGGTGACTAGCCTGCTCTGTGGCATGTGTGGCCTGTATGGCCTGTATTCGGTGATTAGCCTGCTCTGTGGCCTGTATGCGGCGGCTAGCCTACACTGTGGCCTGTATGCGGCGGCTAGCCTGCCGCGTGGCCTGTATGCGGCGGCTAGCCTGCCGCGTGGCCTGCATGCGGCGGCTAGCCTGCTCTGTGATCTGTATGTAGTGGTTATCATAATGTTGTTGCTGGTACAGTGCAGCAACTCCTTATTTGCCCTGATAACTGCCTATTCCACTGATAACTGTGAGTTTCCTTTCCATTATTTAGAACTGTGAGAGAGCTGTCTTCTGGATGGCATTTCTGCAGAGCAATAAAAACTGCTATCCTGCCTTTCCTGAGGTGTTCTGCTTTGTTTTTCCATTATTTAAATGGTGTGCCAGCACCATTAGATTTACCAGGTATGTTTCATTTACAATCTTAACTCTCATTGAAATGAATCTGGTCTTTACACATCGTTCACCAGTGTTTAATCTTATTTTTTTTCCTTCCTCTGAGTGGGAGCTCCTAGTCTTTATTGGGACACCACAGACAACTAGGGTGCTGTGATATGTTTGACGTCACGTCATGTCAAAACAATACATAATTAATTTTTGCCTAATGTATGGATCACATCACATGGAAAAATAAAACACACAGACCAGTTGCACACTGGCATTTTCTTTTTTTCTTTTTTTTGTCCGAGAGAGGGACTTGTGGGAAGTACATATCTCCCATAGGGCTTGCTCTCTGTTGCTGCTGTTTATATTCCATGCACCCTGCTGGCAGACAGCATTTACAATTTTAAGAAGGGGAGATGAGTTGAGAAGTAGGGTGAATAGTTTAGGATAGAAAACAAAGACGAGAAAATAGGGTATATGGGAGAATGTTTACATTGAATAAATGGGTGACTCAAGAGCTATGTGTTTAAAGCTGACTTCCAGAACTAAGGATCAATTATTTTAATGCATTATATAGATAACGTATACAAATGCAAAAAATAAAATAAAAACCATACTGACTTCTGAAGTTTCAGAATTTGCTGCACATCCACAAACTGAAAAAACAAGTTATGGAATAGCTCTGTGTTAAGAGTAGGGAAGGCAGCACACCTAAACAGGTTAGTCTCTCCCAAAGACTGCCCAGCTTTTACTTTGTCCCTTTGCCAAAACAGACAGACAGTAACTTGGCCAGTCATGACACTTACTTGGCTTTAAAATACAAAAGGCAGGGCAGGATGGGTGGGAGATTGTAACTAAACACTTTCCTATTTTCTTATAAAACAAAAACACAGTTTAATTCAAATAAGTAGAACATGTCTAACACAGGGAACTCTGACCTAATCTGCACATTACTTCTAACATGTGCTTGCCTGTTGACCTGGTATGTCTCCTTAATGATCGCAAAGTAATGTATGTTGTTTTGGGAACACATTTCATGTTTATTTGTTTTCCCCTCTAGTGAATGGAATGAGCCAGTTTGATCATCTCTGTAGTTACCTTTCTTTGCCTACCAACCTAATCAGCCTTTTCCAAGATAATCCCAAAGTGTCGGAGACCCTGATAAATAGGTAAATCTAAAGATCTTATAGGTGGGTTTCACATGTGAATCATAAACGAGGTAAAGAAAAACCAGGATGGATACATGGCCACCTTGAATTTCTTAGAGATTTATACAGGATTATTCAATAAAGTGAGAATTCAAAGTGAATTTTAGAATTTGGGCCAGAGTAGCTAAACTTCAAGCATAGCTGACTTTTTCCACTTTATTGAATTCCCACTTTCAGGAATAACACTGATAGAATCGCTGATGTCTACTATTCGCATTTAGCATTTTGGCTAAATCTGACATTTTAGACCTAGCATATCACTGGCACAATGAGAACACGATTTCTAAAGTTTTAGAATGGCATTTGTGTAGCCTGCACAGCTTAAAGGGACACTATAGGTACCAAAACAACTTTAGCTTAATGTAGTGTTTTTGGTGTATTAATCATGCCCCTGCTATCTAACTGCTTAATTCTCTGCTATTTAAGAGTTAAATCATTGTGTTTATGAAGCCCTAGCCACAGCTTCCTGCATGTGACTTACACATCCTTACCAATCTCCTCCTGTAAAGTTACGTCTAAAGTTCAAATTTATTGTTCTTGCACATTCTGTTTAATTTAGAATTTCTTCTCTCCTGCTATGTTAATAGCTTGGACCTCACAGGAGCTGTGTGTGATTAAAGTTTAATTTACAGAGTAGTAGATAAAAACTTCTAAATCAAGTTAAAGTCTAATTGAAAAGGAAACCATTTGTTTTGTGCAGGCAGGAGGGGTGGCTAGTGCTACATAAACAGAAACAAAAATGATTTAACTCCTAGCTGACAGAGAATTGAGCAGTGAACACCAAACCTGCTTCATTAAGCTAAACTTTTTGGTGCCTATGATGTCCCCTTAAAAGAGGAGTTGAGTATGTTCCCCATAGATTGGGAATCACTCTATCTTTGCTTGATGCTTTTTGTCTGTTTGGTGTTTTATTTTTTTTGCACAGTTACTTTTTATTGGAAGTGCTTGTTCTTATATATGGTTAACAAACTACACATGCTCCTTAAACCTGCAATATGTATAAGAGAATAAATGGATATTAGTGGAAAACACTGTAATCCATAGATGTACATATCTTGCGAGTGAAGCTTGCTTGCTGATTAAATACACATGGGTTGAAAGAGGCTGCACGTTTTTTTTTTGTTTTGTTTTTTTTTATTCTTTATTTATTACAAGACATCACAAAACAGTGCATATACAACAATATAAGGTTATGTATAAACAAATATGTATACTGTGGACATGGCATTATTACATTCGTATGATGGGTAAACAGTCCAGGTCACACAAATCCTGTAACTAGAGACCTCTAACTGAGTTTACATCTCTAAAGTTCTCATCTCTACGTATAGTTAGATATCCTGTCTAGTTTTATATAGTAGATAAAACATTTAACAGAGAACATATGATATATGCCGACCGCACACGTGTTTGCAAACGCAAACATACACAAAAAGGGGAGAACGGCTAAGAGTAATATACGAGCCTACGTTTGTTCCCGTGTCGCTATTGTCTCGTGCGTGTATTCCCACCATGTACGGTCGGACGATAAGATTCAGGAATTAAGAGATGAAAGAAAAGAGAAAATAGAGGAGGTGCCTCGAAGGGGCTGCACGCTTTTTGTGATTAATATTTTTGTTGACCTGCAGTTCTGCCATCAATCTTAGCTCAGCTTACTGCCACCAAGCTTGTCATGGGTCATCTTTGAATCCAAGTTATGTTAAAATCCAACAGAGTCCAACCTTCAAAGACATTCTGCCAGGTTCCTTAAAGTTCGCTAGCTTTGTTGACAATCTGCAGCCAGAGTTACAATTTGCTGGTTGCCTCCACACATGAATGACACTTATAGTGCTGTGGGCTAATTTTGCCCCTTTTGATAGGAACTGTAATAGAAGCTCAGTGTTCCATTTGCATGATGGGCACAAAATACATAGACACTCCTTTTCTGGTTTTAGTTTAAATTAAAATTTTGACAATCCAGTAAAGATCATATCCTAGGGTATTAAAATTGTATAAACCTTGGGATAGTTGGCCCGATGCTCCTGTAACATTACAAGTGTACAGCATAGCTATGTCATTTTGTGAGTGTTGTGTGGAAGTGAGGAACACTGCAAAGTCCTATTATGTACATTTCTATTAAAATGTCTTTCTAGCGTGGAAGCCACATATTAATAATTATTATATTTATTTAGTTGGTGTAAAAACAAGGAGGTGAAAAGATTTCTGGTTGGTGAACGAACAGCCGTCAGGTAAGATTTTCTGGTTTTCTCTTCTCCCTTATTTGTAACAGATCGCATAATCCTGGTAGACAGAAAGTAGATTCATCTGTCAGGATTGCACTCATTCAGTGGGCTTCAGTTTGCTCCTGTGTTCTTGAATATAACTGTTCTCTATAAGCTGTTGAATGTTCAGATAGACACTATTGCATTTGATATATTTTTGAATGATTCTTTCTAACTGAAAGCAGATTTGTATGTTACATAAAGAATGTCTTGCTACTTATAGAGCCAACATTTTCTGTAGCACAATATCGGGAAAGAGACAGTAAACACTTGTGAACACTCTGCATAAGCATTCATAACAGCAATTATTTATTGGACACCAGTTACTCTGCTTTGGCACACAGCCCGATATATACACCTATTTACAATCTTATACCAATGGTAGTATTCACAAGGATTGAACATCATGATGCAATCCACAGTACAGGCCAATTAACATTTAGTCACACAGCTCAACTCATTCATCAGTATATGTAATGCGTCCTTCTGCACAGTTACTTGTGTTGTCTTTGTAGTCAACCTTATTTTACCATGTTGGTTTTCTTCAGCTTTCCCAGAGAGTCTAATAAATTAATAGACCTTCCAGAAGATTACAGCAGCCTAATTAACCAAGCATCAAATTTTTCGTGAGTAGCATCTTTTCTGCACCCCCTAAAAAGTGTGCCAGTGAGCACATTTTGCATAGATAAATTCCTCTTCTAATCTTACTCTGTGCAGGTGTCCAAAGTCTGGAGGGGATAAAAGCCGAGCTCCCACTCTGTGTCTGGTGTGTGGAGCAATGCTGTGCTCTCAAAGTTACTGCTGCCAGACCGAGTTAGATGGGGACGACGTTGGTGCATGCACTGCGCATACTTACACATGTGGATCTGGCATGGGTATCTTCCTCCGGTACGTGTGATGACACTATAAGTTGTATAACAATGTTATACAATCAACTGTTTAAAAAGGGTCTGTTAAATCTTGTTTTTCACAAGGTGTGCTATTAGAGATAAACATAAGTTTCAGAGCAGGTACGTTTTCAATGTCTTGGTACCTAGTCACACAGATCCTGTAGAAAGAACGTGCAATTAATGTTGAAGTAAACACAGTTGTATGGGTACAGATGTCTTTGAGGTGCTCAGTAGTGTGTGCAAACCATAAATACAACTAGGGACTTAAAATCCAAAGGACGCGGATTTCCAGGCCATGTTTATAGCCATGAAAGCTAGTGGTTAACACAAAATCAAATTTTTTTTATTTTTTGTCACAATTCCATATTTTTCTATTTAAACACAAACACTAAAATACAACACAGATATCAAGCATAGTCTTGGCCACAGTAAAGTCAAACCATTCTTTTAATCAGCAGGGGTCATATCAAATCTATGTGCCCTCTTAATCTTTCTGCAAGGTTTAGCAGTTTCTTATTTGTTATTAGCTTGTATGACAAATATTCGAAGGGTTATTAAATAAATGTTGACTCTTGTAGAGTTGTCAAGGGATTTGCACATTTTCATGTTTTGCATGTTGAGCAATATGATTTCTATTTTCAGATGAATGAAATCTAGTACATTGGGTCGTCTTAATCTGTTAAAAGAAACAAGTGTAACAATAGGAAAAGTGTAGGCTTTCCTAGCGATTTTATAGTAAATTCATTCTTCTCACCCTATTGTTTGCAGAGTCCGTGAATGTCAGCTCCTCTTTCTGGCTGGGAAAACTAAGGGCTGCTTCTATGCACCTCCTTACCTAGATGATTATGGCGAAACAGACCAGGGACTGCGGTATGTGAAAACCAGCATTCATTTTTTTTAAAAATAAAAATGTAAAGAATATTTTGCACAAATTTCCACTCCCCATTTTTAACCCCTTAAGGACACATGACATGTGTGACATGTCATGATTCCCTTTTATTCCAGAAGTTTGGTCCTTAAAGGGTTATAGGGACACCCTGGACCCCTAAAGCACTTTAGCTTGCTGAAAACTGTGTGTGAAAAGGGTTCCCTTTCTATCTCATTATACAGAAAGTACAGATTTCAATAGAAATTAGACTTGTTACACCACCTAGCTTTCAAACAGACCATAGGTCCTGTTCCTGGTTTGGTTAGCTCAGTGGGTTAGCTTTGAGCAATGCGTATAGCTGTAAGTCTGGTGTCACTAAATATGGCCCCGACTGATGGAGTTAACTCTGCTCACACCAAAACTGCAGGATGTTCCATGTCCTAACAGCGTTAAAACTTGCAATTTTTATGATGCCATGGAACATCCCCGCCCCCCAGACAAACATTTTTTAAACATCATATAACTGTTTGCTTGATCCTTTAGGGTAGTGGTGTCCAGAATTCTTATTTAAAAAGTTGAAAGAAGTTTTAGCAGAGGAAACCCACACGGTAATCATGGCCATGAATCAAAGTTTATTGAGCAAAAAATATCTTTTATATATTTATATATATGTGTGTGTTCTTTTGATATGGATCTTGTCTGACATTTTTTTTCTTTTTTTTTGTTTAGACGAGGAAACCCTCTGCACCTCTGTAAAGAGCGCTTTAAAAAGATCCAGAAACTGTGGCAGCAACACAGCGTAACAGAGGAGATTGGCCATGCACAAGAAGCTAATCAGTCGCTAGCTGGCATCGAATGGCAACATTTATAATACAGAATAGTTTTTTTTTTTATTTTATAGCTGTACCCTTTTTCTAAAACAATGCCTGTGACCGAAAACAGCTCATTGTTCAAACAATGCAAGTCTTTAATTTATAATACATTATTTAGTATCTGAATAAAATTGTCGTTTGCTAACGGCACTGATAATGTCACCAGGATGTACAATTCCTTAGTACTCGTTCTTGCCATGCTTCTTTTAAATAAAGGGAAGTTGCTGCTTAAAATTCAGGGCAGATTAGGAGGGGGTAGATATTGGTCATTACCCCCTCTGTTTCATCTGTACTAAGCATGGCAAATCAGGCTGCAACTCTAGTGAAAATAAAAGGGAGATATTTTGTTATACAGCATAGTAATCCTTTTATATGGTGACTTTATTTACAGAAGAAGCAGTTTTGCTTTCTCTAGAGTGGAAGAAGACAATGAGCACCTCCCAATCTGTTAATATGGGTAACAGCTGCAGATAATCATGGGAGTGTAATTCAGACAAGATACAACGAAGAACCACCAGACGTCCCTGCAGTAGATTAGTTAAGTCTTGTTACCCAACAAGGACAGACTTTCTATTATATGCTTTTTTGGCATTTGAGCAAGCTGGACTTACTTTCAACTCACAGATCAATATGCCACGCGGACACAAAGTCTCTAATAGCTGGGAATATTTATCATGTAGGCTGTTTATCTGACATTTCTGCATGAGGGCTGCCCTTTGCATACACTTGATTCCTGGTTGCAGAATTCGCCACCCAATAGAAAAAGACCGTAAAGAGTCTTCTGACTTTCTATAATCTTACCTTGGGTGTCTACCTTCATTTATGAGTAATAATTGCGTGGAAACAAAGTTTTCGCCATTTTTCCACTACTACTATTTTGCGTGAATAATGGCACCTAGCCAATCATATCTTAAGAACCGTACTCACTCATAATGACGTGCAAATTTGAGTGTGTGCAGTAAATTAGTTGCACGTGGGACAAAGACCTTTGACATCTCAGTGTGTTCCCTTAGTCAGTAGTATGATAACTCGAGTTTAAAAAAAAAAAAATCAATCTGTTAAATTAGTACATGTCTTCCTTATTGGCAATGCATTTTTTATTTAACATCTTCACTGCCGGAGTAGAACAGTACATTCAGTGTCTTGCTGGGAATAAATACTTTTTTACTACTTAAGAAACAACATCTTAAGTAGTTGACACAGAGCAGATTTATTGGATCTCTGACCATGTCAGACTTGAGTTAAATACCACTAACTGCATGTATTTTTTTTTTCTAGGTACCTGGTGTCAATTAAAGTGAGTTTTCCGAGTGCACTAAACTTGTTGGAACAAATAGTTGATATTTGCTTAATGCTAACTGTGGGCATGTGTTAAACAGGTCCTCAGTTACTATGGGAAGATAAGCTTGTAAAAGTTTTTTGATTATGGTTAAGTAATATAGCTAGCCTGATTTCTCCCTCCCCCCTTATTCTTCTAATGTTGAATGAGATTCTGCAGATAGATTCTCAATATTAACCTTTTTTTCATGACCCCTTTATAAACAAGGCATTACTTGAACATATACATCATTGACTACCAGGTAGTCTAAACTTAAAATGCCATTCCATTCAACAACTTTAAACAGGGTCTTTTTCCCCAGAGGGAAATCAAAAAATACATTTGGCATCACAATGGGTGGGTCTACTTTTATACAAACCGTTTCATTATTGCCATCCCCTTTGTGCATTTTCCCCATTGGTAATGTAGCTGTGAATGTTCTGGGTGATTTGAATTCATTCCAGACGTGTGTTGATGTGACTTGATCGTTGGTCAATATATATGGCACAAGTTGTTTGTCATATGAAAAGAAGTTGTAAAAATCAATACTTAAACATTGTGCGTGCCAGGGATCACTACCAACTCCTTCAGCACACAATGTGCAACTCCTTTTGTTCCTACGGTATTGCTTAGCAATCCTACTAGTAGCAAAATGGGCCCAATTTAGAACAGAAGACTGCTGACATATAGTCAAGCAATTTTTCCACGTTATTCTCACGCTCACAGTTTTAGCATGTATTTATGTTTAATGTAGAAAATGGTAATGTAAAAAAAAAAAGTATGAATGAAATTATATTTGAAAGGATTTTACTTCATCTTTAATATACATTAAATTCTTGTAATATTTGAATGTAATATATGTATAAAAAAATATACAACTTATCCAAATAAATGCTATAGCTGTTATTTCTTGTCCTCTTACTGAACTGACCTAAATAGACTGCATATTTCTGCTGAGATAAGAGAATGTAGATCAGCCTTGGCCATTGCTCAAATATGTCACGATTAAGCCATCAGATTAGCAAGTCTTGCAGCCTCTGCAGTTACCTTAAAGATGATTATGATATTAGGGTTAATAGCAGGCAGGTATGCTGATAGTCTACAAATAAGCTTGCTCAGGAGTTTAACAGATTAGGATAGGTAGAGGGTGAAGATGCTGATGATTATAAGGTGTATTATATGCGTTCTAAGAACTAGGCCATTAGAGGGTGTTTTAGTGCAATATTTCATAACCAAACCCATTGATGTTTTAGTAATCTTGTAAATACGCAACCAAGACTTATTTCACTGTTGGTGACAATTGCCCCTGAAGGCATTTTTGTTAAATAAGGCGTTAAATAGATTTAATGCTCTATAATTGTTGGGATTGTTTTTCTTTATACTTAAACTGGAGATTTCTGTTGATGAATATTGAAGAAAAATGTTGTTAGTTTTTTGGGGGTTTTTTGGCTTTGTTTTATGGCTTCAATATACACTTAAAGTAAAAAAGTATAATAATTTGTTTTGAAGTCCTGAAAGAGACTGCAACACGCTCATGGTGGTTTCATACTCAAACTGTGTTTACGTAAGAGAAATGCAAGTCTTACCTGAGAGCATTTTAAAATAGATGTGTATATATCTTCATTTAGATACCGAATATCTACTAGAAAAAGTCTGAAAATGCATGCAGAACATCTGTTCTATGGCCGATACAATCCACACACAGTGGACATAATAGAAAGCCACAGAAATATACTCAGTGGCTGTAACTTTGAAAATGAATGCTACACAAAAATGTCAAGGCTGCTAAATTTTCGTTTAATCGATAATCGGTTCAATCAGTTATTCAAGCATAATATCATCACAAAGCATATGGTAACATCCCACAGCTTTCATGGTTCAGATGTTTTAGACCAATAGTAATAATTTATACTGCTGATATATGTAGGTGCTCAATGCTCACAAACGAGTTCTATTTAAAGGGTAGCGTATATTGTTGCCATGCTGGTATAAATATATGCTACATGGTAGTGTTGTTTTGGTAAGTGAGTACAATCTTAGGAGTCCTGGTATAAACAGATAAATGAAAGGAGCATGGCCCCTGCTACTTAGTTCTCTTTAACCCTTTCTACTGCCAGTTAATTAAATATCAGGACACTTTGAAGTGCCGACATTCTGTGCAATCCCTGACGTCCCCGATTTGAAACCTTTTTACCATGTATAGCTGTTAACTTTGACAGTAATCCAAAGTGTTTAAAAATGGCACAGTAGATTCCATTGTAATGTAACTGTTAATTGTAAAAATAGCGCAGTACATCCATTTTGACAATTCTAATATGTTCGTAGAAGTTGTGCTCTGAAGGATTTATTTTAGTATCGAAGTATCGGTCTGTTCTCCATTTCAATGGGAAGGTCAGGGCTGCTACATTTCTGAGATTTAAACATTTCTTTTCCAAGCCAAAGAAGGCACTGAAATAATATGGTGGCTACATTTTGGTTCTAGACCCAGTGGTTACAGTAACTTTGTTTGGAGGTTTCACAAAGTACATGGCAGACTTTCTAAAATATAAAAATATTCAAAGACTTCGGGGCTTGCTTACTAAACACCAAATTGTATTAAACTAAAACCAAATAGTTACATTTTGGTCTAAATTAGCTAAGCTCTCATCCTAGCCGCAGAGTTGGAGATTGTTTCAGCTAAACTTTTTTTGTTTTCTGCAATTTGGGTCTCAATTTACTACACTTCTGTTTAGTGAATAAACACCTTTATGGTTTATTTTTTGTTTGTTTTTGTTCCACTGGAAGATATTTGACTTCCTCCGCTTAAGGGGTACTACATCCAACTCCATTACTTCAAGTGCTCCTCCCCGCCCTCCGATTGTTATAATGCCCTGTAATACAAGTAGATACAGGTGTATTAAGAGCTTTGAGGGTTCTGTTTGATTTTCCCAACTTGCATGAAAATAACTGCCTTATCCCTTTTTTGTAAGTTTTGCAATATCTCCAAACATGGATGCTGTTTCTCACTAAATCACTAGTAAGAGGTAAGCTATTTATAAAGCCTGCATTATATTATGAAGTACTCTGCTTGATGTCAAATGCAAATCTTTTACAAATTTTCTTGAAGAAAGATAGCTTGTTAACGTTTGTTTCTTACTAAATTGTCATTAGGTTTTCTGAAACTGTAAAAAGATAGGAATCCATTAACTAAATCTGCCAATACATCTTTGTACTTTACACTCTAAAATGTGATTTTAATACGCTACAATATCTTGTATGCTGTGGAGTTCTACCTAAATGTGCAGCTGAATCCTGAATCTAGTAACAACTGTACAGTGGAAGCAGGGTCTGCCTTGAGATCACATGGAACAAGAGAAGAAAAGTTTGAGAAAACTGCTGTGTAAATCTGCTATTTTGAAAGAATCATTGTGAAGTTTTTTCCAGGGCAGATTTTTTTTTTTTTTTATAAATTAAATTCTTTAAAACCAATTCTGCTCCTAAACATTTGTAAATAATACATTAGTCATTTTGACAGTACATATGCATTCATCTGAATTGGGCAATTCTTGTACCCAGAGGCAACATACAGGGCAAGATCTTTAGATATAGCCCTAAACAAAGGTGGCACAGTCCAAATGACCAATTCGTTAGTCAGCACATAGTGTAACTTGTTAGTAGCTTTTGAGGACCACTGAATGCTCAGATCAGTTTAATTGTGCTTAATTAAGACAAATTGTAAGTATTTTGATGCCATTGTTTTTGTCTCTTTCCTAGAAGTGACTACACCAAGCATGTAAAACTCAAAGGCTAACACAAGCCAAATAAACAAGGTTTAGGTTTATGTGGGCCATCAAAAAACAAACTTCAGTTTTCATAAAGTTTTTTTTTTGTTTTTGTTTTTAGAAAAATACAGTATAAAAAATGTTGACTGTCACTGAATGTCCTCACGCTAGTAGGGCTTCAAAGTAAACAAAAGATCCAATTTATTTTAAGGAGACGTGCATTTGCATGTAACCAATGTTTCAGTCCAACTACCTCGACATATTAAGAAAAGTTTGGTAATGGGACTGAAATTGTGAATGTATGCTCAGCATAGCTGTAAAAAACAAAAAAAAAAAAACAAATGGCATTATCTTGTTGATTTTGAAGTCCTATGGGCGTGTTTTACTTTGGCAGAGATAATCAAACTTGATGATCTCGGCCAATCCAATGGTTTCCCATTGGAAAATATTGTGCATGTGTGGCAAAAAGCTGCGCGGCCAATCGGCCTCTCCATGGGGAGCGTTCAGTGCCTCTATGCAGACCCAATCTAATACACTGCTCCTTCCCCCATTCTAATACATTGCCCTTAAATCCAGAGCACTGCCACCACTCCCTCCCCATTTTAACACACTGCGTCCTCCCACCACTCTAATATACTGCCCCCCATCACCACTCTAATACACTGTCCCCTCCTTCCCCCCAATTTAATGCACTGCCCCATCCCTCCCCCAATTAATACACTGCCCACCATCCCACAAGCCCCTCCCTCAAATTACACTACACAGGAAGGTCCCCCAAGCCCCTCTTCTACCTTAAGATGAGCCGCCTGTCCTTCAGTTCTAGCTCTTCTCTGCACACTGCGAGCAGGAGGGAAGGGAGAGTGGCTGGCCTGCTCTGCAGAGAGACACACTCTGTGCTGTGGGAGCACGTGATCGGCCATGGGAGGGAAAACCAGAATTAGTTGCAGCCACAGCACAAAGTGGCCCAAGGGCGGGCCACAAAGATATTCATTGAGGTCAGCAAGTTAGACATGCTTGCTTTACACGATTACAAATATGTTGGTTCCGGTAAGTGCCCAGTGAGGAATGCAGACATGAATTGGCTAGCTTAATGAACAAACACAAACTCATTGGAGGAAAGTGACAATGGTGTGTCATGGCTCGTAATGCACTTTAGCTTGCTGAAAAGTTTTGTGTGTGAAGTGTCCTATTTTTTCATTTTAGAAAAAAGGCAGATTTCAATAGAAATTGACACTTTTATGCATTAACCTGGTTACACCCCCCTGACTTTACTATCAGACAAAAAGTCCTGTAACTTCTTGGTTGTTAAGCTCAGTTTAGCTCAAAGGCAACAATTGCTCAGAGAACCTGCCTTGCAAAGACTTCTCATTGAGCTGCATTTGGGAAGTCTCTAATTGGACAGCCACAGAAAGTCTGGGTGGGGTTAGAAGAGGAGGGTTTGAAAAGGCCGCAGACAAGAGATCTGCAGGTTTTGCAAGCTGTTTTTAGATATTCCAATGAAAAAAATGCATAATTAAATGCAAACAAGTTTTCATTTGGGGTATTCGTACTAAACAGTGATTTTATTCATGTTGTATTTGGGTAGTGGAGTGTCCATTTAATTGCAGACAATTTAAAAAGGATTGCCACAGACAGTACTACAAACCGACTAATGAAACCGGATCTACAGCGGAACACGTTCCGCTATTTCACGTCTGTTTTTAACTTGGTTTATTATGTTTGTATTTTGTTTTGCATTATATAAATATGTTCCATTATCAAAGTGAAGTGGGTCCCGCCTGTCCTATTATACTTAAAGTTGGATGAAAGAGTTGATTAAGTGCCACCCCTCATTGTCACTGTATACTGGTTGAGCCTAGAGCCAAAGCCATAAGGTGAGGAGTATAAATATAAATAATCTGCTCTGCTTTACATGTGTTATACGGCACCATTTGTGGTATTCTTTGGGTTCTTTTTTTTGGTAATCCGGAGGCATCACTTTCAGAAGTAAGGCTGTGCGCTGCTACAAAGGTGCAGAAGCTCGTGATTTGAGCCAATCCCATAGGCTCTGTTATTGTGAGTGGGCAATTTGATTTTGAACAGTATTAGAATTATTTTACTATACTGTACTACACTTGTGTGCTTGTCTCTTTTTTTCCTTTTGGGGGTTTTTGCAAACATCCTTTTGAAACAAACATGTCAAAGGGTAAGTTCTGCACTTACCTTTGAATATTTAGCAGTGGTTTTGGTCACTGTTAACTGCATTGTTTCACTTCATTTGGGGTGTGGTGTTTTGGGAAGCACCCACACTGTAGGGGTAGCCGCTTTTAGATGTGTACATATACATATTTTAAGCACCTTTTCAGGTTTATTTGTTATTTTATGGATTAACTTCTGTCTTTGTATCACAATCCTGAGTTCTCCTCGAAGCCTAGGCAAGCCCACCCACTCACACCAATGAGTAAGGTTTTCATTTAAAGCATTCTATGACAAGATCTTTTGCGGTTTGATTAAGCCATTAGCATCCAAGTCTCCAAATACACCTGTCTTAACAAAGCGTAGATTCGGACTTTGCAAGAACGAGTGGATACAGATTAAGAATTGTATATATTTTCAGATAAATTTTCATTTAAAGTATATGAAATAAAACAATTCCACAAAATAGCAATTGTAAATATTTTCATTTAACGAGAAATTCTTGCAATAAATGTTTAATGTCCTATAGTAGCAAACAGCTGAATAATGAACAGCATTACAGTAACACAAATGTTTCTTATATTTGGTTGTAAATAGGAGTGATCACACAGTCCATTCAGATATCATATAAGTGTCACTGGTCTTGTAGGCCGTTCTCCTCTGGAGATGGAAAATTCCTATTGCTTGGCAATTTTCATTATACTATTCAATGTAAAGCAATTTAAATAGAATTTCTCAGTTTAAGTTTGTGTCTTTTGGTTGAATTCCAGTGATACATCTGGTGTCTGCCTCCAATTTGTGCAAATAAAAAACATGTGTTAGCTAAGAAGATTGTTTTATGGGCACCATGTTCTAATTTAGGATCGTGAGTTGTGGCTTCAAATTTTCAGGATCTCTTCACGTTTGTGTTTTTAGTTTCAGCCTGTCTTATAAATTAACTTATTATGTAGGACAAGCATAGGGAATCTTCAGGGAGTTCAGCTGCTATGGACTGCTACTCCATGATGCTCAGTCAACCTTCAAGCTTGTATTATGATCGCCAGACACCATCTGCTATGGATTGCATTGTGGTTGATGGTTGATTGAGCATTGTGGGGTTTTCTATGTCCATGCAGCTGGGGCACTAGTTATTGACTGCCAGGTAGTTGTAAAGTTCTGTGTTTTAAGGTACATTTGCTTTTTCTTATATTTTAGCTTCTGTTAAATAGAAATAGAGACACAGGGGTTAAATTGTTATATAAACTGTGAATATTTGATACAAGAGAATTGACATCTTTACAGAAACTCGCTAAGCACCACTCAAACCTATTAAATGCGTTATGTATTTTATATTTATTATAAAATATGTAACCAATGTTTATGATACTTGGTTTAGTTTTCATCTTTTTGGTCTATTTGGTAATCCCTAATTGATTCCGTGAGTAATGGCTGTAGAATTCTATAGTGACTTTTATGACTTAATTATTTGAATTAACTTTTGTATCGTCTTATTCGGATGTTTAGTTGCTTTTATCATTGTGCAATGTTTATATAGCTAGTAAATATCGTGTGTTATCAGTAGTATAGATAAAGCAAAATGGTAGACTATATTTTGTGAATATATATCACCAGTCGTATTTCAAGCATTTGAATTTGTAAAGTAACCATCTCCAGTAAACAATGTCTATAACATCAGCCAATAAACATGCTCTATGAAATGGTTGCAAGGTTAAGAAATATAATTAATCCATACATCGTAAAGTATTGAATCATTTATGAGATTTTAACATCTGTTTATACAAATCTGATGGAACAAAGTGATCAACTTTGCAGGCAGCCTTTAGATGTCTACAGTTTAGGGAGCATCAGAAATTCTAACATAATCCTTTACAACTATCAATTGTTGTGTGATAAAAGGTAATCCCCAGCTATTATTGTGTGATCCGAGGGTGCCACCAACTCGTGATCCTAAAGACATATGATCTACTTCTTGAAAACATTGTACTGTAGTACTCTAGACTGAGAGAAGTCCAATTTGATGTCTGGAGGCCATTTGTGCTACTGAAGGTCCTTTAAATTGCTTATTTTACACCTGATAAAGGTGAAGCCCTCATCATTGGTCAATATTTCTTATGATCTGACCTCCTATGGACAAAGATTTAAGGTCCATGCACCTCTGTTCCAAATGGGACAACAATGAGAGCTAAGCCGTCCTTGACGTCTGGTTTGAGAGCAATTGCTATAGCTCAGTGACCACAAACTAATCTTTTAGGGCACCCAATGATCAAGTTGTTTATATTCCCATTGGAAACAAATTTATAATCCCCAAATCCTATGTCATTGAAAGTCTATAAGAACTGGCCCAGGACTTCTGCTCAAGACCATATGGGAAAAATTTTTGGAAATCCCAGAATCACAAGTCACTTAGAGTGCTTAATTACTGGGCTTGGAACCTTTACGTGAGACCATACTGCAATGCCCATCAACTTGAAATATAATCCTGGCAGACGGCACATACTGTTGTTTTTATTATTATTATAATAATTACTATCTGCTAGAACAGTATAGTCTCCTGATGTTCTCTTCAAGAATTCTGAATATAATATAATATATATATTACACGGTTTGGAACGGGTGAGACTTTACCTTATAAAACAGTCATTCACTTAAGTATATGAAAACATGATTTCCAAGAGAATGTTTCTTTCTCTAAATAGTCAAGTTCCATATATATAAAGGAGTGAGAGCTACCACTCATTCTTAAATTTAAAAAGAAAAATGGTTATTTTGGTGAAATGCGCATATATTACTGTGGATATTCACATTATGTAGTTAGATTGTATTAGGCGTGTGATGTATATTTACTTTTCCTGTGTGTTCAGGTTTATATAGCAGTTGATATTATTATTATTATTGCCATTTATAAAGCGCCAACAGATTCCGTAGCGCTGTACAATATTATGAGAGGGGGATGTAACTATATAAATAGGACAAATACAAAAAAACTTAGAGGAACGATAGGTTGAAGGAGGGCCCTGCTCAAACGAGCTTACAGTCTGTAGGAGATAGACTGTGTAACGTGCAGAGTAGCATGGTGTATGGAGACTTTGTAGATGGTAAGATGTTTAGCCTGTCTTTTCTTTCTTTTTCAAAGTGATAATATTCACATTTGAGAAGATACGTTATTTTTTTACAAACGTCCTCATAAGTCCTGGCATTCAGCTGGCGGTGACAACTGCTGGGGACTCCTCAGCAGCAGCATTCTCCACCTGGTTCAGCTTACCCATACTTTTCAGGAAGTCCCAGAAAGACTTTACCGTTTCCTTCAGGCTTTTCTCCAGCAACCAGCCCTCGCTCACACATTCAGGATCTTCAGGGTTTGCAATGCTATCAAGGCATGTGTGCAAATACCTCATCCCGAACATGACACTTATCTGTATGGAACACGAAAAAGAAATTGTGAACATTAAAGAGAGAAGACAAGTAACAAACTGTGTCTTATATAAGCGGAACACTGTCTCTGTTTCCCACAACAACACTTTTCTATTATAACATCTCATACATTGAAGTGGTCAGGTCATATAGGATAAGACTTCTACGATTGTATCTTTCTGTCCAATGCTTATTGTGGTCGTCTGACAATCATAATACTTGGAGGTTAATAGAGAATCATGGAGTTGCAGCTAGTGAAGTTCCACCACTATTTCAATGTCGGTACTGGGTCCAATCTATGCCTTGGTGAGAAATGATCTAATGGGTTGTACAATTAATTGTGTTGCACAGAGTAGGAATGATAGATGGGGAGGTCAGATTAAGTCAGTCAACTGAATTATGAAGACAGACTATTGTGAATGCATATGTTTTCAGGAGTTTGTGATACTGCGGGAGGTAAGTAAACTATTTTGTCCAGGAACAATTAGGAGATACGATTTTGCCTGGTGGGGACTGGGATAACCCCCACTGTTCCAGATGGAGGGAATACAGGGCTCACATGAGGAAGCAGAAAAGCCAGTGCAGACCCCATCAGAGATCGGCCACTACTCCCGGCGAGGGAACACACTGGGCTGCGATGTGCTGGGGCCGCAACTTCACAAAAACATATAGGCGAGTCCTAGAACTCTCTCAAGAATGCCAAATAAGTGGAAGACTTGGGTACCAGTAGATTGGGGTCGATTAGCAGAGTATTTTTCGCTCTTAAATTACTTTTATGTCGCAGTTATCCAGGAGCTGGAGCCAGCTGCGATCATCCAGCATGGCAGTCAAGCCCTTTCCCCAAAAGAGGCTTTTCTGAACAAAACACACAGTATCGCCAGCTGAGTTGTGACACAGGGGTTAAGCAACATGAGAGCAGATAGTAGACAAATGATTATGGTCAGAGGTGGGGGAAAAAGAAAACAAAAAACAGTTTTTCCAGAGGGTCTTATCATGTTTGCCCATAAGTTAAGATGTCTAAAGTTTATAATTATATCTGCATATTTGTTTAACATATGCATATTTATTCTTTCCTATACTTAGGTGCATGTAGATATGTGTTTTGTGTGTATGTATGTTTGCATATATGTGTGTATTTATACTTGAATGCATATTCTGGATGCTTGGATGCAGTGGCGGATCCGGGGGGGGGCAACGGGGCAATTGCCCCCCCCGAGAAATCCGCCAGTCTCCTTCTCCCCTGTCAGCACATGCAGGTGCCAGCCCTGCAATGTGCCTGCGGACCGGGGAGGAAGATCAGAGCTCTCCCTCCCCGGTCCGCAGGCACCGTGCTGGCGGCCGGCGGCGGAGGGAGTGAGAGGGAGGACCCGGGAGCTCAGGCTGTGGCTCCTCCGGGTCCTCCTCTCGCGAGATTTGGAGCGTTGCCACGGTTACCGCGGCAACGCTCCAAATCTCGCGAGAGTGAACTCTAGCCCGGGAGCGCGGGCTAGAGTTCACTCTCACCACTGGACCACCAAGGAATCCCCCACCGGACCACCAGGGAAATGTCCCCCCTCCCCCCAGTAAAGGTAAGAAGGGAGGGGGGACATAGAATATTTATATTAAAAATTCAAATAAAAAATATATATTTAAAAAAAAAAGCCCCCCTACCCTTATCACACACACTTTACACACATACACTGATCCCCATACTGCCCCCATACACACACATTGCCCCCCATACTGCCCCCCATACACACACATTGCCCCACACACTGCCCCCACACACACATACACACTGCCCCCCATACACATACACTACATACACACACTACACACACACTGCCCCATACACACTCTACACACATACACTGCCCCCATACTGTACTGTCCCCCATACACACACATTGCTCCCCCATACACCCATACTGCCCCCATACACACACACACTACACACATACACTACCCGATACACACACTGTCCCCCATACACACACGCCGCCCTGCCCCCATACACACACACTCTACACACATACACTACCCCCATACACACACACTACCCCCATACACACACACTCTACACACATACACTACCCGATACACACACGCTGCCCTGCCCCCATACATACACTCTACACACATACACTGCCCCCCATGCACACACACTCTACACACATACACTACCCGATACACACACACTGCCCCCATACACTGCCGCCCCATACACACACACATACACTGCAATACTCACACACACACTTCAACTGTTACACACACATACTGTCCCACACATACACTGCCGCCCTCACACACACACTGCGCACACACTGTACCCCACACACACACACACACACACACTGCACCACTCACACACACCACTGCTCCTATGCCCTACTACGGCCCCATTTCCCAGCAGACCTCAGGTAAGTTGTCAAACTGTTCTTAAACGGTTTGACTACTTACTCTGGGAGGGGGTCCCGGCACTATTGACACCATAACCACTACACTGAGCTGTAGTGGTTATTGTGTCTGAATTATTTCTTTATATAATCTACAAGTGCCCCTCCCGAGATCAGGCTCTGGATCCGCCACTGCTTGGATGTGAGTAAATACATTCTTAATGTGTCGTTTTTTTAAACTTATGTCGTTCTAGCCCTGATTGTTGCTTTTTTCCTCTTTCTTTTCACTGTATAATCCTTATACAGTTACATGCAACCCTCTGGAAGAATCGTGTCTATTTTCTGCTCCTTTTCTTTCTGTAGAAATACCAGTTATAATGTTGCTTTAAACCCCTGTATGAGAACTCATCTTTGAATTTTACGTGTTGTTTTGTTCAGAAACTTGAGAAAGGTAGGATCTTCCAAAAACTTTATAAATATTGTTGGTCCAATAAAAATAAAAGGTATTACAAGATACTAATTTCATTTTTTTTTTACAACTGCATCACTGGACCAAGATGGCTAAATGTGATACTTCTTTATATATAAATCTGATTATATAAAAAAAAAAAACCTCAAGCTGTGCTAATTAAAAATCCAATAATTGCATAAAAGGACTCTTTTAGTACCATAACTGTTACAGCTCAATGTAGTGGATATGGTGTAAATAATTATTTAGACTGATTTTTCAAATTTTCATGAAACCATTTGGGAGCAATGTGACAAACTGTGGCTTTCTCGGACCATTGTCAATGTTTGTTTGATTTTGCTGATTCCATTTACCAATCAACATCGTGTCCTTTTTATTAATAAATTGCTTAATCAATAATCATCTGATGGCATTTTTGGTTTTATTCACTAAACAGCGAATTGAAAATGGGGAAACTTTATGCTAAATTATCCAAGCTACGACTATAACGGGAATTTTAAAAAAATTTCGTCCAAATGTCATAATGGTTTCCAATTCACTACGAATTCAGTGTTTAGTGAATAATATCCCCATTGTAAGTGAATATATAGTAACAGCCCTGTGTTACCTCGAAGATCCAGACGAGAAGCACCAGGGCTCCCATTGAGCTCATCATGTTGGTGTAGTAATGCAACAATGCTTCCTTGCAGCCACGGTTCCACAAGTTCAGTTCCTCTGTTTGGTGTTCATAACTGTAATGCGCAGAGTTATTTGTCACTTGCATTTGGATGCACGGTCTGGGGGAACTTGGATTACAACAACTGAAGGGAACACCGTCAATCAGATATTTGCCATCCACATTGCTTTTGATCCGGCTGTATGGGAGAAGAGATCAGTAGTCAAAATGTTTTCCTTAAAGGTATTATGTCACATTGTAGCTCCTACCAGAGAATAATGGCTTTATTAATATCTTTATTCTTTCTAGCAAAAGAAAATTCAGGTCGACATTGGAATTTTCTTCAACTTTTTGCAATTTGGTTTTCCAATTTGAATTTCAATAAACTACAGTACTAAGTTTAGTGATGGAACCGCAACTGGTTCAATAAAACTGCAATGGTGTGATTTTTAACTTGATCACTGTACTTTAGTGTAGGACATAGGAATGAGTTTAGTAAACTAGTTAAACCTGCTCTTAACTTGCTACAATGGAAAAAAAACAAATCACATTAATTTACATTTGTCAGCCTTTTTTATTACCAAAGGGTCACAAGTACTTGACATGCAGCTGGTCAGTTCAGACTAGATCAAATACGTTGTAATGTAACGAATAATGTTTAAAAGTAAAACATTGATAATTTTCTTTCATTTAGAAGTTTATATTAACCCCGAAGTGACCAGACAGTTTTTAAATTTTCTTACTGTTTGGGACCAGGGCTTTTTTTTTTACATTTCTGCGGTGTTTGTGTTTAGCTGTAATTTTCCTCTTATTCATTTACTGTACCCACACATATTATATACAGGTTTTTCTCGCCATTAAATGGTCTTTCTAAAGATACCATTATTTTCATCATATAATATAATTTACTATAAAAAATATGATGAAAAAAAATAAAACAAACACTTTTTCTAACTTTGACCCCCAAAATCTGTTACGCATCTACAACCGCCAAAAAACACCCGTGCTAAATAGTTTCTAAATTTTGTCCTGAGTTTAGAAATACCCAGTGTTAATATGTTTTGTTTTTTTTGCAAGTTATAGGGTTATAAGTACAAGTAGGACATTGCTGTTTCAAAATATACATTTATAAAATTTATCAATGTAACACTGTTATCTGTCATAAATCTCAGAATCACACCTCACATGTACATATTTTTTTAAAGTAGACAACCCAGGGTATTAAATATATTTTAGTAGCCATTTAGTCACAAACACTGGCCAAAGTTAGCATTTATATTTGTTTGTGTGTTTAAAAAAGCAAAAAACAATTATGAATGCTAACTTTGGCCAGTGTTTGTGACTGACTACTAAAAAAGACTGAACATACCCCATTTGCAATACCGTGAGGTAATTCCTGGGCTTCCATATGCTCTCATAGGCAACATAACCAATCTGGCAAATTTCAATGTGAACAAATGACCTTATATTTGACCCTGTAACTTTCAAAAACACTATAAAACCTGTACATGGGGGTTACTGTTATACTCGGGAGACTTCGCTAAACACAAATATTAGTGTTTCAAAACCGTAAAATGTATCAACAATGATATCAGTAAAAATGCTGTTTGTTTGTGAAAAATGCAATAAAATCACTTTCACTGACAATATCATCGCTGTGATATGTTTCACTGTTTTGAAACACTAATATTTGTGTTTAGCGAAGTCTCCCGAGTATAACAGTAACCCCCATGTACAGGTTTTATAGTGTTTTTGAAAGTTACAGGGTCAAATATAAGGTCATTTGTTCACATTGAAATTTGCCAGATTGGTTATGTTGCCTTTGAGAGCGTATGGAAGGCCAGGAATTACCTCAAGGTATTGCAAATGGGGGGTATGTTCAGTCTTTTTTAGTAGTCACTTAGTCACAAACACTGGCCAAAGTTAGCATTCATAATAGTTTTTTGCTTTTTTAACACACAAGCAAATATATTTAGCCGCCTTTAGCATGTCTATGAATGCTTGGACATCCAAGTTTGACGTCTTAATATCATGTAACAGGTTCTGGATAACCTGCTTTGTGGCAGGTTCCGGAGCATACCCTGTCTCTAGTACCACTGAATTAGGTACAGGAGACATTAGGTATGTCTCTCATCGGGGTGATCCTTAGCATTAAACTCAGAGCTTGATGAGTAGGCCTCATGTTCTACTTGGGCAGCAATCTTGTGGGCCACTAAGCACTGGAGCATAGTATCTATGTCCTGTGTGTCACTGGATGTCCCTGTTTGCGTTTTTTTTTATTATCATCCAGTGTTGTGCAAATCAGATGTCTAGTTCTCTCCTTATATCTGTGGGAAGTTCAGTTCTTCTAGGGTCACTCCAGAGGTATACACATCATCATTCCGGTCGGCTGGGAGGATGTGTAGGCCCCGGTTTTTCTTTTCGCCATTTTGCCCGTTGAGAAAAATAAGAAAGGCATCGGGTGACTACTCCGTTTGTGTTGGAGCTGCACTTTTACTTGGTTATAGTGTCCAAAAAGTAATACTATCCAAATATATACAGGATCAGTACAAACTGCTACGTGTTTACCTGTTCACTAGCAGGAATACACAGACAAGACTTCATCCATTGAGAATGGAAGAAAGGTGTATTCACTTACAGAAGAGAAAAAGTTCTTTACAGTAAGAACAATAAAGATGTGGAATTATCTACCCAAAGAGGTCATGTTATTAAATTCTGTAGATATTTTTTTTTTTTTTTGAAAGATAGAATATACAGGGATATAATTATTAACATGGATAAGAACCGAAGAATTCTGATTATTTTTATGGAGTCATACAGGTCTTTTTCCCTTTTTGTGGCACAATTGCCTTCATTTCAGTTTTTTTTTTAAATTTGATTTTGGATCAACAGCATAAATGCGTATGTTTAAAGTACCAATATAGTGCCAGGAAAACATACTTGTTTTCCTGGCACTATAGGGTCTCTAGGTCACCCCCTCCCGCAGGGCTCTAGGGTGAGGAAGGGGTTAAACACATACCTTTTCTCCACCGCCGGACTCCCTCTGCACTGGGGACTCTCCTCCTCCTTTCACCATCATCAGCTGAACACGCATGCGCGGCAGGAGCCGCACGCGCATTCAGCCAGTCTCATAGGAAAGCATTCTCAATGCTTTCCTATGGACGATGGCGTCTTCTCACTTTGAAAATCACAGTGAGACGTGCAGAAGCGCCTGTCAATGAGACAGCCACTAGAGGCTGGATTAACCCATATGTAAACATAGTAGTTTCTCTGAAACTGCTATGTTTACAGCAGAAAGGGTTAATCCTAGATGGACCTGGCACCCAGACCACTTCATTAAGCTGAAGTGGTCTGGGTGCCTATAGTGGTCCTTTAAAGGCTGATGGATTTGAGGTTTTTTTTCCAGCCTAGATTAGTATGTTATTACTGAAGTTTATTGAAATGGAACCCACGTGCTAAACATGAGTATGTAGCAGTGACTGTCTCTGTTACACTGAGGAAAATTACTGGTTGGGAATACGGACTGTCGTTAATTGTTGCCCAGCCAGGAATACTGGTATTAGAGTATGTGTGACCTGTCCGAGGCCCATACAGTATAGGGACCCTACGGACCCCTAAAGCATTTTACATTTTTGTAAAAAAATTTATTTTTTACTTTAAATGTCCCTTTAAGTAACTGCAAAATATATATTTTTTTCCATTAAAGGAATACTTTATTAAAAAAAAGTTTTTTTTGCATGTTATCTTTTGGGAGTGTTTAACATCTTGGCTTACAATAGCTGCAGATCTAGTATCTCCTCTTCTTCCTCTGTACATATTGTATTACAGCTCATTTAGATGTCTGTGCAAGGCAGGTGTTCTGTACAATTGCTGCGTCTTGAGTTAAGCTTCAATGAGCAGGCAGTAATAGGACTGGTCATCTGACAGTCAGGGAGATGTAACAAGGTTAGTTTATGTAAAATAAATAAATGAAATGTATTAATTCGAAATAAGGCACACTGACCATATCACACAGGGATTCATTTATTTTGTCATAATCCTTAGGATAAATTCAGTCACAGTTCATTTATAATACAAAAGTATGTTTTGTTTTACTTTAATTATTCTTAACACATTTTTCTATGCCTGTTTTCAGTTCACTACAATCTATTGTTTATTGAAAGGAATGGAGCATTTTAGTTTGAAGAAAGGTTAACAAATTTAAATCTCTTTAGTCTGGAAAATCATGGCCACAGATGGGATATGATAGCATTATACAACTATATCTGGGGCCAATACAAACCATTGTGTGGAAATCTATTCAGAAATCGGACTATATGTAGGACACAAGGTCATGCATTTAGACTGAAAGGAAGGAGATTTAGTCCAAGGCAAAGGAAATGTTTTTTTTTTTTTTACTGTAAGAACAATAAGTATGTAGAATTCTCTGCCTGAATACGTGGTTTTATCAATCTGTACAAATGTTTAAAGAAAAATGTCTATAAATACTTGCAAAAACATAGTATACAGGGATATAATTTTAATTAGTGGGGTAATAACTTCTTGATCCAAGGAGATATCTGACTGCCTTTCTTGTGTCAAGAAGGTTTTTTTTGGTTTTTTTTAAATTTGTTGCAAAATGGGAAGTTCTTCAAATTGGGTTTTTTGCCTTCTTTTGGATCAACTGCAAAAACAAAAGTGAAAAAGGTTGAATTTGAAGAACTTTTTTCAGCCAATGTTGCTTTTTAGTGAATAAAGCCCATTATACTTCTGTTATATTTTACATCAGCATAATCATTCACTAAATCATGAGCTGTTGGTAATTCTCTATGAAACTGAAAATTGTAGGCAAAAATTGTCAGAATGGAACAATTATCTATGTCCCTTTAGTTTCCTTTTCAGCTTTTCGTTTGTCTTGAATTAACAATTCCCTTGGAAATTACCAACAATTAACATTTTAGACCACAATCCTGACTGGACTACTCTAAGCCATGTTCTTAATAAAAATAAAGAAAGAAAGAACGAACCAACCTCCACAGTTGGTTTTACTTATTGAAATATCAGTATTCCTTTAAATCACTACACTCTGTGGTATTATTGAGGAAACTTGTTTACCAGCAGTGCTCTATAGAAGACCTTTGTTAACTTGTGTCAAGGTAGATACTGTGGTTTATTGTTCTCCAACACATTGCATTATGGGAGTGTTTGTTTTCTCATTTCCACTGGATTATCGCTAGGCTTCCAATTCTTAAACATGGATAACACTGATCTAATCAGCCTTCGTGTAAGGTTATTTTTATCACACGATGGCTTTTGCCAACACAGCAAGTCTTACAGGCTCATAACTTCTCTTTCTGAATACTGTGTAATCCTGCATTTTTTATGTTAAGAAGATAATAACACTGACAGGATGCCTGCAGAATGCTTCGGATAGTATTTAGCTGTTGCGGTACGTTAAGGTGAAATAGAAAGCGATACTACTAAAGTGATAGTGGGATTATTTACTAAAGTGAATTTTACGTTTACTCAGAGAAGTCACACTGAATGCATAGCTGGCTTAGATGATTTTTCCAATTCAGCTATTTTAACCTTAAAAGTAATAAAATAAATAACGTAAATAACTGTAGATGTATCTGCTCTCTGCAATCCTTAGCAGGCATATAATGGGCATACTTCGTCCTAACATTTCAAATTGACAAAAAGGGATACTTTCATTTTAGAGGTGGGAGTGTGGGGGTGCTCAGTGTTGGGGCTGTTAGGTAATTTACTAATAATTTATGCAACTAAAATGTAATTTAAAACAATGTATCCTATTTACACAGACTGATTTCTAAGCAGTTTTATTGCAGTTTAAAGACACATTAGTGTGACTATTATTCCTGTATACGCTCCACACACCAACGATATAAATAAATAAAAAGAGGGACAGAAGAATTTGGGACTAAAATAAGCGCAGTCCTTCCTAAATAGGGACACCGGGGAGGTATACGTGGGTGGTCACTGCATTTATTAATTAAACTTGGTGACTGTGAGAAATTAAAAAGGGAATTACAAATTTTCAAAAGGCATTCTGAACACATTAAACCCTGCAGCGTGCTGTAGTGGTTATGGTGCCAGAAGTCCCTTTGTGCTGTTCCAGAGTAACAAGTCAAACTAGTTTAACCCCTTAAGGACACATGACGTGTGACATGTCATGATTCCCTTTTTTTCCTGAAGTTAGGTCCTTAGTGGGACACGTGGGTTCTCTGGGTGTCTGCATTAGCCCTGATCTTCTGGAGATTGGTAAAGTGGAAGTTTCTATTCTGCTCTAGCAACATCAGTTTTGTCTCTGTTTGAACATTATTGGCTGACAATGTAACTGGCAATCTCACTCAATGAATAATGTCAAAACAGGGACAAAATTAATATTGCTGAATTGCATACCTCCCAACAGTCCCAATTCTGGCAGTACTGTCCCGATTTTTGGGTCGTCCTGCTGTCCCGACTTTGTTCCCCAGAGGTCCTCTTTAGAGGCCACCAGAGACACAAGGACCATGCAGAGCGCACTAAAGCAGTGTTTCCTGCAGGGTCTGCCTGAATGGGCTGACCTTGCAAGATTGGCAGTCCGTCTAGCATGTTCCAAGGCTGACCTGCCAGTAATGCGGATGGACATTTGCCTATTTTAATCAAAAAAGAAGAGCTGTAAAAATTTTTTTTTTTTTTTAAATTCTTTATTTTTCAGTGCATCAACAGTGATACAGACATTTCTGCTTATGCCACAAATGTATAAGGTTGAGTTAATGTAACAAACATATCCGTACAGTGGTTACGCTAGAACAGTAAATGCACGTTTTTTGTATAGCGGTCTGGTGGGTTGTAACGAGGTGCCTACTAAAGTCCTGATAGTTGCTAGGCGAGAGATTGTGATCCGGTCATTCCTCACCGTAATGAACAGTATGGGGGTGCGATGACTGTTTTGGCCGTGGGGTTTTTAGGGCATTTGTCTCACTACCCGTCATTCTATGTGTTGGGTCACCTCGTATGCTGGGGTGGGCGTATAGGTCCCTCTTTACGTTGGTGTCCCTTATCTCTATGACCCAGGGTGTCTACTGAAGTAGGGTAGTTAAGTTAGTATGTTCCGTCGTTGTGGTCTAGTGTATCCTTATCGTTTTGCGCCGGTAGAGTCTGTCGCATCCCCCGTGTATAGGGTTGATTCAGAATGTTATGTCGCCTAGCGAACAAGTCATCTTCTATGTGGGAAACGGTTGTGGTTCGGAGCGTGGGTGTCTAATTAGGTCTTGGGGTTTGCCTGTTGTGGCTACGTGCGTTGGCTATGTGTCCCCTGGTTCCCAGTGTGGGGTGCACCGCTCCATGGTTGGTTGTGTCCCTTGACCCTGGGGCACTAGGGGGGGGGGGAGAGGAGTTATGTAGTCGGATCGCGGAGCTATCGCTACGTGGTGTGAGCCCAACATAAAGAGCGTGTTTGTAGTAGTGTGTAATCGAACCGTATAACATAAGTAAACATAAGTAAACATAGGTGAGACATTAACGTAAATAACATGTGCATTCTGTGGGTTCAGGTTGCTTGGCCTTTTCCCTCTTCTCCGTCCGTGAGATTAGGGGAGTCTTCAATGCTGTGTAGGTGAATGCTGGTTGTTTCTGGAGCGGGTAGACCTTGTGGGGTGAGGCCCAGTGCTGTCATTAAGGCAGTGCTGTCTGCAGGGTCTGACGCCTTGTATGTATTCCCTTCTTTCGTGACCAGGAGCGTTCTGGGTGTTGACCATCTATATGTAAGCCCTGCTGTTTGGAGGAGTTTCGTGATGGGCTGCATTCCCTTTCTCCATAACAGTGTAGATCTGCTCAAGTCTTGAAAGACTGATATGGTGCTGGCTTCGAATTCGTACGGGGTTTTCCCTTTAAGGGCGGCTAGCAGGCCCAATTTGTCCGTTAGAGAGTGGCAACGGAGGATGATGTCCCGTGGTGCTGTGGTGGGTGCTTGTGGGGATTTAGAGATCCTGTATACCCCATCGAAGGTAAAGTGTTTAGCCTGTCGCGTTGGGATGATGGAGGACACCAGCCTTCTAATGAAGTGTGGTAATTCCTCTAAGGGTACAGTCTCCGAGACTCCTCTGAGCTTGATGTTTTTTCTTCTGCCCCTGTCGTCTATTATGCTGACTTGGTTAGTGAGGTTGACTTGTTGGGCTTGCATTTGATGCATCTGCTCGTGTAGTGCTTTGAGGCCCTGTCTGAGGGTAATATTTGATAGAGTTCTAACCTCAACATATGAGGAAAGGGATTTAGGGGTGATTATTTCTGATGACTTAAAGGTAGGCAGACAATGTAATAGAGCAGCAGGAAATGCTAGCAGAATGCTTGGTTGTATAGGGAGAGGTATTAGCAGTAGAAAGAGGGAAGTGCTCATGCCATTATACAGAACACTGGTGAGACCTCACTTGGAGTATTGTACACAGTATTGGAGACCGTATCTTCAGAAGGATATTGATACCTTAGAGAGGGTTCAGAGAAGGGCTACTAAACTGGTTCATGGATTGCGGGATAAAACTTACCAGGAAAGGTTAAAGGATCTTAACATGTATAGCTTGGAGGAAAGACGAGACAGGGGGGATATGATAGAAACATTTAAATATATAAAGGGAATCAACACAGTAAAGGAGGAGACTATATTTAAAAGAAGAAAAACTACCACAACAAGAGGACATAGTCTTAAATTAGAGGGACAAAGGTTTAAAAATAATATCAGGAAGTATTACTTTACTGAGAGGGTAGTGGATGCATGGAATAGCCTTCCAGCTGAAGTGGTAGAGGTTAACACAGTAAAGGAGTTTAAGCATGCATGGGATAGGCATAAGGCTATCCTAACCATAAGATAAGGCTAGGGACTAATGAAAGTTTTTAGAAAATTGGGCAGACTAGATGGGCCGAATGGTTCTTATCTGCCGTCACATTCTATGTTTCTATGTTTCTATGTTTCTAAGTATGTCTGTCTCATTCGTTTCGGTGCGAGCATTTAGTGTTTGTACCTCTGTTTTCAGTGTTGCCAGGTCAGCTTCCCACATTTGTCGGAGGTTTCTTGGAAGGTTGGTGAGCATGTACTGTATCTCCCCCTTTGTTGCTGGGGCTGTGTCTTCTGCCCTGGGTGGGGTCGTTTTCCTGGTTTCTGCAGGGGTTTGTTCGCGGGGAGACTCTCCCCCATCCACCTGTTGATTCTGGGCTGTGTTTGGCCCTGGCATTCGCAGCATCTGGCCGATATCTCGGTGAGTGTTTGTGGGTTGTTTCTGGGACTTCCGACCCATCTCCTCCGTTATGCGTGTGTTCGGGTCCGGTAGGCCGAGGTCGCTCCACATGCATGGAGCCCAGTCAGCTTCGAGCTGGAGGCTTCCCGCGCGGTAGGCCTTGGAGCCGCGGCTGCGGGTTTTCCTTGCCGCGGGTTGGAAGAACGGCATCGGCGTATTCAGTGGGTCGTGCCCCGTTGTTTCCTGGTGCTCGTGTGCTTATTTGGGGTTCGGTGTAGCTGTTTTGGGCTATTTATTGCTCTCTTATGTCGGAGCTCGGGATAATGGCGACTGCTCTCGTGCGCTGTCAGGCTCCGCCCCCCGGTAAAAATGTTTTATCAAGTTTGTTAATGTTACAAATTCAGCTGTTTTGACCTAAAATTTTAAATTCTTCAACAAATACCCCAACATTTTTGCAACTTTTCTCATTCTATAAACCCTAGACCTAGAAAGCCAAAGACTCATTCTGAGTGTGAGTGCAGGGCCACCATCAGGGGGTGACAATCATGACGGTTGTCACGGGCCCAGCGGTCCCGGGGGGCCTGGACTGAACAAAGAGAGCATCCACCTCTCCTGTCAGAGTTCACCGGAAAGAACCCCACAGGAGGAAGATCTTCGATCCATGGACATACTCACTCAAAAAAATTTAAATGAATCCTCAGAGTGTTCCCAAGCAGGAAAATAGAAAATAAAATTAAAAGGCTGAATCCTGTTCTTAGAGGGCGAGTTCAGACATTAATGGAGGAGTTGAAAGCTCCATGTGTCTTCTCCATATGGTGGACAAGACCCAGCTCTACAATATTTGGGTGCTTTTTTTTTGGAAAAACAGGATATTCAAGAATATAATAGTTAATATGTGGGTCTTGCTGATTCAAGGAGAAATCTGATCGCCCGTTTGGTGTCAAGAAGTTTTTTTTTTTTCCCAATTTTGTGGAAAATTGGAAATTACTTCACTTTGAGGTTGTCATCTTCTTTTGGATCAACAGCAGTAATACAGAAATGATGAGCTTGAGTCTTTTTGTCATCTTATATCACTATATAACTGTTTAAATCATGGGTCGTCAACCTGGTCCCTACCGCCCACTAGTGGGCGTTTCAGGATTCTAGGTGGGCGGTAGGGATTTCCTCATTTTGAGAGATTGGGCGGGCGGGCGAGTGCAAGCCGGTGGTACCCTGGCGACCGGGTACCGCCGTCACCATTTGCGGCCCGGCCCGCGCGGCAAACCGTCGGGGCCGCCGTCCAAGGGGTCCATCGGGTGGCCCATGCTGTCAGGGCCACCAGATGGATGTGGATTGTCAGCGCGACCGGGCCCCCTGTGATTACATCACAGAGCTGGGAGGAAGTGACTGCACGTCACTCCTCCCAGCTATTACTGAGAGACAGCGCGGGAGGAAGCAGAGGGAGTCAGAGTGGGAACTCTGACTCCCATCCATCTGAGCCACCACAGGACCCCAGGGAAAGTCACCCTCCTGCACCTTAAAGGTAGGAAACACGAGGGTGACTTAAATATAATGTGTGTTTGTGTGTATGTGTCTTTGTATGTATGTCTTGTGTGTCTTATGTATGTGTCTTTGTATGTATGTCTTGTATGTGTGTCTTGTCTTTGTGTGTATGTGTGTGTGTCTTTGTATGTATCTCTTGTGTGTGTGTCTTATGTATGTGTCTTTGTATGTATGTGTGTCTTGTCTTTGTATGTATGTCTTATGTGTGTGTATGTGTGCCTGTCTGTTTATATGTATGTGTTTTCCTTGTCTGTGTGTTTGTGTGTATGTGTGTGCCTGTCTGTTTGTATGTATGTCTGTGTCTGTATGTGTGCCTGTCTGTTTGTATGTATGTATGTGTGCCTGTCTGTGTGTCTGTATGTATGTGTGTGCCTGTCTGTATGTATGTGTCTTTGTGTGTGTGTGTGTGTGTGTGTGTGTCTGTCTGTTATAGTGGGCTATAGTAAGTAATAGTAAGTGGGCTACCTAGCTCAGCCTTCCTACTGGGCATTGCTATAAGTAAGGTTAAAAAATAGAAAAAAGGGGGAAAAAAAGGTGGGGATGGGAATTGAGGAGGGAGAGGAGGGGAGCTGACGCACAGATGAGATCATATTATGCGCAAACAGAGAAGTCGTCTTAATATCACCGAAAGAGGAGACCTTCGTTTGTTCCTTGCGAAAATCGAATCAGATATCAAATATTTAGTCTCGAAGCATCAACCTCAAGGATCTCATTAATCACTAGTAAAGGTAATTAAAATGTACTTTGTTTTCTCAATAAACTTTATAAAGTTTAAAACATTATAAACATGCATTAAGTAGAAATAAAAAGATAAATGTACGTACATTTATTTTTTTTTTAAAAACACCCTCCTTTCTAAAAAATATTCTGCACTTGCGCGAAAACTGCGCGAAAACTGGTGGGCGGTAAGGAAATCTTTCCATCAAGAAAGATGCATTAGTGGGCGGTTGGTAGAAAAAGGTTGACTACCACTGGTTTAAATGGTAACAATATAGCTGTCATGATTGCACCAAGGTCATACATGTGTTTACATGGTCAAATTTGTATCCACATGAGTATAGATCAGGGGTCCTCAAACTCCGCCCCCCCAGATGTTACTGAACTACAACTCCCATGATTTTTTGAATTACATAGATAGCCAGAGAATCATGGGCGTTGTAGTTCAGCAGCATCTGGGGGGCCAGAGTTTGAGGACCCCTGGTATAGATGGTTATGACTGCACACACGTTACCAATACTAAGACTCATGCATGCTTTCAAGTAATATAAATGTTGTCATGCCTTCATCTGTTTATACATGTTTACTCCTGTTCATGCTGCGTTTCAAATAATACATGTGTGTAAATATGACCGTGCATGGAATACAGTTCATGTCCATTTCCATGTATTACATGTATACTGAGATGATACATATGTATCCCTGATCACGCATGTGTCCAGATCGATAATACATGTGCAAACCTATTCATGCCAACACATGGTCACACCTGCAACCAAGTAATACATGTATTGGCTTGTTAATGCAGTGGTAATATCACTGTTTTAGAATTGTGAAACCCAGGTTCAAATCCCAGTCAGATGACCTCACCAGTTTCCTTGGGCAAGATTCCTAACCTAACATGGATTGTAAGCTTATTTAAGTCAGTATTTCCTCACTCCTTTTTCTGATCGTAAAGCACTGTAGAATAGGTTGATGCTATATAAATACTACTACTAATAATACATTGCAACAAAAACAGAATATGAGAACCCTGAGAACAGGCAAAAGCTTAGAAAAAAAACTCAGCAGCTTGCCCTTCAATAAATCCCCACTCAGGTCTCAAAAATGTTTTAGCTGACTTGTGCTATTACAAAGAGAACCTATTCTATTTGCATATTGGACTGATCCCACTCATAAGGGCAATCAAGAACCAAAATGCCATCAAGTTCTCTCTACACGAGAGAGACAGCAACCCCAGACAATCGTTTGGCCTTCTTTGCACTCTCCCTAAGCTAGAAGGGTAATCCAGACATGGACCCCGTGCTCACTGTGCCTAGATAGGTATCTGCTCATCTCACTGACGAGTCCCAAAAAAGGCCAAAAACATCTGGGGTTGCTTTATCTCATGTGCAGAGGGAACTTGTTGGCATTTCAGTTCTGGACTGCCCTTATGGGTGGGATCAGTCTGATATGTAAATAGAATAGGTTTTCTTTGTAATGACACAAGTCAGCTAAATAATTTTTTGAGACCTGAGTGGGTATGTATTAAAGGACAAGCTACTGTAATAATAATACATGTGCAGACATTGCATGCCTACTTCCGGGCAATGCACATGAATGCTTTGTCATGTGTATTCGTCATTTAGGAAAAACAGCGTACATTATCATAGATGAAAATGTGTAAATGGTTCTTCTTTCCTCTGGGTAACACATATACACAGTGCAGGCACAACACATTGTGCTGCCTGCAACAATGGGCGAAGTGCGACTCCAGCTTTGGCTACCAAACCAACTACTCCTGATACCATGCCCACCCACGCATTGCATTTCCCACTCCCATTACATTGCATCATAAAATCAAACTTCCCTTTGCTTCTCCCTCACCTAATATGTCACTTGCACGGCCTCATCTGTTCATTGCCTACCCCTTTCTGTTTCCCAATGGGTATACCCTGACACTGAACCATAGAATTCCCTTCATTCCCAACACAATTCCATCAATTCATTTTCTCCATTGCCCTATTCCCTCCATGGCATGAATGTTTCTCCAATTCACAACCGAGTTATACCTCAACCATTTTCCTTCAGTAATATTGCACTAATTCATAGCCACCAACCAAATCTCCCCCCTCCTCTGTTTATATCCCCAGCACTATTCAGCCAATTCATCTCCACCAAGCAAAGCCAAAATCCCCCAATTAATCTGCAAGCCACATCCCTCCCCAATACAATGCCACAAATCCCCCTCCACTACAACTCCTCGAGCCATATCCCTGTGCAGTATATATTTCCACATTTCTCACAATAAGTCCTCTCACATCTCTTTCAATACATATGCCCATAGCCAAATTTTCTAATACAGCACGTCACTCACACACATATACAGATGCACAAACACAGTATCACACACAATGTTTAAATACATTCTACTCAGCTCCTGAAGCTCTGTGTGAGCGGGAGGGGGTTAGTCCCTTATTCCCACACTAATTTTAACCCTACCATTAAAGGGACACTATACTCACCAAAACAACTTTTGCTTAATGAAGCAGCTTTGGTGAATAAATCATGTCCCTGCAGTCTCACTGCTCAATTCTCTGCCATTTAGGAGTTAAATCACTTTGTTTATGCAGCCTTAGTCGCACCTCCCTCCGTGTGATTTAAACAGCCTTCCTAAACACTTCCTGTAAAGAGGTATCTAATGTTTACACTTCCTTTATTGAAAATGCTGTTTAATGTAGAAGTTCTTATCTCCTGCTCTGTTCATAGCTAGACCCTGCAGGAGCCTCCTGTAACTAATTAAAGTTTAAATTACAGAGCAGGTGATAAAAACTTTTAACATAAGTACCATGTGATTGAAAATGAAACCATTTTTTTTCATGCAGGCTGTGTCAGTCACACCCAGGGGGCGGTGTGCCTAGTATTGCACAGACAGAAACAAACATGATTTAACTCCTGAATGGCAGATAATTTAGCAGAGACTTCAGATACATTATCTACACACCAAAACTGCTTCATTAAGCTAAAGTTGTTTTGGTGACTATATTGTCCCTTTAAGGTTCCTAACTCCTGATGCTTTAGGGTACCCCTAACACTAAACTTCAATGCAAGCCCAACTTTACGGACCTTGTAGGACCTCACTGAGGAGCCACTCGCTACCACTGACCCACTTGAGCATGATGAGACCTCTATATGTATGCATAGTACGTCTTTGTATCCAAGTAACATATAAGTGCACCTGGTCATACTTGCATCAAGTTAATACATACGTACACAAAGCAAAGCCTCCATCTTGATAATAAGTATGTGCACGTTGTCCTTTCTGCATGTAGTACATACGTGCCCAACTAAAACATTTGTAAAGTTAATATACTGTCCTAATACACTGCCTTAATTAATTAAAATACATACATTTAAATTATTTCATCTGTAGTTATGTGGTAAGTATGTGTACATAATCTGGACTGCATCTAAACACAGAGAATGCTTTGTTCCTTCCGTAAATATACTCACTCTTTAACCTCTTTAGAGCTGAAGTCCAAGTATCTGTTGCTGACCCACTGAATCTCGAACCAATCCCTGTAGCCATTATTTCCACAGCATTTAAACTCTATCTGCAGCAAATCAATTGTCTTCTTCATGAAGCATCTCCCAGGGGTGTCTGTGTCTTTATAGTACCGCATCCCATTTTTCAACCCGTGGGCCAGGGTGCTCTCCAGTGACCCCCGTGTCACCAAACACACAACAGCGATAAAGAAGACGAAGACGTTGTAGAACACACAGATTATTAGATACGGTTTCAGCATGGGTTTCCACTTAGCAAATTTTGCTGGATCCAGAGAATCGTAGCATATTTTACCTGCAAACGCGTTAAGGGCACAGGCCAGAGCTCCCATGAATATCAAGGAATTGGGCACAAAATGACTTTCCTCATTATCCATCACTTCGCTTCTTTTCCTCAGCTCGATTTTAAGAAAGATCCCCATGCTAAAGAGGATAATACCGGTTATTACACAGAACCAGTTCATAAGCCAGAGGCCCTGGGCCAGCTTCACCCTTTTCTTCATGTTAAATTTCACCTTCATCATTGCCATTTTAGCGCAGTGTTAATTGAAGAACCAATTTAAGAAAATCTGTGATTGAAATAGTCAAGATTTGTCCAGTCTACCCTTCAGTCCATAAAACGTGACTGTAATAACTGTGGATTTTCCATATTTACCACCCAACTTAAAAACTGGAGTAACGGTGTCCCTGGTATTTTTGGTCAAATGTTATTAATAGCACAATAATTAAATAAAGTTGCCAAATGGCACCAACTCCTGGTGGCCCGGTCCCACAGAAGAAGAAACAGCCGCAGAGTTTCAAGTGATTAAACCTGCATTTCCAAGACGTCATCTAAATACCCTTAATCTCCTTCATCCCATTTGTAAGAATCTCTGTCAACCCAATAAGCAGCAGAACTAATCCTCATTTTACTCGTTACTGCATTTCTCCTTTCACGCTCAGGATGTAGTTTACTAGATTGGAAAAGCAAAACGCAGAAACATGTTATGAGAGGAAACCCAGAGAATGTCCTTATAGCCACAGAAAGGGGTTTACTCACTGAACAGTGAGATACGTTAAAATCCAAGTTTCAAAATAAATTGAGTTAAATACATTGAAGGAAAAGGTCAAGCTTAGCCGAGTTAGATATATTTCTAACGCTGTGGTATTGTTTAGTGAATGAGCTTCATGGTGTCTTTTTCAATAATGCTAAACTGTAACTCTCACAATGCTCTGCCAGGTTTGGTCTACAAATGTGTGATGGAGTTGAAGTTTGGCAGCTGTAGCAGGCTCATGTTAGTTTATCTATTAATTAATTCATTATTTATTTACTTTTGCAATGTAGAGCCTCATGATAAACTTTTAACTCCAACTTTTCCATCTTAAAATGTCTAAGTTATTTTTTGCCATTCTTTTCCTTTGCAAATCTGGTAAAAAAACAAACAACCTCAGTATTTGCCAGATCTAATCCTAAACCATCTACAGATTATTGTTTTTTTTTTTTATATAGAGAGATTAGTTGCAAATTGGTTGTTAAAGGCTCTCACTATAAAATGAATGGGGGCAGAAGTAAATCACACAAAGATTCCCCACACCGTGGGACAATAAATAAAAAAAACAAAACAAAATGATCGACAGTGCCAGCATGTAAATAACCTAACATGTTTCACCCTGGGGCTTTAATATTATTATTTTTAAAAAGCCCCAAGATGAAACGCATTTTGTAAAAATAAAATTTAGTTGTACCACTTTGAAAGGAAAGTTGTCATTATATTGCTGTGAAATAATTTATATGACAGCATTGCTTTAATTACATAAAATATATAGTGCAATGAATTGCATCATGCCCCAGTCTCAGGTAATAAGTTGACTCTTTAATCAGAATTTCTCTCGGTCATCATATTCCCTTAAGAAAATCCTTCTCCGTGGGCGACATTTTGGTAGATTGTCTCTGTAGCCCAATTAGGATTGACACCTTTCTTGGAACGAATTACCAGCCATGCTAATTTGCATACTTAACTATTCATGTGGGACATCACAGGACATGACATCACCAGGTGTTACGTAACATCATAGGGAGAGACATAAAAGAAAAAAAATTGGAAAGGGAAGAAAAAAAAACCATGACTTTGTGTGTAGTGTTTTGTGTGGAGACTGTTTCTGCAGGTGTAGCAGAGTGTATTGCAATGTCTGTCAGTGTGTATAATTTGTGTGTTTAGTAGTGTGTCGTTATGTGCATATTATCTGTGTGCGTAAAGCAGTGTGTATAGAGTGTCACTGTGTATACCTGTTCTAAGTGTGTGTGTGTATAGCACTGTTTGCATACTGGCAAACAACTGCCAGACATTGACCATGGTGTGCATACTGGCAGACAACTGCCAGACACTGACCACGGAATTAACCCTTTTATAACCTCCTACCTGTGGACACCCAGTGGCACTGATTCTCATATAAAAATGGAATTAATAACCATTTGACAACCACTATGACAACCAGCAGGGGTTGTGCGCCAACCAAGAGGAAGCCAGGGGCCGATGCATGGTAAGTGATAGCGATCCTGACCCCTGCAGGCCGAGCAGCTAGGTAGCATGGGGGGGAGGAGAGAGGGAGGCAGGTATGCTGCAACTGTGTATACAGTGACTAAATTATGAAGAGAGGCAGCACGGAATGATGCCAGTTTGTACGTGTGTACCTGTCAGGGTACAGGCAGAGAAAATACCAGCCTTTGCATTGCCAGTATTTTTGCAATACCGGCACTCAGGGGCGTACCTAGAGCATTTGGCACCCGGGGCAGATCCTGTGCTTGGCACCCCCCACCCCCCTCCCCCCCAAAAAAAAAAAAACCTGTAAAAAATGTTAAAGGTTTTATTTCTTTTATTTTTACAATTTGTAAACTTTGCAAAACCGCTGTCAGCCCCTCCTACAAAACCTTGTCCTGCCCTGCCCCTCCTACAAAACCTCTGTCCTGCCCCTTCTACAAATCCTGTACTGCCCCATCTACAAAACCCCCGCAACCCCCTTCCACAAATCCCCTGCTTCCACAAATCCCCTGCTTATCCCCCTTATAAAGACTCCTGTCCCAATACAAAACCCCCGCCCCCTTCTACAAAATCCCTGCAGCCCCACACACACATTTACAGGCAGACAGTCACACACTCAGTTACAGACAGTCACACACTCAGTTACAGGCAGACAGTCACACACAGTCACAGGCAGACAGTCACACATACACATTTCCTCCGTGCGGCCAGTTTATCAGCTGTTTGCTTGAGTGAGCTGTACTGGCCGCACGGCACCCTAACTACCATGGGACACTGTGCGGCCACAGCTCACACAGCCCCTCCAGCCAGGGCCGGTACAAGGATTTTTGCCGCCCTAGGCAAAAGTAAAGTTTGCCGCCCCCCATGTGACATGACAATGCCCCAGCCATATGATTTGCCATGTTAACTAGCGCCAGTGCTGCAGTGCCGCCGTGTTTACATTAAAAGGCCTGCAGGGACAGGCTATAGACACCAGAACCACTACATTAAGCTGAAGTGGTTCTGGGGACTATAGTGTTTCTTTAATGTGAGGTAAATTAGAGCTTAGTGCCACGAATAATATACTAGATTGCCTACTTACAACCAGATGATGGGCTCTAGCTGCAGTCTGGCTCCACTGGTCTGGTGCAGAACAGGCTCTCTGGAGGCGGTTTGTAACTGTGGTCACAAAAATCAATGTTCTGGGAGAACGGGAAGCAGCTCCATTTTTGGGGGTCCTTTACACAGCTCAAGGTCTGGGTCCCAGGGTCCACCTTCATGTTCCACCAATGAGTTTGTTCACAGGGGGTGGAGTGTGTAGGGGATGTCCTGATATGTGTGTAAGGAATGCATTGTGTGAAATTGTGTTTGTATGTAAGGACTGCAAGGTGTGTTTCTGTGTATGTATGGGATGCATTGAATGTGTGTAAGGGGTGCATTAAGTGTGTGTAATGAATGCATTGTGTGTTTCTGTGTGTGTAAGGGATGCATTGTGTGTAACGGTTGCATTGCTTGTGTATGTGTGTCTGTGTGTTTTTCTGTGTGCAAGGGGTGCATTGTGTGTATGTGATGAATGTCAATCTCTCCTCCCGCTCCAATTTCCTTCTCCTCCTCCCAATTTCTCTTTCTCTCCCCCCCTCCTAATTTCTCTTTCTCACCCCCCTCCTAATTTCTCTCTCACCCCCGCCCTATTTTCTCTCACCCCCCCTCCTTTCTCACCCCCCCATTTCTCTTTCTCACCCCCCCTTATCTCTCTCTCACCCCCCCTTATTTCTTTTTCTCACCCCTCTCTCACCCCCCCTTATTTCTCTTTCTCACCCCCCTTATTTGTCTTTCTCATCCCCTAATTTCTCTTTCCTCACCCCTTGTTTCTCTTTCTCTTTATATCTCTCTCACCCCTTATTTTCTCTCACCCCTTATTTATTTTTTCTCACCTCTCTCACCCCTTATTTCTCTTTCTCCACCCCTTATTTCTTTTTCTCCACCCTCTCTCACCCCTTATCTCTCTTTCTCACCCCTTATTTCTCTTTCTCACCCCTCTCTCACCCCATATTTCTCTTTCTCACCCCTCACCCCCCCTCTCCCCCTTCTTTCTCCCCCTCCCCCCTACCTCCCTGTAGCGTGGCCGAGCCCTGTATAGTCCGCGGGTACAGGGAGCTTTTGTTTCCTGTACCCGGCCGGAATAACAGGAAGTGAACACTCAGTGTGCACTTCCTGTTAGTCCGGCCGGGTACAGGAGACAGCTGCTCCCTGTACCCGTCGGACCATGCTGCAGTGAGGGAGCTGACAGGAGCGTTCCCTCCTGTCAGCCTCTCCTCAGGCTGCGCCCGGGCGGTGCGGTCCGCCCTCATGGACGCACCGCCCGGGCAAAGCTGCAGCC